TGCTCAAGGATCGTAATTGCATCCTTGATTCGTCGGTTGTCAAGGTATGCGCTTGCCAGTACGTGCTTTGAGGCTAGTCGAAAATGATCCTTCTCATCTAATGTCCCTCTCTGAATATTTACCATGTGCTCAAGGATCACAATCGCATCCTCAATTCGTTGGTCATTGAGATATGCGCTTGCCAGTACGTGCTCTGAAGCTAGTCGAGAATGATCCTTCTCGTCTAGTATCTCTCTCTCAACATTTACCACGTGCTCAAGGATCGTAATTGCATCCTTGATTCGTCGGTTATCGAGGTATGCGCTTGCTAGTACGTGCTCTGAGGCTAGTCGAGAATGGTTCTTCTCGTCTAGCGTCTTTTTCTTAACATTTACCACGTGCTCAATAATCGTAATCGCATCCTCAATTCGTCGGTTATTAAGGTATGCTCTTGCAAGGTCGTGCTCTGAGCATAGTCGATCATGGTCTGTTTCATAACAACGGTCCTGTCTCCACCGATATACCTCCTCAAAACATCTTATCGCTTCTTTGAATCGTCTGTCTGCATAGAAGGTGTTTCCAACCTTCTGAAAAAGCCGAAAAACTTCTGATGTTTTATCCTCGTGGTTTTGATTTAGCAGCCGCATTGCATGTGGCAGATACTCCCTCCTTTGGCCATAGTGAGCATCGATTATTACAGGAAACCTCGCTGCAATGTGGCGTATTGCAGCGTTCGAAGCTTCTCTCTCTCGATCCTGCTTCTTAAGCCAACCTCGTGTTGCCGTGTGCACAAGGCTGTGCATATCGAATACATCGCTCTCCTCCCTACGAACCAGAAAAGAGTAGCTGCAAAGTGTACCGATAGCCCATTCCAACTCGTCACCCTCTGCACCAGGCAGTATTGACTGGGGAATCTCCTTTGGCTCGATGTAAGAGATGAATGATAAAAGATCAACAGCAAGTTGGTCCGACTTTTGGATCTGGTGGAAAGACACAATCCATGTTGTTCCTATTGCATTCTGGGAACCCTTGTATCGGGTATTGTCTCTGAACTCCCTGTCAAGAACGCTCGGATCTTTGTGCTCGGCATTTTGTAAGAGCCCTAAATATGTCCGTATGGGCGCTCTGGTTTGATTGAGGTATGCGGCAGCCTGCGTAATGGCCAGTGGGAGAAAGGTCAAATATGTGAGCAGCTTGATGACTGATGTTTCGTCCTGAAGGAGCTGTTTTCGCACCAGAGACTTTTCCAAGAGCACCATTGATTCTTTCTGGTCCATTTGTTCGATATCAATCACATCGGATTGCGCGAAAGCCTCAGCGACTTGCCCAGACCGCGTCGTCAACAATATGATAACGTCTTCTCTTTGGGGCAAAAACCCTTCCAGCCCTGGCTTTTCAGCAGATCCAAGAATAAGCTCCTCATCATCGGCATTATCCACAATTAGCAGCCACTTGCCAGCTTCATCGGAGCTGAGGTATTGGCAGACTAGATTCTTCACATCATCGTCTTCGCTCCTCTCCTGCAACCCAAGCATTTTTGCAATGTCCCCGTAAGCACGTTCTGCAGTTTCATCGCTCAGAACTGGCACCCAGAAGATCGAATAGTCTGGTCGGTGGTCCTTGATCTGATAGGCAAAACGCAACGCGATTTGAGTCTTACCGACCCCACCAAGCCCGACGAGTGACATCCTCTGGCTCGGGTCCTGACCGAAGAACTTGTCTTCTAAAGCGTTCAAGATGGATGTGCGACCAGTGAAGCGTGTGTTTCTGGTGAACGGGATATAATAACATGATCTAGAAGTCTTCTCTAATGTATCGTGAGCGACTTGTCCTTATTTGTATAGCTTGAATTGCTTTTTGATGATTACTCACCAGTCAAATCTACTGTCTTGTCATTCGAGCGAATCTCATCGAGCAATGCTCTAGCATATGAAGCCGCCATCGCTGCCGCATACGGCTGCCAATTTTTGTTTTTATGCCGATCGCCGTAGTCGCATACTCCCCGAATGACGCCCACAGGAATTCGGTTCATTGTTCCTGCCGCTTCCATTTCTAAACCAATAATGCCATATCTGTCCCTCAGCTCATTTCGCCTTTCTGCGTTCTTTAATAGCTTGTCCCCTGATCCGATTGGGCCATACCACACTCGAGTGCGTCGATAGTCTGGTGTTGATCGTGGGGAACGTTCAACGACCTCCTCTTGTCCACCGTTGCAAACAAGGTATAATGTGTCGTTGTCTTGCCCTGGATCGGAAAATGTGCCAGTTGCATGCTCACAGTGGCGTATTTTCTCGTAAAATGGTAAAAGCTTCTCTGTGTCGTATGGCGCCTCGAGCTTGATGCTACCTATGGCTGCTCGTACAATTGGTTCAGTCGTGGCAAGGCTGTGGCCAAGTCGGAGGGGTTGAAACCCGTCTTCCGTTTCTTTGCCGAGGTCATACGGGACCAGTCCCGCGCTTTCGCCGTCAGCGAGTCCTACAAGCACGTCACCGAGCCGTATATCGCGCTCAGGGACACGGGAAAGGTCAGGGAGTCCCGCTGCCACACCGACGAGCAAGCCAAACCAGAGGTTGGGGAAAATTTTCTTCACCTGGCTTGCCAGTGCAGCCGCGGAGCCCGTGCCGTATTCCTGACCTGCTGGCAGAGTTGCGATGATAATGTTATGGTCGCCCATGGAACCCGCCTGAAACACGTAATCATCGCCACGGTTGACAGGAAACCGGCCGCGGTGTCGTTCGTCTAGTAAACATATGGCAGCCCTAGCTTCGATCTCGAGTGGAGCTATCCAGGCTATTTTATAGTCCCTGGGGTCGAGTGTATCCGATCGATCGACGTAGCTTCTTCGCATGGCCGGCATCTTATCGGAGTCTGTTGGCGCGTAGTCTAGTGAGTAGATGCGACCGAAATATTATAAATTCGTCGATACGGAATCAATTGCTGACAGCGTTAAGACCGCCGTGCTCGTGCGGCTGAAGGAGCAACGAGACATACCCCGCACATAAGAAGACTGAGCGTACGCCTAACTGTACGGCGTGCTGACAAGGACCCTGGAACAAAAATTTAATTGCACAGGGATCCTGACTTTTTCATTACCCTGCGGCTACTGAGGAGGCCAATTACCAGGATGAAATTCTCTTTTGAGACAGCTTGTAAACTATGTGGATACTTAAGAAGTTTAACAATTCTGGATATCGTTTTCTACTGTAGAATCCTAGAAGTGTCTTTGATGAATTTGTCTGCGTCGATGCTATGCAGTGCTTCTACTGTAGTGCATTGGGACTTTATGGGGCGTGACGTTCGATCGAGAACAAGAGCAGATGTTACGTGTTATAACGACAAAGTACTGAATGGGGACGGAAAGGACATATGGCCACTTACTCCTTCCTAAGCAAGCCAGCATGAGTTTGTCGTCTGGATGCATCGACGGCGAGGAAGGCTGGCCTATCTAATGGCCATGCAGAGCTCTAATTCGAACGTCTACGAATGCGATTACTGGAACATCGACTACCGAGCTCCATTGCTCACCGCATTCGACAGTCCCATCGGGAATCTTGCCGAGCTGAGCCAAGCCCCAGGAGGTACCTTAAGACTATTGTTGCTTCAGTCAAGTGACTGGAACCCTGCCTTTCAGGATGACGAAACTGACCCAACTTATATTCACTACAACATTCAGTAGAGGTTACGGCTACCTGTACACGAACAAGCAATTTCAAGAACTTTCGGATGATTCGCCGTTATTTTGAATCCGCCAAAACTTCCAAACCGCCTCCTCATGATGGGCGAAGAGATAGGACAAGCTATGACAGTATTGACACATCCGAGACGGACTTGATCTAGCTACAATAGCCACAATAGTCACAGTACAGTAATGTCGGCGCATTTTTCTCTAAGAAGTATTGAAGCACAGTGATCGATTACTACGTACTATAAGTTTTGTATCTGGTGCAAATAACATAGACCTAGGTATGCCCACTGCTTACGGCCGTGTCCCACGGTCTTTTGTATTTACAAAAAGAAATCCTCCCCTAGCATTTTAAAAAGTTTCGTGGCGTTTTGCAAGCACACTGCGGCCAAAGAGTCTTGACCTAAATATTACTATGCTCGCAAGCGTTTGACTTCCCTAGAAGCACTTTCACAATCTCTCTGTTGCCTCTTTTGCGGGTTATGTCTATCAAGCCCGCCTTGTGCATCAACATCTGCTCCTTTCTCCAGTAACAGCGCCACAATCTCACTGTGGCCTCTAGCTGAAGCTGCTTGTAGAGCACTGCTGTAGTGTCTGCCTTGTGCGTTAATATTTGCTCCGTTCTCCAGCAATAGCTTCACAATCTTAAAGTAGCCTTTAATTGAAGCTGCTTGTAGAGCATTCCTGTAGAACCCGCCTTGTGCATTAACATCTGCTCCTTCCTCCAGCAATAGCTCTACAATCTTACTGTAGCCTTTAGCTGAAGCTTCTTGTAGAGCACTGCTGTAGTGCCTGCCTTGTGCATTAACATCTGCTCCTTTCTCTAGCAATAGCTTTACAATCTCACTGTAGCCTCTAGCTGAAGCTTCTTCTAGAGCATTGCTGCAGTACCTGCCTTGTGCGTTACTATTTGCTCCTTTCTCCAGCAATAGCTTCACAATCTCACTGTGGCCTTTAGTCGAAGCTGCTTGTAGAGCATGCCTGTGGAACCCGCCTTGTGCATTAACATCTGCTCCTTCCTCCAGCAACAGCCCTACAATCTCACTGTAGCCGTTAGCTGAAGCTGCTTGTAAAGCATTTCCGTAGTTCCCGCCTTGTGCATTAACGTCTGCTCCTTCCTCCAGCAATAGCCCTACAATCTTAAAGTGGCCGTTAGCTGAAGCTGCTTGTAGAGCATTACCGGAGCGCCTGCTTTGTACATCAATGTCTGCTCCTTTCTCCAGCAACAGCTCTACAATCTTAAAGTGGCCGTTAGCTGAAGCTGCTTGTAAAGCATTTCCGTAGTTCCCGCCTTGTGCATTAACGTCTGCTCCTTTGTTAATCAGTTCTCGGGCCACATTTGAGAGCCCTGCCAGGCAGGAGTAATAGAGCCTAGACCCCCTTGGCGGGCCAGGATCTTTGTCCCAACTCCGATCCGCTTGAAACAATCGACACCATCGTTGGAAAGTTTCTTCTCCCTCCACGAACATCAACATTGCTTGGAAAGAATCTTGGAACGCCTCTGCTAAAGAACCAAACCTCGTCCATGTCTTCGCTGCAAACCGTGCCATAGGAAAATTCTGATTGATGCCGTCATGACTACCCGTGATGTCCTTTAAATAAGTCAGGCATGTTCGCGTGATGGTGTTGCCAGCCCTTGGGCGTCCGAAATCCGCTTGAGCTTCTAGGAATTCTTTTACTGAAAAGTGCGCAAGGTGCAGCTCCTTTTTTATCATGTCTCGTTGTATCCCCACTTCGACAATTGAAATCAAGCCAGGAGCATATTGTAAGACCAGGCTTTCTTCAAAAACGCGATCATCGGCATCGAAAAATGGCGGGCTTACGTCTATGTTCGTAGCAATGACCTCTTTCGCCTCTTGCAGTGTCAGTGGCTGCTCGGAATGAACAAGGAACTGTAGAAGGCGTGTAGCGCTGTTTCTGAGATTCCTGGGAATGCTCTGTAGCATCCGTCCGTACGTTTTGGTAAGATTTTCGGGCAGGCATTCGAGTTCCTCCTTCATCTTTTTCGCGGTCGGGCATTTGGCAAGGCTGTCCATTTGACAAGCTGCCCATCTAAACCTATAAGCACTGTTAGGCAGCCATTTGATATCGGAGTGTTGTAACCTGAGTAGAGACCCACATTCCGTCAGATCCCTTGCCAACTTTATTCTCAATCAGTTCTATCAGATCCTGTGATAGTTTTCTCTTTTTGAAACCTTCTCCTTCTGTGAGCTGCCATACCACATAGGCCCGGATATCTTCGTTTAGGGCCTGCCTGTCAATCGAGATGCAATTTTCTTGTCCAATACAATCAGGTAGACTTTGGTGTAAATCCGACTCAGGCCGGCTAGTATAGAGTAGCCGAACATGATGCAGTTCAAGATCGGAGGCGATATCCTGAATCCATCGCAGAAGCTGATCTCTAGTCGTTGATTCATCCAATGCATCCAAAACAACACACACATTTTTCTCTTCCATGAGCATTTTGCGAATAATCTCGGATAAAGTTTCCGTGGAAGGCTGATCTTGGCCATCGCGATGGTGATGAAACAAGGCATCGAGGTGCCTCCTACATACAGGTCCACGTTCATACATCTGAAAGGCAAGCGAGCGTAACATGCCACTCAACTTCTGTTTTCTCCCGTCGCTGAAGTCGAAGTAGAAGCGAAGAATGAGTCCGTCGTGCGTCTCTGCCAGGTAGTCTAAAATAGTCGCGCTAAGCACAGTCTTGCCGCATCCCGCTGAGCCATGTAGCCATATGTGCCGATTGGACCCTGAATGCCATGACTGGAAGAAGGTTTTTTTCAGAAGCCACGCTCCTGTGCCTTCGTGGCGGAGCTTCTTTGCATAGTTGATGTTGGTTGAAGGATCGGGTGGGCATAACCAACTCTTGACCTTGTCGCAAAGGAGCTGAGACCCCATTTGAACGACAGTGACTTGTGTTGCCATCGTGGTTTTCTCTATTTCACTCAGAGCAGATCCGACTATTTTATCATTAGAGTATATACAGATGGGAAGATCGATATACTAACTCGTTTCAAGTATTCGATTTTCTGCCTCCACTTTATTGGGCGGGATTTGCTTCAGAAGCTCTTTCGCATACGCCGATGCTATCATTGCAGCATACCCCTGCCATTTTTTATTTTTATGCGAATCGGCATAGTCGCAGATACCACGGACTACCAAGCATGGAAAATGGTTCATCAGGCCCGCCGCTTCCATCTCGAAACAGAGCACGCCCTTCTCTGCAGCCAGCTTGTCTCGGATAAGCGCATCCTTCATCAGCTGGTTGGCAGTAGCAATGAGTCCATAGTGAATGGCCGGGTTATCATCTTCTTCGCCGCGCTCTGGTCGAACCGCCAAGTGGTCTGGATCATCGATGCAGACCTCGCTACACGGCTGCAGCGAGTTCCGATGCACAAAGTCCGACCGGTATAGCTTGTCACTTGACATTGGTGGTTGCGAAAACTTGCTACGAAGCTTGGGCTTACGTTCCAAGACCTGCCTTACTTTTGAGTCAAGTTCGTGGTTGTCTCCCATATACTGCGCCTTCAACCCGCTGACTGCGGTGAGAAGGAGTTGTGGTGATTGATTCAGATGCTGCTCGTAGTAAAATGTTTGGTCCTGGATTGTCTTGCCAAAGTCGTACTGGAAAACACCGCCATAGCCGCCATCACGAGTGCTTACCACGATATCTCCTAAGCGGATGTCGTGCGCTGCAGTCGGAGCGCCGCCCCCAATGCCGACCATAAGGCCGATGCGGACATTAGGGAAGCTACGCAACATATCCTTCGCAACTGTGGCCGCCGTCGTAGTCCCATACTCGCCTTCCGGCAGAGTTGCCATGACAACGTTGTGACGTCCAATCCTGCCCAGAACGTAGAAATTGTTGTCATGGTGGCCAACAGACTCGGGAGGGTTGTGTCGTTCGTCTAAGAATTGCTGGGCTGCAACAAACTCGGTAGCAAGAGCAGAAATCCAGCCGACGGTATATGCCTGTGGGTCCGACATGACGAGCTCGATTCAGTGGTGATAAAGGCGAAATGGCTTTAATGTTAAAAGTTGCTAAGTGGTACCGCTTGCTGAACAAAGAATAGCAAGGTTGTGAACGATGAAGGGTGGTGCCTAAGTGAGGTGGAGCAGAGCATCACTTCTGCCTGATTTATAAATGGTTTGGTTTGGTTTAGTTTGGTTTGAGTAGTTCTTACTCGATTGGTGAGTTGGCATAAAACATGAAACCCAAAGCACGCTCCGATCGTTGATCCGGCACTCAATCCCAGCTTTCTTTGCCTGATATTTTTGATGTACGTATGTTTGATTGGCTATAGGTTTGAGTGTACTTACTTTCCTCTTGCAGGCGAAGCTCCATTTTCGGTCAGCAAGATGGGACTCAGCCTGGACGCGCTGGGTTGGACGGCTACCTTTGTCAGTGGAGATTAGCAGCACCTTGAAGCACCTTCAGTGTCAATTCTATTTCTAACATTTCCCGCTGGACAATGCAACAGCCACACCAGCTACAACTGCTACAGCCTGGTCTGTGCTCAGAAACATAATCTAGAAAGCCAGGGTGGCCTCTGGTCTTCGGCTGGGACTGTAGTTCAATTGCTTCCTCAATTCGTTGACTATCAAGGTATGCGTTGCAAGCACCTGCTTTGACGCAAGTCGATTCAGGTCCTTCTCATCTGGTGTCTTCCCAAATTCTACCACGTAGTTATATTAGACGATCTTTACTGACTACGACATCGCCATGATATGCATCGAAATTGTCAATGCGGGGTACACCACCGCAGATGCCAACGAGGATAGCGACTTCAATATCAGTATAGCTGGATCGCAGGATGAGATTTGCTGCCGTTGCGCTGTTGATTCCCATACCAAGCAGCACAACCAGGACACCGTCGTGGCCGCCATCCGTTTCGTGATATACGTATTTGTATCATTGTCTGCTCGGCCGTAAGGGTCACCCTCCAAACACTCATCAAATAGATCGTATAGCAGGTTGACAGCATCAACTTCGCAGAGTAGAACACATATGGTTACTACTCAGAAGCTTCCACGTCCATGAGGTCTTTGGGAAGTTATGGCGTGGTGTCGCCGTTTTGGGAGAATGGAAAAGGCACCAACTAGACCCGATTGGGGGATTTCGTATTGGCTTTAGTATGATCCACCTGCCGGCCCGTGCCGAAGCCGAGGATTTAGCCTGCGTGGGGATCTTTTAACGGGCTGATTGACGTTTTGCAGTGTACGCATCATTGTAAGTTTGTACCTTTTTCCTTTTCCCTTTCGTGGAACTGGGTCATCCCTGGCTTTTAATGGCTTAGCTTAGCAGGAAGAGCAAAGCCAGGGAGGTCTTGTCTTGCTACGAGATTATTACACAGGTGCTTGTTTACGATGTAACTAAATTACGTCGTATTTTGGGTTCTTGATCTTTGTTATGTACTACAATGAATTCTCACTCATCCAATTGTTTACCGTCGGGACCCATGTCCATCACCATCTAACTCATATACAAAATGGGACTGGCCCTCTACTTCTGCAGGCATTGGCTTGCATCCAGCCACCTCCTGTGACGGAAGCCATGCTGGAAATCCAGCTTTATCGTAATGCACATACTCAGGAGGTGCAGATGACTCTTGTTCCGTGACTGTCTTCCTCTTCTGTCTCAGAAAGAAAAAAGCTCCCAGGCATAGCACTGCTATCAATACCACAGCACCTGCTACTGCGCCGCCAATGACTGCCCCAGATGGAGGCGAAGACGGAGACGCATCTGATTGACCTGCCGCTTCTTTGACTTCATCGTCCGGACCAGCACTAACTGTGGGCTGGACTATACCGGTGCCATCCTTTCCACATTCATCAGCAGTCTTTTGATCGTAGACTTGCACAAGCTTGCTTCTTTGCGTCGGATTGCCCTGCCATAGCGTGAAAGTTCCTGCGTCATGGTTGACCATGAGATATGCCGCGGTGAGAAAGTAACGGCCCAGAGTGGCAGGCTGGTCTGCAACGCCATTCATCAGAAGTTCCTTCGTTTTTAGTTTGACAACTCGAGCGCCGCTTCGTTCGATGTCGACAAAAGGTACGATGTATTGGTCGTTTGGGACCCTGATTTGCATGCCAGAGTTAAGATGGAAAGTGATGTCACCATCAAATCTGATCTGTTAGCTTCACGTGCTCAGTATGATGAAGAAGAAACTCACGCCTTGTCAGCATCGATCAGACGAGCTGACCAATGAAGACCATACGAATTCTCTGTATGGTTGGTTCCCGTCACCTCTTCGAAACTGGAGACATATGCACCAGGTGCTTCAAGAAGAAGCTGTCTCTGAGGAACAATACAACAGGGCAGCGCTGTGTTAGATGGGAATATGCTCTCATCAGAGCCGTCACGGAAGTTGACTCGGATATCGGAGATGGTAATCTTCATCCCAGTCCAACATCCAGCAGTTCCCGTGTAGTCGTCATATCGAAGCGGTGCTGTGTAGTTCGCTCCAATAACCTTTTCCTCGTCATATCCACCCAATACCAAAGAACCATCGATGGGAGTCTTCACCCACATCCGTCCCCAGAAGATGGACCATACTCGTGAACTGATCTTACCTGCTTCCTTGAGAGCGTTTAGGTAGGTCGAGTTGGATCCGAGACCGAGTGGGTGAAGCATCGTATAACCTGCATCCCATTTGAGACGCGGTATGCCAATCGGTAGGTCGTCTACTGTCGGTGCTCCTTCGAGAGTAAGATTATCGGTACCAGCGAGTCCGGTTGCGACGAGCTTCTTGATCCCAGACTCCGCTCCCTGGAAGGAGACCTCGTTCGTGGAACCTCCAGCATCTCCGATGTCGCTTGCTTTTGTGAACGATGTCGAGTTGGCCTCATCATAGAATCCACCTCTTCTGATCTGGCAAATTTGATCATTCCATATGACCGTTTTGTCGCAGTACGGTTGATCATCGTAGATCCAAGTATTGTTCAGCTCTCTGCGAATGGTAAGGTTAATGATACGTTACTCCATCTCTATCCGGAAGAGTACATACGCCCAAGGTAAAAGCACGATATTCTGTTCTGGCGAGCCAATCGTGGCAGATATTCCTCTCATGAGAGACTTGTCGACATTGGGAAGGACTTGCACATCGCGAATGGGTAGAGAAAGAGGTTCCGTGTTACATGTTGAGGCGCAGCTTGCAGTTGCAGCGAACAATACTAACAGGAGTAGATTCATCGCTTGTCTCAAGACAATGGCTCGAATTATTCAAGAGAGGAAAATTGTCTGTCGCTCGGGAAAGAGTTTGAACTGGACATTGTAGACTCCTCATTCTCGTCACCCGCTTTGACCATCAACCAACAACGATAAACACGACGACCAACAACTCAGAACATGCATTTTTCGAGTATTTTTAGTAACTCGAGTGCAGCCAACAGCTCGATAGAAGAGTATGTTGGTGATATTGTGCCTTATCATAAGGCTATCACGAGAATTAACCGCCGAGAGTCTAGAGAACAAAATTAGTTGATCATCTTATCACATCCAAGAGCATTATTTATTCTGTCGTCTTAGGCATTGAATGATCTGCACACTTGTCTCAGGCCCAGCCATCAGCCCGTAGCGTGGTTGGCTTGGATCCATATGTTGACAAGGGTACTGAGACATGGGTCAACCAACACAGAATCATGATTTGCTCAGTTATATCCGACTGTCAGGGTCGGCGGCTAACCTACTTGGAATGAGGCAATCTCGTTGATGTGTCAAGATGAATGACCTTGATCGTTTTCCATCTCACGTCGACAAGTTCCAAGACGTCCATCTCTCTTGAGTCGCAACACCATGATCTGGCTCTCAGCGCCGCCCTCACTGTCATCGCGTAAGACGCTGGTCGCCGCATTATTCGGCCTCTTATTGTTCTGGCATCTCTTGTCTGTAAGAACAACGCAGCCAATCAGACAACTACATTTTATGCCAAGCTCATTTGACTGGTCGACTTTCCGTCAATTTCATCCTCCAACTTCCATCAAGCCGCTTCCAACTGAGAAGCCCCATAAACTACCTCTTGTTCAGGCTGACGCAAGTAAATTTCGCCATACTGCAACGACTCAGAGTCGACAAAGAGCTGTTCGCGATGAGTTTCTACGCAGTTACAAATCGTACAGGCAGTACGCTTGGATGAGGGATGAGCTCACGCCCATTTCCGCTCAGGGCAAGGATACTTTTGGCGGCTGGGCAGCAACCTTGGTCGACTCTTTAGACACGCTCTGGATTATGGATCTCAAGCACGAGTTCGGCGAAGCTGCCCAGGCCGCTGCGACGTTGGACTGGGCCAAGACTGATGAAGGTGCTGTCAACCTGTTTGAAACCACGATCCGTCATCTCGGTGGTCTTCTTGGCGCCTATGAACTGAGCGGCGAGAAGGTACTACTCCAGAAAGCTTTGGAGCTGGGTGAAATGCTGTATGTTGCTTTTGACACGCCGAACCGAATGCCTGGCTTCTGGCTCAACTTCGAAGAAGCCCGAACTGGGAAACAAGTTGCTGGAGTTCATGATCCTTCGGCTTCACCTAGTTCCCTCGTCATGGAGTTTACCAAGCTCTCGATGTTAACTGGTTACCCCAAGTTCTACGATGCAACAGATCGCGTGTCGCAGTTTCTCGAAAGGATTCAGAACAGCACGTTATTACCAGGCATGTGGCCTCTTAGCCTGGATTTCCAGAACGAGCAAGCACATGACAATACGTTCTCTCTCGGTGCACTAGCTGACTCGCTCTATGAATACTTGCCTAAGATGCATGCACTTCTGGGCGGCGTGGATGAGAAATACCCCGTCATGTACCGCACGGCCATGGATGTTGTAGCCAAGCATTTGCTCTACCGACCCATGGTACCGGGACAAGACGACATACTATTCTCCGGCGACACCCGTGTCAATAACGACAAGATCGAGCTGAGCACCGAAAGCCAGCATCTTACATGTTTTGCCGGAGGCATGTTCGGGCTCGGCGGCAAGCTCTTGGAAATTGACGAGCACGTCAAGATTGGAGAAAAGCTCGCACGGGGTTGTGGCTGGGCGTACAAGTCATTCCCAACAGGCATGATGCCCGAGATCTTCAATCTTCTGTCATGTCCAAGTCTAGAGCCTTGTAGCTATGAGAGAGAGCGTTGGACTCCTGCACGAGACGGTATACCGCCTGGTTTCCAACATGCTCGAGACGCACGATATCTCCTCCGGCCTGAAGCTATTGAGAGTGTCTTCATCATGTATCGCATCACAGCCGATCCGATCTGGCAGGATATGGCTTGGGACATGTTCCAAGCAATTCTCCGATTCACGTCCACTCCGTATGGCAACGCAGCAATTGAAGACGTTGTCAATCTGAATACTAAACAGACGGATTCCATGGAGAGCTTCTGGCTATCTGAAACACTTAAATATTTCTACCTCATCTTTTCACCGCCAACTCTCATAAGTCTAGACCAATATGTTTTAAACACAGAAGCTCATCCTTTTCGCCGGTATTGAGTAGAGTCTTGTCAATTAGATATCATTTAGCGCTCATGACCTGGTTTCAGCATCCAATTGGGGTTAGAGTCAAGTCTTCTTTGGTGATCTTTGCGAGCTTGTACAGTCTTCTTTCTCCGAGGTAGTTACACCTTCGTTCTACTGTTCCCATGAACGCAAGTCGGATCAGTCTCGTGATCCTTGAGGCGAGAGTCCTGACCAAAGCAACAGCATTCCTCTCATGCCTCCTGGCGCTTAACTTCCAAACTGTGGGACTTTGTAATACTGTCTTCTGAAGTAAGCGCTTGTCTAGCCTGTCTGTAAGATCCAGATGATACACTAGATCTATATTTTGAAGATCAAGATTGAAGGAGGCGGGTCGCTCGGTGGAGCGCGGCTATATTCAACGTCTAGTTGGGCGTTTCCCTGCAGGGTCCTAACTCTTGACAAGGATGATACATAGTCATACGATGGACATATAAGCCTTGTAAGTCTATGTACTGGCCTGCTTATTGTCGATTGCCCTTGTATTCCCTTTTCTGTTCGCAGTCCTGGCAGTCTACCATAGCTTATTTACTGGTGAGCGCCGTCGGAGAGCAACATTCAATTACTGTCTTGGTTTTCCGTTCATGTTCCATTCACTTGACTATCCATTCCATACCCGGTTCAATCATCTGCAGCTTCCATTTGCTTTATATGTATTGTCTCAAAGTACTGTTTTAGTTTATTGCTTTCTAGATACCCCTTCAGCTGATCGACCGGCATTCTTATGATGTCAACAACATCAACCACATCAGCCCTGCCACCCCGTCCGCATGGCCGCCACGGGTTTGAGATAGCTATCATCTGTGCTCTTACTCTCGAGGCTGATGCCGTTGAAGCTTTGTTCGATTGCTATTGGGACGATGACGGTCCGCCTTTCGACAAAGAGCCAGGCGACCCCAACAGTTACTCCACCGGTGTGATCGGCCGGCACAACGTTGTTCTTGCATATATGCCAGGAATGGGTAAAGCCAACGCTGCTGCAGTGGCTTCCAATTGTCGAGCGAGTTTTCGAGGCATCAAACTTGCCCTTGTGGTTGGTGTGTGTGGTGCTGTCCCCTTTGGCCCCGCTAATGACGAGATCGTGCTCGGAGACGTCATAATTAGTGATGGTGTTGTGCAGTATGACCTTGGGCGGCTAGACTCACTGGGCAGGCCGAGCCAAGAGATACGAGGAATCATGGCAAAACTCAAAGGACTTCGGCATCATCGGCAGCTGAGCTCCAAGATGGCAGACTACCTGAAGGTTCTTCGTCAGGAACCTGAACTGCGTGCTGAATATCCTGGACCTACAAAGGACAGACTGTTCGAGGCTTCTTACCGTCATACACAAGACAAGAAGTTGTGTGAGCAGCTCGGATGCAATGGTAACCTAGTGTCACGAAGCCGCCTCGAGACTACTGAGGTGTGTCTCCCACCTGCTGTCCACTTCGGTCTCGTGGCTTCTGGAGACTCGGTGATGAAGTCTGGCGAGGACCGAGACCAAATCGCAGCAGCGGAAGGCGTTATTGCGTTTGAGATGGAGGCTGCTGGCGTCTGGGATACCTTCCCATGCGTTGTCATCAAAGGCGCTTGTGACTATGCTGACAGCCACAAAAGCAAAGTCTGGCAGCGATATGCAGCAGCTACTGCGGCAGCTTGTACAAAGGCTTTTCTGGGTTTCTGGATCCCTTCACCTCCTCAAGGTTTGTTCCATTGATCATCTGGCGAATATAGTTAACTGTGATCCAAGATATATTACACCCGGCTTCAAACTTTGGGAACGGCCTATCCTTGGGAACCCACGACACTCCAGATTCAAGTCCGATCGCGCGTCCTGATTATAAACGTCAATCGCAACCTGCTTCCTTACCTCCGCTTTTGAAGAGTGACCTTTTCATGGGTCGTGAGGATGTTCTTGTGAGGCGGCGAAGTCTATTACTCGAATAAGTGTCGTCAGGGTGTCAGAAGAATCGGCCGCCAAGAGCATAAGAGGCGAAATAACTTGGTCATCTTATACCTGCTTGGCGGTATTGACAGAATGAAGATCGCTCTGCAGCTCGCTTTCTGTCTCAAGGATAAAAGAGAAGATTACTCAGTCTTCTGTATGCCAACGCTGAGTTATGTCAGTTTCGAGCAGGCATGCGTGCAGACCATGAACGATTTGACGTCCTAATTTCTGATGACGATAGTGCTATTGAGATAGTCCGCCCGTATCTAAGCTTAACCCACTCGGTTAAGTGGCTTCTGGTGGTTGACAACGCTGATGGTACACCCTATCATGGGTTCAGAAGGCAAACAAAGCGACATTTCTATGTCACTTGCAGAGTGCCGAAGAAAGACTGTTGTTGACGACACAGTACCAAAAACTGGCAGAATCAGTTACCAGGCGAGATATCTTTGAGATATATGCAATGAGTCCATATGAGGCTTCAAGCTACCTCGATGAGGCCTTGATTGAAGAAACCTGTTCGAGTGGTGAAGAAGCTATGCACCATCTGTTGACATTACTGATACACCTTCCACAAGCGATCACAGAGATAGCTACATATACAAACGAATATTATATATTACGCAGAGAGTATACACAGCTCTTCGTCACAGTTTTAGACCGGTCTTTAGGCTATTTTGCTTCAGCAGCCTCAACTTTAGACAGTAGATTAAACAACTATCCTCGTCTAGGTCTATGTTCTTCTTGCACTCGTTGGATACCCTTCACCGGTATCCATTTATAGCCTGAGAACACCTGCCTTTGCTACGAGAATGCGACTCAAAAATGGCTTTGAATTCTGTTCCCGCTACTGCCGCTCCTTTCGTAGGAGTGTTGTTCATGCTCTCGAGCCCAAATCATCCAACACTCGCAGTCTCTCAAACTCGACAGTCGCCGCTCACTATCCATGAACACGATTCCTTTGCCAATCTCAAGCTCATTCCCACTGGTCTCGTTCGCTGCTTTCGTGGCGTCTCCATTCCCGGATCCTCGGCCTATTGTACCATCGATCGAGGTTCAGATGTACACGTGAAGAGTCTGCTCGAGCAGACGAACCAATGTAGGCTTCCGTTGCATTCAGAGGATGTGACTCGAACAGTCTTGTGCTGGATTTCTTGGGTGTTGGTGGCGGTAGATGTCTTTGTTTTACACGAGCACAGGCCTCTTCGTGACTTGCAAATAGGTAATTGATCATATTACTCTCTGTGATCGAGTCATCAGATTTCTTGGTATCCTCTTTGATCTTGATGTTTTCTTCGGTCTCAGTGCCCTTTCCATTCTTGGCATTCTCCCCAGTCGTGGTGCTCTCGTCGGTCTCGGGATCCTTTTCAGTCTCAGTCTTGTCTTTAGTGTCAGCATCCTGTACGGTCTTATCATTCTTTAGAAGCTCAGCTCCTTTAGGAGGGGTAATAACCTCGTGGCTTGCTGTCCTCTTATCGTCCGTCTTCGAGGATTCTGAATCACTCTTGTTGAGAGTTGAGTTTGACGTCGGTGACATATTCGCAGGCGTGGAGTTGATGTCAGGCATCATGACAATGGTGCAGCTGCGTCGGTGATGGAGAAGACATTTGTGCTGGTGCCTCTTGTTAAATGCTCGAATGAAAAGTTTAATAAAAGGTCAAATAATTCTAATAAGCGCAGTCTGTCCTAAAGTATGAGATTAATTCTCGAAATGCCGTTTGGTGAAATCACAGGATATCAATAAGACTCAGTCATGTCCTAACCTACAGACGCCAATTCGTCTCTGAATAACCTCAGAACTTAAGCTTCCCCCACTCGGGCATTTTCTTGCCCAGCTCCGAGAACCTAATTTAAACGATATCATAAAGAAAATGCAAAATTACCAGATGTCAAATTCTACACCATGTCTGGTCAGCTCCATAGCACGTGTCGTCGATCCATACTGAACCTTCCCCGCAATCTGATCAAACTGGGTCACTTGCCAGATCCGAACATTCCGTAGTCAGCTTTGACCAGACACAATCTTCCAAAAACAAAGCAAGAGCAATCACAGGCACAACAATGGGAGAGTATGTCCAAGAAATAATGGTTTGATCTTTTTCATCGAGTGTTGCTCGTCTATCTTTGCTCTATGTTACTGCTCAATCTGCATGCAATGCTTGTCGAAATTATTTTTCATCCACCACCTCCGCCTCCACATCCACGACGAGACCTCCCCACGAACTGAAACCAACTTGGAACAATCAACGCTCAAACGACTTTCGTATACCCCATACCAGATCCGATACCATGATGCTGTTTAAGCAGAGGGCTTGAGAACGGCAGGAGCGGTGCCAACCTTGTTACGGTTGCGGAAGAAGAGAACACCCTTGCCAGCACCCTGGGCATCAGCGCTGGGCTCAACCCACTGGCACATACGAGCACTGCGGTACATGGCGCGGATGAAACCACGAGGACCATCCTGGACGTCGGCGCGGTAGTGCTTGCCCATAACAGGCTTGATGGCCTCGGTGGCCTCGTCGGCGTTGTAGAAGGGGATGCTGCTGACGTAGTGGTGGAGGACGTGAGTCTCGATAATGCCGTGGAGGAGGTGGCGACCGATGAAGCCCATCTCACGGTCGATGGTGGCAGCGGCGCCGCGGACGAAGTTCCACTCGTCGTTGGTGTAGTGGGGAAGAGTAGGGTCGGTGTGCTGAAGGAAAGTGATGGCAACGAGCCAGTGGTTGACCCAGAGGTAAGGGACGAAGTACCAGATGGCCATGTTGTAGAATCCGAACTTCTGGACGAGGAAGTACAGAGCGGTACCCATCAGAGCAATACCAATGTCGCTCAGAACGATAAGCTTGGCATCGCTGTTCTCATAAAGAGGGCTGCGGGGGTCGAAGTGGTTGACACCGCCACCAAGACCGTTCTTCTTGCCCTTGCCACGGCCCTCCTTCTGCTTCTCGTGGTAGTTGTGGCCAGTGACGTTGGTCATGAGGTAGTTGGGCCAGCCGACCAGCTGCTGGAGAACGAGCATGATCAGGGTGAAGACAGGAGTCTCCTCGGTAAGGTGAGCAAGCTCGTGGACCTTCTTGCCGAGACGAGAAGCCTGCTGCTCGCGAGTTCGGGGAACAAAGACCATGTCGCGCTCCATGTTGCCGGTGGCCTTGTGGTGCTTTCGGTGGGAGATTTGCCAGCTGAAGTAGGGAACGAGGAGGGAAGAGTGAAGAACCCAGCCAGTGATGTCGTTAACGAGGCGAGAGTCGGAGAAAGCACCGTGACCGCACTCGTGAGCAATGACCCAGAGACCAGTGCCGAAAAGACCCTGGAGGATAGTGTAGACGGCCCAGAGACCAGCACGGGCGGGGGTTGAGGGGATGTACTCGGGGGTCACAAAGTTGTACCAAATGCTGAAAGTGGTAGTGAGGAGGACGATGTCGCGGAGGATGTATGCGTATCCCTTGAGGGCGGAGCGCTTGAAGCAGTGCTTGGGGATGGCATTGTAGATGTCCTTGATGGTGAAGTCGGGAACCTCGAACTGGTTGCCGTAGGTGTCGAGCATAACACCATATTCGGACTTGGGCTTCGAGATGTCGGCCTCAGAGAGAGAGGAGAGCGAAGTAGAAGAGGCCGAGTGCCGGGGAGAGTCTGAAGGAGAGACGGCGGCAGACTCAGAATCAGTCACGGTGGTGGAAGTGACATTGCGTCTAAGAGCAGGGGCCTGCTTAGGCATAGCCGAAGTGGACGCCATTTTGAAGGAAAGGTTTACGGCCGACAGAAGAGAAAGTCGAGATGCCGAAGACAAACTGTCCAAGAGAAGAGAGAGAGGGAAAAAGGCGAGTGAAAAGAAAAAAAGAGTTTCGAGATGGCTAACGGGGGCTGAAGTTTTAAAGTAGTAGCTGTCCGGATGGATGCATGCTCGGCAAACGTTTTGTTGGGGCGTGGAGCCTGAAAAAAAGGCAGGCAAGTACTGAACAGTACCGACCGACCTGCCACGGGGCGGGACAACGAACAGAGACAGCGGCGAATGCGGGCAAACCACGGGAGAAAAGGTGGAACGATACAATTGACAGTTTACGGTACATTGTTGTACTGCCTCCTGTCTCTGGCAAAAAGATCGACAATCCTGAGATGAGACAAGTAGCGAGTTTTACGGATAACAGCACGGATACATGCAACGAGCGATAAGCGGAAGTTTACCAAGATCTGGATACACCAACTTATGCTCTTTTGAAGCTTCTCACAAATTGGGTTTCTTTCATGGAAGTTTGTGAATCTTCTTTCACATTCAGATTCACAGCAGTTTGAAGAAGTAATTGCAAGACCTCAAAACTAACAAAAATTCCGTACCCCAGGAAAATGCGCTAGAAAACGGGTCCTGGTTCTACCCACCCCTGAAAGTGGCAATAGCTCCCATGTACCGAAGCGAAGCAGAACCTCAAGCGACGGAGCGGCCGTCCGATTTTAGTGACTGTGGCCATGTCATGTTTTGTGTCTCTGATTTTGCTGCAAGTTGAGTTGGCTTGACGGCTAGGACAGTGGCTGGCTGAATTGCCAAGTCTGCACTTGCGGGCCATTTTACTACTACAGTGTCACCAATTAAGCTCTCAGATATGGTCATCAGATAAGATGGCTTCCGTGATGGTGTTTGCGAAGCGGCCTCCATCGTAAACATCTGTTATCTACATTCTTGATGTGCCCGTTGATCTGAACCAAACCGATGTGTATCCGTGATATGGCAATCAAGCCGTTGCCGAAGCCCGGACCCGATCTTGAACCTGGCCGGCTTTAATTCGAGCAGTGGCATGACTTTTAACAATTGTCGCCTCCAAAAGCTCTGAGCTTTTGCGGACTGCAATGCATTTCTGGATGCCTATCAATTGCTGCAACCTCTCCCTTCAGCCTCTAGTTCAGATCTTCACACCGCCTGAAGAATGGATCTACCCACCAACGGGACATGTCCGATTACACTGTGATGTACTGTAATGTATACAAATGGACGGTGACTGCACAAAGCTGGTAACGTTTTGTGAAACACAAATGCAGCATCACACATTCGGCCTCTTGAGACAATCGATGGCGTCGAATTACAAGCGTGCAAGCAAGACGAGCAGCCTCATGATCTCCTAAGCAAGTACAGCACAGTACGCGCCCCTCCAATCTTCAAATCGGGGGTGAAAGCTCATGCGGGTCAAAGTGGACATCCAAGTTTAGGGCTGGAGATCATCGACATGTGAATCAGTCAGTAAAAAACGACCAGACACAGGCAGGGTGAAACCGGGAGTCGACGTCGACCACGGCCCCTACCCGATCGTGGCTGGTCTATTTTTTTTTGTTGACGATGCGATGTGAATTAGACCACAGTCGATTGGATGTCAAAAGTCGGGAGGAAAAGCTCAGACATTGACAAGGAAGATAAATCTGTTTAATCCACCCCGGTCCCGTTGTGGAGAGATGGATTGTATACGGATTCTCTCGATCTCTACAGACTGCTGAATTGAATTGAGGTGGTGATGCATCATGGCATAGATGGCTGAATGGTTCATGGTCATCGACATGTGAAAGTGTGTTATCTACGAGAGAGAAAATGTTTGGATTGGACCGAGGTGTGCTGCAAAGGTCAGCTCGTGCTAAGATAACCTTACTTACACGGAACGGTTATCCGTAGAGTGCAGCACAGTACCTCAGTAGATCCATCTTCAAAGACTGACTGACTGACTGATTTCGAAATGGTGGAATACGGCGCAGTCCAACTCAAGCTTCTGCCATCGGGAATATTTCCTTTTCTTTGGTGGAGAGTCGGACTTTCCGAGCGTCAATTGGAAGGATAATCGAATTTTTCTCCTTCCGTTCTGTTGGGAATTTTGTTGAGTTCAAGGCGGGACCCCTTGTCTTGGCAATCACGGTCCAGGGTTCGATGGAGGGGGAAGGAGAAGTGGAGAAGGGGGAAGAGTGGATTCCTTCCCGATTCGACTGGTGGATTGATTGTGGCGTAGAGGTCGACAGCTTCAAGACTGTCATTTTCTGGAGCTCCATTACAGTAATGGCTGTTGCTTGTGGTCATCAGGTTGAGCTTTGAAATTGAACTGACTTTGTTGCGGACCGTGCTGACCTACTGGAATGTTTGTACGCTGCAACTCAATTGTCAGTATCAAATGGATTTGCCTCCCTTGTTCTAGGGTCCAGACGCCCCACGTGTTTCGCCTACTAGCGCCGCTGGTTTTCTTTTTTTGCGGCTCTAGACTTGAATCGTGCCTGGCCAAAGACATTCAAACCCCGCCATTGACCCCTCCACTCTATCATGACTTTTGGAGACAATCAAGTGTGAACCTGAGATCAACGACACAGCGATATCTGAACAGATGTTGTCGCCTTTTCGTTACATCTTGATTACTATAACTTCATCATGGAATGGTCATGTAGCCAAGCCTTACTCAGGATGCAGTCATACTGTGAAGTCCTTGGCCTCCCTAGTATTTGTTGAATGGTCCTTAACCAGGCTTCTCGCAAGTCAGAAACAAGTCAGATCATGATGGTTCGATCACGAATATTGATCGGTTCCTTGTCGTCAGGGTGTTAGAAGAATCGGCCGTGGGAAGCATAAGAGATGAAATGATTTGGTCATCTTAGGCTTGCTTAGTCTAGCACTTTATTTTGGCAGCCTAAGACGACATTTCTTCTGTTACCCACCTACCGGGCTGCTTGTATCATCACAACTACAAGGATGCCAGATTTATCAAAAACTTTCTTTGGCTAGGTACTCTACCGTACAATGTACATTCTATTCCAGTTTACCACCGTCCAAATTACTGTAGAAGGATTCCTTCCTACTGCCAACAAAGCCAATATCTTTCCCAGTCCGAATCCTCGTTCTCGGTATCTCCAGGAATCAAGAATGCGTTAATGTCTCGAGGGCGGCCATGTGTCGTCTTCCTCTTCGTTATCCCATTTTCGCATCCTGTTGTATGTCACTTCTACAAGCCCAATAAATGACGTTGTAGATGGCCGTTGCTTGTGGGCGGTTGTTCGATGCATATGGGGCATTCCCAGCTTGTTATCTATAAGTTCCCTCATTGGTAGTACAAACAAGTATTCGGTTGAATCCTCCGGATGGCCCATAAGCCATGTCACTTCAGTTATTCATCTGTCCCTGGATCGAGTGACTGTCCTCGAACGGTTAATGCATGCTAAATTCTGATCTCGTGTTGGCAAGCTCTCAAAGCTTATCAGTTGCTTCGTCGGCTCATGGAGTCGGGACGTTAATAGTCGCCCGGAGTCTGACTACCAGCTGGGCGTCGAGGGAGGTCGGTTCGTGGCTCGGTAGTTGGGTCGGGTCCTGTTGGGCATGTTGTCATGGTAGGTATCCTGTCATTGCCTCGAGACCGGTGTACTTGTGTTTCAATGGGCCCGTAGCTTGTCTTCGGCCGTTGAGGTGATCGGGGCCGGGATCGTTGAGAAGATGGCGTGCGCGTACCATGGATGTCTCTGCCGCCGAGTGCGAAGTTGGTAGCAGGAGGCAGGTCTGAAAAATGACTTTCGTATCGTGGCCGCTTTGCCTGGTCATGCGACGACGCTTTTGGGTTGTTGTCGTCCTTGAAGCTCGCCCCTGAACCTCGAGAGTTCGTCCTCGCATGACTGCGCGTTGGGAGGTCCAGATCTTTTCTCTTCCCCGAAGATACCTCCCAACTCTTCTCTGAAGGCCGAGCTGGCAGTGAAAGGAATGGAGGGGTTCCCCGAAGAGTTGGTCCCTGCTGGGTCGGTCCCAGAGATGACATAGGCCTCTGGAGACCTGGAGGAGCTGCCTGACTGGGTGGGGTCGTAGAATTGACGGGTTCGCGCAAGGCCGCAGTAAAGTATCCCATGTGTATCTTGCAGAATCGTTGCGCAAAGACGAGGTTCCATTGGTCGACGAGTTCATCCAGTTCGGGGTGGGATTGTGATACGGCAGGCAATCGTTCCTCACGCATGCTGGATCGTCTCGGTTGACACCAAGACTCGATACCCTTCTGAACCGCTTGCCAGTCTTTGAATTTGCCTCGGGTGATGGGCTTGCGCTCCAGCGAGTCCCGTGCCTGAGTCCAAAAGGGCTCTTGGTCTGTCTGCACGGCTGGCGGCATGTCGAGGTAGCGGTCCTTCAGAGACAAGCAGGTCTCCAATGCCTTGATCTTGCAATCATGACTGTATGTTGATCTCTCAGTGTCGTTTGTCCGAGATCGGTCTGGGACAGCAGCGGCTGACTTAGCACGTAGGCGGTTTGTTCCTGTGCCGGGAGGACCTGCACTGGGCGGGCCCGTCGAGTCGTTGCTGGAGAAGAATGGAAGTGGCTTCGAGTTGTATGTGTGGTTATTCTTACTCACTTGGGGCTGTGCTTCCTCTCGTCGTGTGGTATAACGACCTCTTTTACCGCTGTGTTGTGAAGGAACTCGTGTTGGGGTTTGAGCAGCGTCAGGACCAGGAGGAGTATGAGCCCGCGCCCGAGCTGGGCTCGTCAAGTCGATAGATACGGTTTGTTTCTCCTTTTCATTCTTCTTCCTTTCCTTCCTTTCCTTCTTGTCTTTCTTGCTCTTTTTTGGTCTCCCTTTGTTCTTCTCTGTCGGTTGGGACAGAGAAGGGTCCATCTTGTTCACTGAGGCAAAAGGTGTAGATTTGTAGGCTGCCGTCAGGGTGTTAGGAAAATTGACCGCTGAGAACATAAGAGACGAAATAATTTTAGTTACCTTATGCTAAATAAGGCTGCCTTCTAGAGTCTTAGGTAAAGGAAAAATTCTTCTGTTGCCCAACTGGCCGAAAATGGTTTGTTTTGGTGGTGAAGGTGGAGAGGTTGGCAGCTGTTTGGCAGTGAAGCAACTCGAACCTCCCATAAGACGGGATTGCTTTGGTGCGCAGCGCCAGGTCCGTCAATCTCCCGCATCCTAGGTTTGGTCAGCTGTCTTCCTAGGCAGTCTGTAAGGTAGAAGTGCATCGGGGTGCAGAGAAATTAGACTGCTAGGAATAAAGTCGTCTCAGTGCTACTCTAAGCTGGCGTAAGGTAACCAACTTATTTCATCCCTTATGACTTCGGTGGTTAATTCTTAGAGAACATTTCTTCTATTGCCTACCTAAAGTATTGTTGTTTGTGTAGAGGTGCGATCTTGATCGTCCGTTTTAAGCCAATCCAAACTTTGGATTGATTCACTTGGACTCAGTACGAAATCTTAGCCTATAGGTATCAAGGGATTGATGCTATGTTTATCTGTAGTCTATTGTACAACAAATTCTAATCTTGACTCTCAGTTCTCAAATCTATTCGTCACCTTCTACCATTATTCTTTTCCATTCCATCATCCAGTTGGACAGTCAAAGTCTCTCAAATTTGACATGTAGTCTTACTCGTCAGGTAAAGCAAGGTATTCCAATAAGTCTCAGTCCTTAGATGAAGCGAGGCGTTCCAAAGGCCTATAGATACGCCTAAGATCTGGACTAGGACGTCAAATTTTCTCAATTTTAACCCCTCATGTTACCTCGGGACATCTTGAAAAGCAGCATCAGCTTCTCCGAATGATCCAAAGCTTCAAAATCCGCCGTTGTCTCTCGAAATCGAGAAGGCGGCATGCTATCCCGCTGTCGTTGTGATGGGGTGGTATGCCGTACACTGCGAGATGCGCTTCGTTTGAACGTGAACGGCTTGTTGGCAGATGCAGGGATCGGAGAGGGCGTCACGAAGAGTCCTGGCTCCTTGCTGAAGCGCGGAACGGGAGGCTTGGTGTTGCTGCGATTTACCTCACTTTCCTTGCCCTTGCTCGATGGCGGAGTAGACGCCATGTTCGGAGCCGTTGAGCTCTGTCGAACTGGGGATGAGAGCTTACCCAAACTTGAGCTGAATAGCTCCTCCAGAGAGGGAAAGTCCGAACAACTGGAGGCTGGACTTTGCATAGGCTCTGGTGACTTTTTATCCAGGACTGGCTCCGACGCTTGTCCATCTAGAATAGGCTCCAATGATTGTCCTTTCATGATAAGCTCCGCCGACTGTCCGTCCAGAACGCGCTCCGTCGATTGCCAATCTAGACGCAGTCTCTTGCTGGCTGATCGAACTGGAGTCGGTGTCATCTCCGATGCGCGTCTCTTCGCGGCAGCCCTGTTCAGCTCTCCCTGCTTTTCGCTGGCAGTTTCTAATTTGCCTTCTTGTCGCTGAATTACAAGATTGTCAGGGGTTTCAGGAAGCCTTCCGGTGTGGCGACTTGGAGTGTTTGTCGCGGAATGGTCATGCAAAGAGCTATGAGTACGACCGCGTTTCTGTAGCTGTGAAGATTTGAGAGTCTTCGAGTACTTCTTCTCGTAGGTGCGTAGCTGAGTCATAAGTCGAGGGGTGACAATAGGGGTATGCGGCTCTACCGAAGGCACGACACTGTCTTCCTCGTCAATATCAAACGGGTCGTCTTGGTAGAGTGAGCCGTCGTCATCTAAGATTGTCGTTGCCTCGCTGTCTTCGGACTCCTCTTGCTCATCATCTTCCTCTCGCCCAGCGTGAGAATACTGCCATCCAGGTTGGCCTTGCTCAACATCGGTTTCCAGCTCCTTGGTTTCCTGTGGCTCAGAAGGCTCCTCTTGCTGGATGCACTCGCCCTGGTCAGCGAGCTCTTGTTCGAGGGGCTCTTCTTGTTCGACTGGCTCATTTTGCTCTTCGTCTGCCTCCCGCTCGTCATCAGGCTCTTGCTCTATGTGATCTTCCGACTCGGTCTCTTCCACGGTGGTCTCGGTGATCAGCCCAGACAAGCTTGCTTTTAGACCTGGTAACAGGTTCATCACCATCGACATGACAGCTTCACTCTTTGCCACCACGGAAGGGGTCTGCGCAAGTCTCTCTCGAAGGAATCGAACGTACAGTTCGTACTCTTCAGGCGTGCTATTTGCTTTTAATCGCGGGGTTCGCGTCAATGATCTGAGTGAAGTCACTTCCTCGTCCAGCAAAGCTTTAATCTGCGTGTGGATCTCCTTTTCGCTCAGTTCCACAATCTTTGGTTTCATCAAAGGCCATACGAAGCTCTCAAAGTACTTAGCTGAGAAACGACGTGCCTGGGCTTCCGAAGGTTCAGACTCGGGCTGAAGAAGATCTCGGTGGACGTCTTGTTGTCCAGTTTGCTCCTTGCTCTTCTCGTTGTCGTTTTCCCCCGCGGCAACAGGCTTGGTGACTGAGAAAATAGAGCTCGAGTCCGGAACGAGGGGTTGCTTCGACTGGGAGGAGAGGTCGATTCTATGCTCAACGGGATGGATATCACCTCGCTTCACTCTACGTCGGTTGTAATCATACTTCCGATCGTTAGTACTTGGTTCATTATAACTTAGAGAAACGACTCACCAGGTTATTCGAGTATATCACCGATTTTAGACCATTAGAAGGTCGTCCTTGAGACGAATTCCCTGACCTAGCATAGGCAAAAGAATGTGCATTCTATACACTCTGTTCCTTTTGCGATGCAAATTTGCGCAATGCTTCGGGTGTCGGGTATAACATCCTCGATCCACGACTCAAAGGAGGTTGGCGATGGTTGCTTCGAGACCTGGCAAGTTTATCATCGTGGAAACCTGTCCCTTTTTTCTTGATCGTGATACTAGGCTCACGAGACCGGAAAGTAAGTGGCCGATGCTGATCCGGGGTGCCACGGGTTGAACTTCCCTCTTCCCGATTGAAGATGGGGGAAGCAGCTTCTTGAGCCAGAAATTCGTTCATCCAATAATGGCTATCCTGGCTCGGCTGGCGCGAGCGAGAATGAGGCGAGCCTCTAAGATCGGAAAAATTTGGACAGTTGAATTTGATCGAGTCCTGGGTCGACTTTTCTCTATCTGGAGGCGACTTGGAGGAGCCCATCATGAGCAAGGGGAAGCAAATCATGTACAGACACTTGAACTGTATGAAACGACGCAAAATGGGAGAATCGAGGAGGAGGAGAAGGCGATGAAAAATTGAGGAAACGGAGAAGAAAAGAAGATCTTGGTTGGCAAAAATGCTTCCAAGTGGCTGGATTGCTAGCAGTGCGAGGCAGCTGGCAGTGAATCACAGGCCTGAGATTAGCTTACGCAACCTGAGGCTCGGAAACTTAACGAAGGCCTCAGAAAACCAAGCTTAATCGGCAAGAAAGGTTTTACCCTCAATATGCAGATTTAATCTGACTTCGTCTTAAACGGAGTTTGAAGGAAACTCTCGGAGTTGAAGAAAAGTCTGCTGATGTCTAAGATTTACTTAAATAGCCATGACTGCACTGCGTTATGATGATCAGAAACTTCGGTCAAGCAGGGCGGCGACCTGTTTTTGTATTCTGCCTACCGATCGCTAAAATCTGCAATGTTCTCATTTGATCTTCATGCCATTCCCGTACAATGGCGAAGCCACTGTATATGCGGCATGTATCGCCCAGGCAAATCCTAACAACTCTAGCAGAACATGCCCTCGACTTCCTTTTCCCATCGCTCATATCAACATTACGAACAAGATAAACGCCATACCAGTCATTGGAGTGTCAGAAGAATTGGCTACTAAGAGCACAAGAGACGAAATAGTTTCGTTACCTTATGGTAGCTAAGACCAGCACTTAGGCTACTTTATTTTGGTAGCCTAAGCCTTAGACAATTCTTGTGTCGCCCACCTGCCTGGTTACCAAGCCACCAGGGCTCCGTCGGTATCGATCACCGCCTTCAATCGCTCCGGCATGAAGTTGACCCATACGTTGAACCTTTCCATATCAAATGTAGTCCAAGCGTCGCGGACCATCTTCTGGAGGGTTTCGTCTTCCCAATCCTTTGGTGCCTCCATTGCCCATTGCTTGTTCTCGGGCCAGAGGCAGTCGAGAGGGTTGAGGTCGGGGCTATCACCACAGTTGTAGTAATATCGGAGGCCATGTTCGTCCTTCCATTGTTGAACCAGGTTGATCTTGCTTGCAGCGCCGTGGGCGAAGGCTTCGCAGTCTTCCTCGAGGATGAAGCTCTGCGGGCCGGTACTGGTGAGCCAAGGCTTGACTGTCTTTTCCAGGATGTGGTCCTTGTATTCCTGCATGGTCATGACACCCGTGCAGTTGGGGCTTGTCGAGTCTTCATAGAATACAGCTTCGCTCTTGAAACCATAGCCGACGGCAACCCAGGCGTGAGCCTTTCTCAAGTCGCGTGGCCAATCAGCCTCGGGTTTGGTGCTGCATGCTTCGCAAACTCGCTCTCCAGGTCGGGGGATGAGGCGCATCTTTCCATCTAGGCCGAATCCAAAGTGCAGCTCAATGCTGAACCGGACAGCTTTCCAATCTTCGGCATGGGGGTATGCATCCAGCATGCGTCTGGCGTACTCAACTCGCTTCTCACGAGCTTTCTTGTGCACGCAAGTGCGTGGACATAACAGGCACTTTCGGTATCCCAAAGTACCCATGGTTCTGTGCAGGGTCCTGGGGTTCACATCGACCTCGACGCCAGCTTCCTTGGCCAACCCGTGCCAGTTCAAGTTCACGTTAACATAGCGTTCGTCCCAAAGGATCTTCTCCATCTTATTCTGATCCTCCTCTGAAATCTTGAGCGGCCTTCCGCGTGTTTCCTCCCATTCGGGATCATTGCGCTTAGATGCGGGAACACTCAGCGCAGCGTAGCCTTGGGAGCGAGACAAGTCGAAATGTCGAAAAATGGCCGATTTGTTGACGGGGAGGCCTTGCGACTCAAGATACGAGATAGTGCCTCGGACCATGGCCTTCTTCGGCGTGTCTCCATGCTTGTATCCAGCTGGCATTCTGACTACCTATGTCATACAGGCAGCTTAGCTGACACCCTAGGTCAGGGCAGATAAACGATCACTTCACGAGGGTCGCGTCGCGCCGCGCTCGGTCTCAGCCCAGAATATCTTCGCGGTGTAAGTGGGTGGTGGGTGGAGAGAATGAATAGGACGGCGGTGTTTGGATGTTTTTGTCTGCTCACGTTGTACGTGGTGAGGGGTCAAATTCGCGATGATCACGTGGCATCGTTCGTGTCACCTTCGTAGGTATCCCTGTTGTTATTGGGGTCTAGCCGCTATTTTGTTAGTCTCGTGCAGGAGGAGGCTGGTGCCAACTTACCCGCAGACCAGAAGTATTGGCCGTCATAAGCATAACAGACGAAATAGTTTAGTCATATTATGCCAGTTTAGATAAGCATTTAGGCTACTTTATTTTGGTAGCCTAAGCCTTAGAGGACATTTCTTCTGTTAGTGAGGACTCAAGGCTCCACGATCTCGTGTGGTGAGAGTCATATTCAACAACAGGCAAACAACCGCTCAATCATTAAGCAATAGCCCTTGTGGCGTAATGGCTAACGCGTCTGACTTCTAATCAGAAGACTCAGGGTTCGAGTCCCTGCTCGGGCTTTTTTTGTCTCTTTCTTCATGAATGAGTCTCTCTTTTTGAATTAATCAGTTATGATTTTGTGCCGTTTTTGTGGCCTTAATATCGATAATAAGCGATCATTTCCTCAACCAACAAGCTACAGCCCGTGTGGCGTAATGGCTAACGCGTCTGACTTCTAATCAGAAGATTGCGAGTTGTACGTTCAATTCCTCCTTCACAGTGTTTAGATATTAACCAATCAATAGCGAGTCTCGCCATGGGCTTCCAATTATCTTTTTTCTGAACGAGTCTTTCTTTTTGAATTGATCAGTTATGATTTTCTACCTACGCAGTGGTTTTAATGTCGATGAAATCGATTTTTGCGAGGACCATTTTGCAATAAGTGGGTCTGCGGGCCGCAGTCCCGCTCGCGATAAGCTTAACCTTCACGAGGTTCCTTCCTTCAGCATAGAAGAAAGGCTGGGCAGTACTATATCTAGTCACGAGATGCTGCATTCAAGTTCCGGGATAGCTGTTGTCGAAAGCTTGTGGTCGGATGCTTTTCTAATTTAGCGAAGCCAACCCTCAATTGGCTTCGCAATTGTGTTATATGGACCGCTTAAGGTCTTATATTCAAGGCACTTGACTTTGTGGTAAATGTTCGAAGCAAAAGCACAGTATGTAATCTGTGGAAGGCCTTGATGTACACAGCCAGGTAGTTTCAGAAGAATTATTCTCTAAGACTTAGGCTACAGAAATAAAGTAGCGGCCAATCTTCTAATACCCTGACGGTTTGGAAGGTTCGATGAGCTCCTCACAAACGACAGTCTGCCTGAGGTGGCTTGCCAAGGTGGAAAAGTCTGACTTCCCATGAGATGGCTCTACCTATTGATTCGATAGAACAAAACCTTGGGGTTCAATTGTCGTGCCCTCTATGTCGATGTTGTACGTACCTAGGTAGGTATCTGGTACTCAGGTGTTTGGATGCCAACACCGCGCTGTGCATACCTCCTACCCTGCACCTCAATCCACTCTCTGGAGAAGAACGAAAACGAAGTCAACTTGAGTTATAGCTTGGCTAAATATCTAGTTTGATGAAGACGCTATGGGACAAAGACTTCCTTGGCTTTCAAATAACTTAGATCGGTGTGTGAATTTAGCTGTGACATTATTTCAAAGTCGAAGTTGTCGGATTAAGTTCGCTCACAACGGTCGCGAGGTCGCTGTTCCTAACGTCTCCTTACCCTCCGGTTAATCATATGTACCATGAAGTTTCAATTACCGATGGTCCTGATTGTTTCAATTCGTTTCACAGAACAAATTGTATGTCATATCATCATCAAAAATATATTGATTTAAATCTCGCCACCCGAAATCTGGGCAACGGCAATTGTGAAGATAAAACACCGCTCTATAGTCCCTCCAAAATATTTCATAAACATAGGTACCCCCCACATCCCATCAAAAGATCCGCAGTCCATGTAAGAAACGCCGTGAAATGTAGTAGTAGATATGTTCCCCATCTATACCAAATGTACGGCTTGAAATCCAAGCAAGCACCCAAAAGCTTTTCCAAAAAGGTAGCCCATGACAAAACACCTAGGCTTTTCCTGCCTCACGCACTGACATCATGAATTTGTCCTCGGCGCCTACCTCACCAGCGACTCTGGCTGCAGAGACCTTGGCATTTCTTTCGTTGAGGATCGTCTTGACTTCATCGGCCGTTTTGGCTCCGAGTAGCGTCATCTCTCGACTGAGAAGTAGAGCGACAGTGGCTCGAATTAGCAGAGCATCGCCTTCAAAGACATAAACGTCCCATAGCCGGGCTGCTTCGTCAATGGCAAGATGTTGGGTGAATACGGCTGTCAAGATTCCTGCCAAACATTGTTCGAGTTCGGCAGTTGGGATCTTTTTGATGAGGTGCGCGTGAAGAGGTGCAGACTTGAGCGACAGGGTCTGCATCACAAGATTAAATGCAGAAGCTTGTGCGCCTGGATCGCCAGTGTAAAACGAAAGAGGCAATGGGCGGTTGAGCACGTTGGCAAGTGCGACGAAGGCGGATGCGGCATCAGGTAGGTTGAGGAGTAGCAAGGCAGCAATTGTCTGACGGACTTGGTTAGCATCTCGAGTAGCACAATGGGGCTGATGATATACTTACGTTGCAACCCCGAACATAACCAATGTCGCTTCTGTACATGGCATACGCGCTCAGCACGTCAACGAGACTTTGGTGCAATGGTCCCTCGACCTCGAAAATCCTCAAGTCCTGCCATGTGTTCTGGGCAGCATCTTTTCGTATCTCTTGGAACCACTTTGCCTTCCTGGCGTCGTCTGCGTTGCCCTTGTCGTCATTGACTCTGGCCTCGACCTCCTGGGCTCTTGCAAGAGCCGCTTTGAACGATGTCTCCGAGAGACCCAATTCGTTGCCGATCGCTCGACCCCAGATAACACCTCGACTGCGGGGTGCGATACCCTTCCACCAAAGTTCTCTCGTCCTGCGCTCCCGGATGGCTTCGCTCCATCGTGGAATGACATCCCTCTCCCAAATCTGCATTAGATTGTCGGCTGTGCTGTCTCGTCCTTCGATCTTGGCCCTGCGAGAAGCTTCGCGTCGCTCGTCGGCCTTTTGACTGGCTGCCATCATCTTCTGATATTCCTTCAAATGTCGACGCTCCTCGGCAGGGTCCTTAGGCGGCAACCATGAGGGACGCGTGCGGCTCAAGACAGCTTCCTTCTCCTTGGAAACAGGAAGGGGGTCAATCATGATATTTGTCTTGCGAAGAGGTGGTAGTTCTGGGGTTGACTTGACGCGCTGCTTCTTCTCATACATGTCGGCAGATCGTCGAGATGCATTCCAAGTATTGGGGCGTTGGTTTGCGGGGCGCTTGGCTTGCTTCTCTATTTCCTCGTCGGCGTGCTCTTCGAGCTTTTCGGTCAGAGTCTTGGCTTCGGCGTTCAATTCTGCCAGTGCTGCATTCCAACTATGCGCTCGTGTTTGGGAAGGGCTGCGAGGTTTGTCGTCGGTTTTCCAGGTGGGCGAACGGAGAGAGCCTGAGGCTTGGGCAACAGCAGGCGTTCCATTTCCGACACTTCGGACACGCTCCTTGGATCGATTGGGGGAGGGTGACACGGATGATGGTCTGCTAGGTGTTCGCTCCTGCATAGGTCGAGGAGACAGCGGTACGTTGTCGAGGAACATGCCATCGGGAATATCATCACCGTCATCTTCGTCGCATTCTCGCTCGAGGTCGGTAAATGACTTGCGTTCCCGGCCAGTTTGCCAGCTGCTTCGACGGGGCTTTGCAGTCAAACTGGGTTCTCTCGGATCTCTCGGGTTGAGCGAATAAGCAGGGCTCGGGCTTCGTCGTCGAGTGAAGGTGAGAGAGGCTGAAGATGGACTAGTCAGGGTCTTGGGCCGCGTGGCAGAAAGAGGCTCTGTCAATGCGCTCAAATTGGTGCTTCGGGGGTTCGAGGTGTATACGTTGGTCTCGAGTGTTGGGAAGGGTGGGCGAGCTTTGGAAGCGGTCTTGCCAGCCACCAGGGATCGACTCGAGGGTGCCTTGTTCAGACTGGGACGAACGTCGACTTTCGATGGACTTTTGAGGGTGACATTGTCATCGTCGAGACCGATCTCTTCAAAATGGCCAATGTCGGCCATGACACTGCCATCATCGCCGCTGTCTAAAGATTGGAAAGAGGATGTCTTTGAGCTCTTTGAAGTAGTCATTCCTGGCGGAGAGTCGGGGCTGGGAAGATGATTGCCGATATCAAGAGTGCGAAGCATTGTCGCATCGCTCGGAGGAGTGGAAAGCTATTGAACGAGATGAGAGGACTCTGTTGACTCTCCAAGGTGCTCTTCTAGTGTTTTTTGTTGTTGTGGATATTAGGGGTTATGTTCGATCGAGTTTGTTCGGGATTCTGGCTTCTGGTATCGTCGAAATGTCCAAGGCGGATTTCCCTCCTGTTTTGTTCGGGTACGCCGCGGTTGGCTTTGCTTCGTCGATTTGGCGGTAACCGTTGTTATGGGCACTGAATGTCGGGGCAAGAGGAGCTGTTTCAAGATTGCCGGGGTAAGACTCGATTACCAAATTACCGGGCCAAAAGAAGTCGTACTAGCAAAGCAATTGGGGCCGGATCGAAATCGAAATAGGGACAAAAAGCGAAGGTATGAAGTGAAGATTTGAAGTTTATTTCGATGTGCCGTGGTAAGGTCAAAGGGATTCAATCGATCAACGATAGACTGGGGTTGGACAATGTAATGCGTAAGATATAGCAGACACTCTTATACTCCCATTGAGAAAGGTCCAAAAGAGGAGAACAGGATTTTTGCAATCCCAGATGGCGGTAATAGTAAGCAGCGATCGGGGCCGTGATGACGGAAATATTAGCCAAAATTAAGCGCGGAGGTTCGAAGGAAGTGGCCGCCTTCAAAACAAAAGGGGGATTAGTTTAAGGTTAGAGGGTTTGAGACAAGAAGATTGAAAAGATGAAGATGATGCAGTAGAGACAAGGAAGGAAAAAGGGAAAGAAGGGGATGATAAGATGAGAGAGAGGGAGGAAGCAAGGAAAAACGAGTGAGATTCAAGCAACAAGACAAGGAAGTCAAGGTCAAGCAAGTCGAGATGCCAACTTTAGGTACTAGAATAGTGTAGTTCTACAGTGCTCACAGTAAGGAAAGGTACCTCCAGGTAAACAATCAAGTCCAGTCCAGTTTAAACCGGGAAGTGGATGACGATCCCCAAACAAGAGAGAGGAGACGATCCCCGCCCACACACATAGACCGCAAAGAAAAAAAGATGGAAATGATTGTAGTCTCTCATATAAAAATAGCGCCAGAGTGACATGGGCTGAGCATGGGTATGGACAGGCCTTTATCGAGCCCACGCCAATCCAGGGGCTGGATCTTCTTCATGGACTGTGCATCACCGCTAATACATTGTGAGGGTTACAGTGTCAATTCTGCAGCTCCGCTGCTGATTTAATCTCGGCCGCATAACCCGCTACTATAAACAGGGACAGCCAGTCATGTTCTGATATCCCGCGAGGCCTCAACTTTGTCTTTGGAGATCTCGATACTTTGTACTGTACTGTTTTTCTACTGGGTAACGGAAATTATCCCTCAAACCTTAAGTACTACAATAAAGCAGCGCAAATGCTTGTGTCAGTCGCCGTTGAGCGTCTGGATTATTTCGTCTCTTACACCTGCGGTAGTCAATTTTTGACGACTCGACACGGTAGGCAATACCCTGGCAGCCCTGGCTAGCCTCAGAAAAACAAGCAATTTCGCGTCCCATTCTTTCCCACGAGCCAACGGAGCCCTACGAACCATGTACCTCCTGAGCCCCTCTGTGCAATACCACCTACTCCAAAGCTTAGAACATCAAAATAAAGTGGCATAAATGTTGGTCTACAGTGACCAAATATTTCGTCTCTTAGGACATCAATTAGATAAAGCAAGTCTCATGTTATCATAAAATAGCCTAAGATCATCCCGACTACGATCGATACTTCTTTCCACAGCTTGTTCCTCCACCAGATCTTCGCCCTTTATCCATAGCTCGTACCTTTTCAATCAGCTCTTGGCTATCAAAATCTGAATCCGAACCCGAGTCCTCGTCGTCGGTGCCTCCCGGGATCAAGAATGCGTTGATACCCTGGGGAAGCTCGTGCTTCTTTGTCTTCTCCATCTTGAGCCTCCTTTTTTCAGCCTTCCTTCGAGATTTTCGCCTTTTCCCATCATCATTGCGGAGCGCTTCCTCCACGAAAACTTCGTAGGCCTTAACTCTCGCGCTGAGCAATGGGACTGAAGAGCCTGCTATTTCTGAGAACTTGATGGTAAGGTTGTGCCAGAAGTTCTCACGTTGCTTGTCGGTTTTGATGCCTCGGTGCCTGAGTTCCGACGTTACGGCTCCTTCCTGCAGCTCTGTCAATGAATACGTGCCCCCCTCGTATTCCTGGTTTGAGCTTTTCTTGAATGTGAATCTTTGTCCGGCAACATGATTCTTCTCAAAGGCAGCCACTGTGGGTTTGATGGCGTGTTCTGAGACTCCATCTCGGATGATTTGAGCGCTGGGGAGACGGGGCTTGAACCGGTCTGGATTCGTGTCCCGTATCAACCGCGCTTCTTCATGTCTCTTTTTGACCTCGTCTTTGCATGGCTTCGATTTCGAGGGCGTAGATTGGGGGTCCTTGCTCGGCTGCGACTGCTTCTTCTGAAGTTCGTTGTGTTTGGTTCGCTGAATGGGCGTCTTTGTCGGTGTCCCTTGGTTGGTTGCAGCATGCTCTGCGGTCGTATCGTCAGCAACATGTGTCAAATGTGTCATGTGTTTCTCTGGGTTTACTGTCAGCTCGGTGTTCCGCCAAATTTCCATTTTACTCACTTTGTCTCAACCAGTTAGGTAGGTTCTTGTGATTCTGGAATCCCAAACCTGGTACTGCCAGCTTCCTGATGGCGCTTCGCGGCGTTGATGGTGCAGATGGTGAAGCTTTGTCATCGGCAACTCGTGTGATGGCAGACTCGTTCTATGAAATGCTGCGCTCAGACGAAAGGACAGTTTTGGTCTGCTTGTCGCCATCGTGGACGCTCAGACTCGGTGTTGAGAAAATATGCTCGTCTCTAGGAAGTGAGGATGATAGGTTAGGTTTGATGTCGCGTGTCTGTTTTTCGCTGGACATTTTCAGAATGCTCTTCAGGCCGACAATTGACTGTCGATGGCGAGGATGGAACGGCGATTGTCCACCAGAGCCAAGGAATTGCGGGAGTCTATCGCCACTGTAGACTGGCTGAAGCTCATATGTGGATGATGGACTTTCGTTTTTCAAGCGAGGGGTGGTGGACGTTTCTTCAAGTCGATCGTCTTGGATCTCTTTCTTCAGGCATTGTTTCGTCGGACGGTCTTCATCGAGGCCTGTCTGTGCTGGTTCGGCTTGCGAGGTCGCATCGCCAACATCGTTGTCGCTATCAACATCGCTCTCGATGAGAACTGGAGTGTCAACAGAGCCACCAGACGAAGGAACAACTTTCTCGATAACGCAATCAGAATCGCTATCATCGGAGATCACAAAAGGGCGCTGCTCAATTTTGGGGCGCTTGGCTGGACGACCTCGAGGACTGGTAGCAGCGAGCTTGCGCTTTGGTGAAGGGGCTTTCTCAATGATGCAATCCGAATCGTTTCCATCGGGGGCCGCAACTGGGCGCCGTTCGATTCTTGCCTTTTTGGTAGAGCGACCTCGGGGGCTGGTGGTAAAGAGCTTGCGACGAGGCGAAGGGAGAACTTTCTGAAGGATGCAATCTGACTCGCTATCGTCGGGGACAATAATCGGGCGCTCCGTGGTGTTGGCTCTCTTGTTGGAACGAGGTCGAGGACCGGCAGAAACGTTGCGATTTGGCGACGGCAATACCTGTACGATCTCGCAATCAGACTCGGAGCTCTCAGCAGACGAGATTTCGAAGGGTGTGTCTTGAGAGTTTGCCGTGGCGAGCTGAATGGTTCTTTTCGGCATGTTCGCTGGTGGTGTTTCGGCGATACGCTCGTCGCTTTGCTCGTCACGACGCTTCTTTGCAGAGCGTGAGGAAGAAGGCGAACCTTGAGAGATAGGAGTCGAAGGAATAGTTGGTAGAGACGATGCGGTAGGCTTGCGCCTGGATTTGGGCGACCGCGCCGGCATGGTAGTTGTTTCCTTGAAGAAAAATGCTGTGGGCGATGATGATGTGTGAGGAATGAGAATGAATGAAAAGGAACGAATCGGTCGTTAAGTCTTGCAATCAAATACACCAGTTTGGTAGATGGATGTACCTAAGGACATGACATGCCATGCCAGTGTCAGTAACCGGCAGCTCTCGTCTAAAGCTTCACTGGCAGGTAAGCCTCATTGTGTTCTTAGGCAGCAGGCAGAAATCTCTATTGACATGCAATTGTCTTTGTTCAGCATCGGAATTCACTCAGCAGGAGCATACTTGTAGATTGATCCAGCCCAAGGGGCGAAATTGGAGTTGTGAGAATTTGATTCATCCTGATTTTCTTGAGTCTCCGCGTGACGAATATTCTGAACTCCAGAATGAAGCCATCAAATCACCGTGTTCATTGCTACACAAGATTGACTAAGGCTGAGGAGGCACTGGACAGGAGTTCTCTTCTGACCTTTCCAACCTTTTCATAGGGTGTTCGGAGAAATCATAGCTTATTAGTCATAATCTACTGAGATACACTTATTATTTACTCAATGTTGTTCAACGTAAGGCAAGAAGGTCCTCTTTTGCATTTCCATGTCGCCGCATCTATGGTATCATTACAGATCATCATGGTCTATGCACATTGACTCATCACCAGCTACCTGAGCTCAGCCTTACATACGCTCTCGTCGACGAGGAGCCGCCCGGATGATATCGTCTACTCGGAGAAGGAGCTGAGATTGAGGTTAGAATCTATTCACATCGGGTTGTCATGTGGGTACTTACTTCTGCGGCCTCGCTGGCCGATGACACAACAGCCTTCTTCAGCTTGTAACTCTCAATAACACCGAGATCCCGCATATCAGTAATGCCACCACCAGGTGTCATCAAGTCCAGACCATAAGTTGTGAGACCGTCGTAAAGAGCTTTGCGTAGCCTGGCAACAAGATCACCAGAGTCGAGACCAGCATTGTCGGCCAGGATAGTAGGAAGTTGTCGAAGGGCAATAGCGAAGCTGGAAACAGCCAATTGTCGCTTACCCTCAACTCGTGTAGCGGCACCCTCAACAGCCTTGGCCATCAGCATCTCAGCGCAGCCACCACCAAGAGTGGTTCGGGGCTCCTTGACAGTCTGCGACAGGACAGCAAGGGCGTCGTGAAGACTTCGCTCGGCCTCATCCAGGAGCTGTTCCGTGGCACCTCGAAGAACGATTGTGCAAGCCTCTCCACCAGACACACCGGAGAACTTGATAAGGGTATCCTCACCAATGATGACCTCCTCAATCGTATCGCAGTGACCAAGCTTGACCTGCTCAGGGTGGTCGAAGGTGGAGGCGATCTCACCGCCTGTCACAAGGGCCAGACGCTCAATACCATCGAAGTCGGCGTGCTCAATGGACATGATACCGGCATCGGTGAACAGCTGCTCGGGCCAGTTGTAAATAAGTTGTCGGTTGATAAAGCAGTTGATGCCATGGGCCTTGATCTTCTCGACCTTGGCCTTCATCTTCTCCTTCTCGGCCTTCTCGAGCTCGGCGAGCTTGCTTGTCGAGCCGACCTTAACACGTGCACCGAAAATCTTGACCTTGTCAGTATCCATGGAGGTGTTGGCCACCAAGATCTTGGCCTTCTCCAACTTCTTGGGTTGGTTGACACCAATCTTCTTGTCGAGAATGAAACCCTCATCGAGATATGAGTCGCTGAGCTTGCCTCCAGCCTTCTTGATAATCTGAATGTGGTTGAGGTCTGAAGACTTCAATCGGAGGACGGCGTCGACAGCCAATTCGGCAAACTGGTCGCGGTCCTGGGCGAGAACCTTGGAACTGAGGGTCGTTCGGGCGATGGCGAGAAGGTCTTTTCGGAATGCCTCGGGGTTCTTGCTGTGATCGACGGCAGAGCCTTCCAAAGCCTTCAACGCAGCTTGGCTGGCTATTCTGTAACCCTCGATGATGGTCTGGGGGTGGATCTTCTTGTCCACCAACTTCTCCGCCTCTCTTAACAGCTCGGCAGCGAGAACGGCAACTGATGTAGTACCGTCACCGACTTCGTCATCCTGAACCTTTGAAATGTTGACAAGGACCTTGGCGGCGGCGTTATCGAGGGCAATCGACTTGAGGATGGTGGCACCGTCGTTGGTAACCATGATTTCGGCGGTGGAGCTAGCATCGTGTTAAAAGGGGGGTTGTCGACCGAAAGATGGGCGCAAAACATACGCTGACTGTAGAATCTTGTCCATGCCCTTGGGTCCGAGAGTGCTCTTCACGAGATCACCAACGGCGATGGCGCCAACAAAGGCAGAGAGACGAGCATTCTCACCCTTCTCCTCGGTGGTGCCCTCCTCAAAAATTTGAGTTGGTTGGAAAGACTATGAGGGGCAGATGTTAGCAATCATGATTGCAATATAGATTGGAAAGGTTCAAGACAGAGCTTCCAAGGGATGCAGACATACCATAATGGGCCAACAATGCGACTGTAAACACGGCGAAACCTATAAAAACGTAGGAGGTTACCGGTCGTTGTCAACGTCAATATGCTTCAGCCTTGGGGTAGACGTTGCAGCCTTTTTTTCTGGAGCTACCTCGCAGCTTAGGATACCAGAGCCCCTCCACCGCCAGGGGCCAGCCAGAAAGCCCACACGTGACTTGCCCCGCGGCTTTTCATCTCGAGGTTGGAGATAGCGGGACAAGGACAAATGATTCTCCGTGGCACGCACACTTTCGCTGGAAAGTGAAGAACACCAAATTTGTACTGAACTAGGTTGGCCCAACGCAACATTAAGATTCCGCACGTTCCCGAGCGACGTTCCCAGTGTTTTTAGGCAGAACACTGCGTGTTTTTTCAGAGGTCATATCTCCTGCGCGCATAAAGGTCTTTTTCGCAAACCTTGTGCTCAGTAGCCGAACCCTCTAAACCCTCGAGAAAAAAACATCCAGATTCGAGAGCGGGGCATTTTTTCTTGCACCCCTCCAACAACCACATATCGCCCATCATGGCACCCTCTTTCGATCACCTCCGCGAGGCCGACCTTGACGATGACGAGTTCAACGATGATGATATTGACATTTCCGATCTTCGAGAACGTTTCGAGGTTTCCCTCGATCAAGGCTACGACAACTTCGTCGTCATCGACGGCCTCCCCCAGGTCACCGAAGACCAGAAGCCTAAGCTCGTCAAGTTCTTGTTGAAGAAGCTCAACACCGTCGGCAAGACACGCGAGGACTCAGTACATATGCCCATGGGTGACGATGGAAAGTCTCTTCGGTAGGTGTCAAATATGGAATACATAAAGAGCTTGGAACTGATACTGTCTTAAGATTCGCCTTTGTTGAGTACTCCTCGCCAGCCGAAGCCGCCGCTGCTTGTCGTTCGCTCGACCTCACCCCTCTCGACAAGAAGCACACTCTCCGCGTTAACAAGTTCACCGATATCGAGCGATATGGACGCGAAGGCCGCGTCGACGAGACCTACCAACCGCCTGAAATCGAGGAGTTCACCGAGAAGGAGCATCTGCGATGGTTCCTCCGAGACCCCTCAGAGCGCGGCCGCGATCAGTTCGTCATGTACCGTGGTGACAACGTCGGAGTCTACTGGAACAACGAGAAGGACCAGCCCGAGAACATCGTTGAACGACCTTTCTGGACCGAGACTTTTGTCCAGTGGTCTCCTCTCGGCACTTACCTTACCTCTGTCCACGCTCAGGGTGTTCAGCTTTGGGGTGGCCCTTCATGGCTACGACAAGCTCGATTTGCTCATCCTTTCGTGAACATGGTCGCTTTCTCCCCCGGTGAGAAGTACATTGTCACTTGGTCCAACCGCCCCATCTCCATCCCTGATGAGGGTCACCCCGCTCTCTCCATCGACGACCACGGCAAGAACTACGTTATCTGGGACATCGCTACCGCTACTCCTCTTCGATCTTTCGCCAACCTCGATCCCCCCAAGGTGGAGGATGGCAAGCCCCCGCCTAAGATGCAGTGGCCTGCCTTCAAATGGTCTGCTGATGACAAGTACGTCGCCCGTTTGAACCCCGGCCAGTCCATCTCCGTCTACGAGCTCCCCCGCATGAACCTCCTCGACAAGACCTCTATCAAGATCGATGGCGTTGTGGACTTTGACTGGGCTCCTGCTACTCCCAAGCGCGATGGTGTCAAGGACTACGAGCAGCTTTTCTGCTACTGGACCCCCGAAATCGGCAGCAACCCCGCCAAGGTTGGATTGATGAGCATCCCCTCAAAACAGGTTGTTCGATCTTTGAACCTCTTCAGTGTCAGCGATGCTAAGCTTCACTGGCAATCTGAGGCCGCCTACATTTGCGTCAAGGTCGACCGACACTCCAAGTCCAAGAAGTCTCAAGCCACCACCCTTGAGATTTTCCGTGTCAAGGAGAAGGGTGTTCCTGTTGAGGTTGTTGACACCATCAAGGACACCGTTATTAACTTCGCTTGGGAGCCCAAGGGCGACCGATTCGCCATCATCTCCACAACCGAGCCCACAGGCGTTACTGCTGTTGCCCCTAAGACAGCGGTCTCTTTCTTCTGCCCCGAGAAGGCCAAGAAGGGTCAACAAGTGGGTAACTTCAAGCACCTCCGAACGCTTGACAAGAAGAACAGCAACGCCATTTACTGGTCGCCTCGAGGTCGTTTCGTTGTTATCGCTACTATCGCCAACCAACAGAGCTCCGACCTTGACTTCTTCGACCTCGACTTTGAGGGTGAGAAGCCCGAGTCCGATAAGGACCTTACCGCCAACCTACAGGCTATGAACACCGCCGACCACTACGGTGTTACAGACGTTGAGTGGGATCCCTCAGGCCGTTTCGTCGCCTCGTGGGCATCCGCCTGGAAGCACTCAGTAAGTTGCATTCTCACACATTCTTAAGGTCCATGCTAACATAATCACAGATGGAAAACGGTTACCACATCTACGATTTCAAGGGTGAGGCTCTACGAGAAGAGCCCCTCGAGAAGTTCAAGCAGTTCTCATGGCGCCCTCGGCCCGCTACTCTCCTTACCAAAGAGGAGCAGAAGGCCGTCCGCAAGAACCTCCGAGAATACAGCCGCGTCTTTGAGCAAGAAGATGCCGACCGTGGTGCTTCTGCTGACTTGGCCGTTGTCGAAGCTCGTCGCCGCATGCTCGAGGAGTGGCACTCTTGGCGCGAGAGCGTCGAGGCCGACATGCTGGAAGAGCGTGAGGTGCTCGGCCTACCAAAGGATCCTCATGCTCCTCTGCTAGAGGCCTACACAAAGTCCCTGGAGGGCACAACATCAGAGGAGGATCGGGTGATTGAGGAGATCGTTGAGGAGGTTATTGAGGAGAGCGAGGAAATCCTCGCTTAGAGGGCTTCACTGCATTTGCATGGGAGTGATTTGCTTGTATCTCGGTAGAAAACTGGTCAGGGCGAGGGGTCACGTAATGAAATTCTTTGCTATGTTCATACAGAAGGATAGGTCCAACTCTTTGGGCTCACTAAAAGCATTATCTGGAGTAATCTATGTTCGTCCATCTTTTTGTTTAATGTTACATGAGTAGACTGCCAAGGGTCGACCTTGAGGATCCTGGTCGTGTCTGAGGGGAAAGAGCGCAAGCAGTCCAGTCGATCCTCCGTTACCATGGGACCGTCAACTGGCTCCTTGACCATTGTGAATACAACTTCATGCAGCCAGGCACACCAGATCTGCGAAGCAGGAACAGGACTCTAGTCAGGCATGGCGTAGCAGAACAATGACAACAGGAAGGAGGCATGATGTGACACTTGTACTAAACTGAGCCTCTGCCTACAATAAACATTTATACTTGACCTTGAATCAATTTGCTGTAGCCGGATATATATACTTAGTATGATCCTCCAGCGTCCAACAATAGCTTTATCATCATGTCCCGGTCTTCAGAGCGATAGCGTCTACTAGAATTACCTGCTGTTCTAGCGGGGGAGTTCCCTTCAGGATCTTCAGCTGCAGGATCAGCTCCATGCTTCAAAAGCTCCCTCGCAATAGCTATTGCCCCAAGTTCAGCAGCAATATGCAACGGGGTGAGGTTGTGTCGGACCACTTTACCCCAAGTCATAGGGTCCTCAATGTATTGTAATTCTCGACAGCTACAATATATGTCTTGTTCGCTGCCTCGTCTTCTGGGGCGGTTTGATGGATCATCGAATGCAAATGACGCCCGGGCATTAACGATGTTACCTCTTGACACTAGTTTCTCAATAAGCTGTGCTCCTTTGTCGGTGCCATAACTGCCATAATGCATGGCAAGGCAATGCAACGACGTCCAACCATCCTGTGTAGTAACAACAGGATTGGCACCATGAGACAGAAGCAGCTGAGCTGTTTCTGACTTTTTAGATAGTCCTGCAATGTTCGGAAACCCAGGTGCCAGTGTGCTGAGTAATGGCGTCCATCCTCTTGATGCATTTTCGTCAATGTAAAGACCAACGTCGTCAGATAGCAGATACTTTGCCATTTGGACTTGGCCCCCGACAGATGCAAAGTGTAACAATGTCTCACCTTTGTGATTCCTAGATCTCAAAGCATATTCTCTCTGGGATTCAGGCAAGTTTGAGAGGAGCAGGTGAAAGGTGTCCAGAGGAGATGCATAGGCAGCACAGTGTAGAGGACTGTTCCCATATACATCTCGGTGGATGACAGAAGCGGAGAAGCAATCGGAACACATCCTCGTGTGGCTCTTCCTTTAGAAAAATATACCTGACCTTGGGAAACTTTCGTTTGTATGCCCCTAAATAATGCAATGCAGTCTGGCCTTGACTGTTGGTCATATTGGGGTCAGCACCGTTGTTGAGCAATGCTTGCAGACAGCCATAGAGTTGCTTATGGAGAGCAGTCCATATAACAAGAGGCTCAAATATTGCTATCCGGCTGGCTTCGGGGCTCTTAGGGTCAGCTCCAGCGTCCATCAGCACTTTGATCGATTGCGACTGTGCCACACGTTCAGATTCTGTGTGCTCTCGAAGAAGGAAGCACGGCCTGGTGACTGTCACCTGGGCTAACGCGAGGTTAAGCGATTCCTGATCAACAGAGCAGTGAGATAGAAGAAATTGGATATTCTCAAATCTCCAGTTGTTGGCTGCTGCGACCAAGGCACGACCTCTAGATTCTAAAGACCAGCCATCTTGTCCCCATGTCAACAGATCAGATATCGTAGCGATATGACCATACTCTGCTGCATCGCGCAGACACCCGAAAGTTTCCGTATTGAAAGTGTCGGCATCAGGATTGACATGTTCCCAAATCTTCCGAAGGATAATGCGATTATCCAACCTTGCGGCTAAGCCTATGGGTGTGGTGATGAATTGGTCTTCAACAAAATGGGGTTCTTTGACAGGGTTGGCGCCAGCGTTTAGTAAGATACTAACTGCCGCCAAGTTGTCGAGATATATAGCCAGATGCAGCGGCGCGCCAAACATGCCATCAGTTTGATCGACGTTTTCTGGGGTCAAGGTGCTGACGAGGTTCTGTAGTTCACTAAGATCGTTAGTGGCGATGGAATAGTGAAGGGAGTTTTGATGATACCCTGCCCTCCTTTGTAACTCAGATATATCTGGGATAGGCGGAGGTATACGCATAGTTGATTGATGGGAAGTAAAGAAAGAGTTGCAGTCGAATTGATGAGTTGATGAAGATGAGAGTGCGTGCAGCATCACCTGACAAAGAGTGGAGAATGTTGGTTCTTGACAGCACTCTTGTTTCTCGGGCTGTGAGAAGGGCTCCCATGGTCGATTTTTTTAAACTGTCGCTTGGCTCCTAGTGACGGGGATTGTTTGACTATGCTCTTCTACAGTTGGTGTTGGGCAACGCTTGTAGTAGTGGGAGGACGATCACATCCGAGAACCAGAAGTATTCAACTATTCAATAAACCCAATGTCACTATTATAAGATAACACGTTTTCCGTTGTCTTGCCAGTTCTTGGCAAGATTCCAAGACCTGTTGAGGGTAATTATTCTGTCCGAATACCATTAAAATCCACCAAGATCGATCCTGGGCACAATACTGCCAAAATGAAGGAAGGGTTGTTGGAGCCAGCTGAATCAGGGCGGCTACGCTGCTGGCCATTGAACGCCGCCAATTTATATTAAATGTACTCAGAGCCAGATATGTGATGCCACTAGTACTATGAGATAGCATCAAGATAACCTCCTGAGAAGGGAGAGACAGAAGAAATGTTAAATAAAGGGACCTGCATGACTGTTCTACTCAGGGACTCTTGCAATACATTCTGCCTCGTGTTCTATACACGACTTCCACTGCCTTTGACTTTGGCATCCATTTGAAGTCTAAGACTCGCATTCGTCTCGACTTACCCGACACTGTTCGTCGACTAAACTCCCCATTCTCATCTCGTTCCATCATGCGTGTCGCTCTCATTCTCTCCAGCATCTCTGCTGTGACTACAATTGCGGCTTCACAAGCAATCCCGACAGCAGCGTCCGAGATGGCATCTGAGATAGTTGAGAGAGCACCTGAGCTACCGTCTCCAGCCATCGACCCGATACCCGCTGCAGAATTGCCAGCGACGGAGGAAGCATCTGAGGAAGCACCTGAGATCGCACCGATTGTGCCTGAGATAGCGTCTCCAGCCATTGACCCCATCATTCCAGAAGCTCCAGCGGTTGAGGAAGCACCTGACATGGCATCGCCAGCCATCGATACAATACCCGTTCCAGACGTTCCAGTATCTGAGGAAGCACCTGAGATTGCACCGATTGTGCCCGAGATGGCATCTCCAGCTATTGACCCAATCATCCCAAAAGCCCCAGCGACTGAGGAAGAATCTGAAAACGGACCCGAGATTGCATCGCCAATCACGGAGCCAGTACCCATCCCAGACTTGCCAACGACTGAAAAGGCATCTCCAGCTATCGATCAAATACCTATTCCAGAACTGCCTTTGACTGGGGAGGCACCTGAGATCGCTCCTCAAATCGCATCTCCAGATATTGACCAAATACCCATTCCAGAAGTACCAGCGACTGACAAAGCTACTGAGATCGCACCTGAGATCGCACCTGAGGTAGCATCTCCGCCTGCTGACCCAGTCTCCGTCCCAAAATCGCCTGTCCGTACTTCTTCCGGAGTGATCCCAGAAGATATCTTGGATGCCATGCAAGGGATTCAGATCTTAGCGTCCAACCTAATACTTCAAGCGTACGACATCAGGGGCGATGGTGTGAAGCCTCAGATAATCGGAGTATGTACTTGTCTTTTACCACGTCACTTGACCTAGACTGACTTTTTTGTACAGAACACATACCTGCGCTGTCGGGATTTGACCGATGGTATTGAAAAGGTGTCTGGCGGAATCAGTCGCCCTCCCACGATGCTTTTTAGCTGGGAAGATCAAATGGCCATTTGCTCCAATTTCGATGTGGTACGTAACATCCCTTGCATGAGACAAGAGCTGGAAGAAGAAAGGAAGAGAAATGCAGACTAACATTCCTTCAAGTTCGGTATCAACCAATCCAGAGTCATCACTGCACTGGTCATGGAACTTGAGAGCATAGTGAGAGATGGCTTCTTTGGCCGCTTTCAAGATTGTTTCACCCAACTTCAACCTGTTCTCAACCTGTTTATTAAACAGCTCATAGTATATACGCCCACGTGCGAAGCTGAAATGTTGAGGAGGATAGATCAGCTTGATGTAGGGTTCAACAATGCCAGGGTGAGGATGGAGGCTGCCCGGGGGAGGTAGACACATTCCGATGCCGCCCTAGCTGAGGTCATCGTTTTATGTAGGGGTTTTGAATTTATCAATTTTGGCGTCACTCGACAATGTGCCGTACCGTGCAGTACTGTCTCTGTCTGCTTATCCTTTCCAACAGAAGATCGGGTAAGATAAGCAGGGTTGACACGGATAGTGTAGTGCATGGGTTGTAAGTCGGTAAACGCTTGGACGATCATGGATGGATGAACGAAGTATGCCCTATCTGGAGACACACATATTTCAATTGCAATACATACACGATAGTTCTAGAGCAAATGCATAAGAGTGGTTTTATAGCTGCTTGGAAGTGGAAACTCGTGCTTTCGTTACGCAGACAGTCTGGCGGTCAAGTGTTTAAAAATTGGGTTCCCTACAAACATTGATGAGTTGTTGGATTCCATGAGAGGAAGATCCACAAGTTACCCCGAGTATCAAAACATGCATTCGGCCTTTTCACAAACTACAGTAGGTCGTGTGTTTGTCTTGGAGTTGCAGCAAAGTATTTTTTTTTTCTCACATGCAGTTCTGACGAATGACATCAAGATAGGGAAAAGCCAATTGGTGATGCTTCGGTTAATGAGAATCTACCCTGAAGTCTGAGGTTAGCCAAGAAATTGCACCATTCAGAGGGAGAAAGTGAGACAGAAGCTCAAAGATCCCCACAGCGGACACAGACCATCAGATCCGGGGTGAGAATAAGCGAAACGAAATCCACAAAAATAACCTCCACTGCGATACGTAGTATCTAATAAGAGATGAGGACGGTTTCTCACGACCGGAATTGACTCCAACGTAAGAAATATGGCCGTTCAATCAAATTGACTTGACATGCAACAATATCATCGCTCATCAGAACCAATTGTCAATTCTACTCCGAGTTTTCTGTTTGCCCCCGAATGTGTGGGACAAGGTCACCGATTATCATCGCCAATATCAATGGTTTGAAACCGTGACTAATGCACGATTCTTGCTTGTGATTGGACGATAAAGCATCTCTCCTTGCAGCGACGGACAATCTGAGAAGAGCATGTATACAGACAGGTATGGATAGGCACATTATTGACAGCTCGGTGTCTGTGGCATGTTACCATCTGCAGCCGCTGCCCGTCTGTAAGTTCAACGGTGTCTTTGTTGAATGCTTGACAGGATGCACGGGCTACACTGAACTACAACTATGTATCAAAGCTCATGAAATCGGACCTTGTCTTGGATATAAGTACAAGCAACAAGACACCACTGTAACGGTGCATCTATCTTTGTAAGGAAACAAAGGTACAGATACCAAGGTAGGGCCTACGTACGCCCAGTCTCATCCATCCATAACGAGAATATCCTCCACCATCGTAAAAAGACAGGTCTGGATCGCCTACAGTGTGGTTTGAAGACAATACGGCCTTCGTCCCTTACTCGAGGGAGAGCAGAATATTGTAGTACCCCGGCAAATTGAGTAAAAGATGTACTGTAGATATAATTCGGTAGACAATGCGCCTCAAACACCACAAAATGATCAAATGATTTCCTCCTGAATTGTCAGTGGTCGGTATTTTTCGTTAATGATAGAACTTCCAAAAGCCCAAGCCACAGTGACGGGAAAGGGAAGCTCGAGCCCCTCCTCGCCTTCCTCGACAGTCCCTGACCTTCCTTTTCTCTTTCCCTTTCGTGTCGGTCCGTGCCACGCCAGTTCCAGTTGCCCACACTGAGAAACGTGCCTGCCCCCCTCGTCGCTACGAGTGGTGTCAGCAACCGTCTTAGGAGCCAAGCCAAGGGCAGGGCAAAAAAGACGTGCTGGGACTCCCTGCCCGACCTCGTCCTCCCCCCGTAATATTCCATTCCAACCTTTTACCCTCTTATTCATTCATCTTCATCTTTTGGATATTGTCTTTACAACGCCCAACGTTCTCGCTTGCATTAACTTACGGGTTAAAACTTTCGATCCGCCCCTTACCGTTACGCCGATTTCGAGTCCGACTCCGCATTTACCCACGGCTCCAGCAGTCTCTGGCGTGACTTCATTCTGCATTGCACCACAACCCCCGAATCTCGTATATACATTTCATCACCCAAGGGCGCAGCACAATCAAGCAACCCAAGATCAATACCTTCGATTGAAAACTCCTGTCTCTACCGCTGCCGGGGTCCTATGTGATCGCCCGCAGCGTTGACCTCGGCCGAAAATGCTGCGACGACCTCCCGGCGAGGGACGTCGACCTCAGCAAAAGAAACTCCTCGCCTTTTTTGCTGTTATACTATTGCCTTGGTTACAGCTTGTCGATGCTCAGCAGCAGCAAAGACCGGCTAGCGAATTGCACCGCCCTGGTGGCAGTCAGCCTCTCGCCGATGATGCCGTTCAGTGGGCCGCTACACCCATTGACGCGACAAACGCACGCGAGACTGTCAACCAAGTAAAGCGTGCTTCCGCAGTCCGACAACCTCGACAAAATGACGAACGTACCCGAAAGAACAAGAAGAGAGAATACCAACACACCCCTGACGATGCGAGCGCCCTCGCAACTTTGGCTCCGGACTCTCGGTCCGTGGGAGCACCAAACCCTTCATATCGGTCCACTAGCGCTTTTGCTTCTGGGCTGGCCTCGCCGCAGATTGCGCGGAACTTGAAGGATTGGGAAGTGGAAGACTTTGTGCTTCTGGCGACCGTCGATGGAGATTTGTACGCCAATGACAGGCGAACCGGAAAAGAACGCTGGCATCTCGAAGTCGACCAACCCATGATAGAGACAAAGCACTACCGTTCCGAGGAGTCTGTTCTCAACGAAAACTACCGTGCAGTCGACCATTATGTTTGGGCTGTTGAGCCCAACCGAGACGGCGGAATATACATGTGGGCGCCAGACTCGAACCATGGCTTCATCAAGACAGGATTCACAATGAAGAAGCTCGTGGAAGAACTGGCACCATATGCTGATGACAACTCACCCGTGGTTTACACTGGTGACAAGAAGACGACAATGATCACCCTTGATGCGGCGACCGGACGAGTTTTGAAATGGTTCGGCTCTGGAGGTTCTCATGTCAGTGAAGCCGAGAGCTGCTCACGTCCCGACACCCTATACGACGCAGGCAACCTGGAATGCAGCTCGACTGGCACTATCACGTTAGGAAGAACCGAATACATTGTTGGAATTCAGCGACGCGACGATGGTCTCCCCATCGCTACTCTCAAGTACTCAGAATGGAGCCCCAACAATTACGACAGCGACCTCTTCCAGCAACATCACTCCTCGCTTGACAAAAAGTACATTACAAGCCAACACGATGGTAAGGTTTATGCCTTTGACTATACACGATCTGAGAAGGTGCCCGTATTTAGCGAGCACTTTTCTGCACCTGTTGCTCGAGTTTTCGATGTGTGTCGACCAGGTGACGCCACATCTGAGAGCAACCCAGATCTCGTTGTCCTCCCCCAGCCGCCAATGCCACCAGAGGATGAGACACAGGACCGCATGCGCAGCAACAGCATTTTCTTGAACCAAACTCGATCAGGAGATTGGTATGTCATGTCAGGTCAATTGTATCCTCTCATCGCACATGCTCCCGTGGCCCAAATGTCCCGCTCCGATTGGTGGGATATTGCTCCTGCTTGGGACACGCTCAACCAGACAAAGCTGTCGAAGGTCCTGGTAGGCACCCATTATCTTGGAAATGCCGATAAAAGAGGTAGCTTCCATGCTCCCAGTCTACCTGCTGGTTCAATTGAGGCGCCAGAAGTACATGATGGGTACGACGACAATGTGGAATATGAGAAAGACCCCAACCCTCATACAGACATTGGCTTCGCAGATGAGTCTATTATTCGTGATAAGTTCAAATCGATATCCGATGGTGTCGCCAAGAGTGTCAAGGACTTTATTACCAATCCTGTTGTAATCATTCTCTTTGTTTCAGCACTGTATTACAACCAGAAAAATATCCGCCGACATCTCAAGCGTGGCAAACGCAGGGGCTTCTGGAAGGAACTTCAAAATATCCTGGGCATTACGGAAGCCAATATTGTCAATGACGATGTTGATGATGCTCAGAGCACCGACACCGAAGTCAATCCTGATACCACACCTGAACCCATCACGGAAGAGGTCAAGCCCGATACACTCGGCGAGCAGCTTGAGGAGAGTACGAAAGAGCCGCCTGTGCCAGCTCCTGAGTCGTCCAACTTGCAACCTGATGGATTCCCACATACTCCTGTCAAGGAAGTCGAGCTCAGTGACCGGGAAGCAACCCCCAAACCCAAAAAGCCGGTGGCCGAAGTGGACGCAGAGACTCCCGTCAAGATCGCGAATGACCTGCAAAACTCTCTCCAGAACCAATCCAAGAACTCGCCACCTGTCGCCAATCAAAATGGTGCAGCTCCCGAGAAAAAGAAGAAGGCACACAGAGGAAGACGTGGCGGCGTGAAACATCGAAAGGGTAGAGCCCAAGAAGCTTCTCAGTCTCGCGGCGACGACCCTGCCGCTGCCACTGTTGAGGACGCCGTGAACAACGCCAAGAAGTTGGGAGAAAGACCTAGTCTCGAGCCCGATGTCATGACTGTCCATGACGACATGCAATCTGTAACGGGCTCTACTATTCGTATGGGAAATATTGAGGTGAACACAGATGAGCAATTGGGCACGGGCAGCAACGGTACCTTGGTGTTTGCTGGTAAATTCGATGGCAGGGCGGTGGCTGTCAAGCGCATGCTTATTCAGTTCTACGACATTGCCTCTCAAGAGACCAGGCTGCTCAGAGAGAGTGATGATCATCCAAATGGTAGGTTCTTTCGCTTCACAACACACCACCCATTCTGACTTTCTAGTTATCCGATACTACTCGCAGCAAATCCGCGACGGTTTCCTTTACATTGCGCTCGAACGTTGCGCTGCTTCTTTGGCCGATGTCATCGAGAGACCACACTATCACCGTGATCTCGCAAACGCTGGCCGACACGATTTGCCCAACGTCCTCTACCAAATCACCAACGGAATCAGTCATCTACACGAGCTCCGCATCGTCCATCGCGATCTCAAACCACAGAATATCCTCGTCAACAAGGGCAAGGATGGCAAGCCAAGAATGTTGGTATCTGATTTCGGACTATGTAAGAAGTTGGAGGGTGGTCAATCGTCCTTTGGCGCAACTACGGGTCGCGCTGCAGGAACATCAGGTTGGCGTGCTCCTGAGCTTCTCCTCGACGATGATGCTCGAGAAGGTGCCATGATGGAGTTGAGTACTCAGAGTGGCTCCGGCTCTGTCTTGGTAGACGACAGCAACATGCCTCGACGCGCTACACGAGCCATTGACATTTTCTCACTTGGCCTGGTCTTCTTCTACGTCTTGACCAACGGTTCTCATCCCTTTGACTGCGGCGATCGATACATGCGAGAAGTCAACATCCGAAAAGGCCAGTATAGCCTAGATCTTCTCGACTCGCTTGGCGATTTTTCTCACGAGGCCACGGATCTCATTGCATCCATGCTCGAAGCCGACCCCAAAAACCGTCCAACAGCGAAGGAAGTCATGGCTCACCCCTTCTTCTGGTCAGCAAGAAAGAGGCTTGCATTTTTGTGTGACGTCTCAGATCATTTTGAGAAGGAGCCGAGAGATCCTCCGTCAGCGGCACTGGCTGAGCTTGAGGGCCACGCATCATCCGTGACAAGTGACTTCCTCAAAGCACTACCAAGAGACTTCGTCGACTCCCTTGGTAAGCAGCGCAAGTACAACGGGGCACGTCTCCTCGACCTGCTCCGTGCTCTACGAAACAAGAGGAATCACTACGAGGATATGCCCGAGGCGCTCAAACGAAATGTCGGGGCTCTGCCCGATGGTTATCTCGCGTTTTGGACTGTTCGCTTCCCTTCACTGCTTTTGGTGTGTTGGAATGTTGTTTGGAGTATTCGATGGGACAAAACCGATCGTTTCCGTGAATACTACGAACCTGCGGCTCTCTAGATGAGATGAACGCTGGATATGAAGACTGAAAATTGGTGATTTTGGATAAGCTGGGCTTGGTAGATATTTTAGTTCCAGAATTTGACAACGCTGTGCGTATACTTTGACAACAAACACGAGAATTTCTCGGTGACATCACTGTGAACCCGACCTTAGCAGTCAAGTGAATTGCCTAGGTTATGTAAATTTGAGCCCCAAGCCGGGCCTGGTTCATGTCCATTCAATACTCCAAGATGGTGCAGCAGTGGCGACGGTAAAACTAAATCCTACCGGAGATCCTCACGATGCTCCCACATCACCTCCCAAGTCAGTGACCAAGTTATTTGGTCTCTTAGGATTTTGCGGTCAATTCTTCTGATACCCTGAGGATCAGGGCTAGCTTCATGAGTCGTCATTAAGGCTGCCGAGAGACGATAATATCCCCTTCAGCAGCGTTCGAAAACCGCGAAGCGAAGATCTGATAGGTTCCCAGATTCCTACTTAAGGAGTTGCAACTCTCTCGACAGTTCTCCAGCATGTAACAGCATTAACGACATCCCAGTCTGCTCTATACACGGGGAGGTCTGAAATGACGTACGCGTCTTGTCGATGAGTGTGGTTGATAGCTTCTGCAATGTGCGCGCGGTTAAGGTGAACAGGATCTGCAAGGCAGTACCCCTATATTGGCTTGTTCTGACGCTCTCATTCTCTCTGTCAATTTGACTCTTCCATGTTATCACTCAGACTTCCACCAGGGGTGTTTCAACGCCAAACTACCTCGCTTACATCACCGTTCATCCGGTTCCAAAATCCAACGTCATTCTACCCGCTGGGGAATATATACATGCTATTCTGATGCTATGGTTCCATTCAATTTGTCCAAGGATGATTCTAACCCCACTGCACAAGGACCTTCTTGCCCTTTTTGTTTCCTTTCTTCTTACCACCCGCTTCACCATCAGCGGGCTCTTCATCAGCCGGCGTACTCGGCCCACTGCCGGTACCCCACTGGAAGCCAGTCTCACGGCTTCCATAGTCACGTCGTACGGCGCGGCCGTTGCCGTAGCCGAAGATCGTGGTCGTGGGTTTTGCCGCTGCGGGCAGAGCCGGGAAAGCATCCTCGCCAGTAGGACGGGGAGCAGGACGAGGACGGTTGAGAGCTGTGGATTGTGATGAAGAGGGAGCGGGAGCTGTCCAGTTAGAGCTGGATGCAGAGGACGACTTGCCAGTAGATGGCAGGGATGGGAATGCGGAGGCGGATGCTGATGGTGGGTTAACTGCGGGACGAGCGGACCATGATGATGGACCGCTCGAAGAGACAGGTGCAGGGCCACCAAGTCTCGTGCTGTTCTTCAGCTTGAGGACGCGGTTCGAGTACTTATTGGTAGCCTTTGCATTTGGGACAGCTGGGTTGGCCGATGCGGCGGAGGCCCAACCACTTGAACCTGAGGTTGCACCATGCATGCCACTCAGGCCAGGCAAGCTGGGGTAATCCTCGTTGATAGCCCGCCAATCCTGCCAGGCTTTACGAAGGGCATCGGCTTTGTTCTTGTCCTCGTAAAGATCCGCAACTTCTCGCACCATTGTGCCAAGAGCGTTTGAGGAGGTGTCGGCAAAGAGAGTAAAGAACGCGTCGATCAGCTGTGGTGCAGTAAGGCCGCCTTGTCGGTACGAAGAAATGTGGCTTCGGAAAGTGGCCATGCGTTGGGAATCATTGCCAAGGAGATTCGAGGCGCGCTCGACAACAGCACCATGGCGCACAAGACGAGCACGCTCCTCGGGGCTGAGGTTCGCTGGATCAACAGTAGCAGACTCGATGGGATTAGCAAGGTTAGTCTGACTGGCACGGGGAGTGTTCGATGAGCTGCCGCCACGAGCCTGCGATGAGGCTTGAGCTGGTGTAGGAGAAGGGACAGAAAGACCTCCGCCGAAGGTACGATTCGAGACGGATTGTGCAGAATGGATGGCCATCTGTCGCTGGAAAGCAATCTCATCACGTCGTAAAGGCTGGGCTGAGCTTACAGGAACCGGTTCCGCATTAGGGTCCCGGCCTCTGTTTCCTCCTCTTCGCCCATCTCTGCCTCCACGTCCTCCGCCTTCTCTTCCGCTGCCGCCGCCGCCAGATCGGCTCTCCTGCTGGTATGGTGTTCGGATATCGAATCCTGAAATATTGACAACTCGCGCATCTCTTCCTGTCGCCTTACCGCCGTGTTCGCTAAGCTGATGAGCCTGCAAGTCCAATTCCGACTCGAAGACTACAAACTTCTTTTCCATACATTCTCGATCGCCGCAAAAGTAGTGGTCCTTCTTGAAATGCTCTTCCAGGGCGTTGTAGTCGACATAGTAGTGAGGATGTCTCGAATCTCGTCTGTCACAAATGAAACAGCGCTCATGCTTCATTCTGCAGTGCTCATACAGCTTGTCGTCATCGTAGAAGCGCTCCCCGCAGAATCCACAAAGTGGATGTCCCTTGAAGCCCGTCTGGTCCGCCGCTCCAGGCTTGTCGTCTCCATGACGCATATGTCTCTCTAGCTCCTTGTCTGCAAATAACTCATGTTCGTGCGTGAAAACCTTCTTGTTACGAGTGCATAGATCGCACATGCGCTTGCGATGGGCAGATTTGACATGACGGTGCAGATCGGGCCAGCCAAGACCGGCGAAATCGCAATCCGGCTCGGGGCAGTTGTATCGTAGAAGGAGTACAGTGTCGCCAACAATATCCTCTTTGGTGTACTTGATGCCGATGTTGCTGTCGGTAGTGGAGATGTCTTTTTCGGAATATTCCTCGAAACGCTTCTCGGGATCATCGGTAAAAATCACATATGGAGCTGGGGTCTAAGATACTGTTAGTACTACAGCCGCGGCTGGAAGGAAAGCAGGAACATACACGACAATGAGCACAGTCCTTTGTCTTATAAAGGGCTCTCATGCGTAGTCCACAGATATGACATGTCGTGTGGTTGCAGGGTGCAATCGAGTGATGAGCGACAGGGTTGGCGCAGATGAAACACACTTCGCCGTCCTCGTCTTCAGCAGCTTCAGCTGCTTTGCCAGCTGCCATGGCATGGGCGCGAGACGCCGCAGCAGCTACATCTTGAGCAGCGGGGTTGGCAGGTACGTTGGGGACGTTGGCGTTGTTGCCGCCTCGACCGCGCCGTTGGCCACCTCGTCGGTTTTGATTTCCTTTGCCTCGGCCTCGTCCTCTGTTGCGCTGGCCGTCGCCTTGGGGTTGAGAATCGGAGGCTGTTACTCCGGCGTTGTTACCCTCCTCGGATGGAGCCATGACGAGAGGCTCCTGGCTCCTGGAAGCTGAAGGGTCGATCGTAAATGGGGCAGAAGTCGAAGGTAGAGCTTTGCTATGCTGCTCGCTCGCTCGCTCACTTGCACAAGAGAGTTCCGGGTTGTCAAGATAATGCAACTTAAATGTAGAAGATCTTCGGTTACAAACAGATAAGAGCTATAGTGGAATTTTTGTCAACACGCTCAAGATAGCCTAGTCGCTATGGATGGCAAATGCTCGTGAGTTATGGTACAGCTGTGAAGAAGAAATGATGATGTCGACTAGGTTTTAATCGAGCGTTGCTTGTCTCTTATGGCGGGGCAGAACTGTAAGAGGTAAGAAAGAGTGACGGAAAGTGTCCCTGCCGTGGGGGATGTGGCTGTTTGCACGGCCACTTCCATGGGCATCTGTGGCTGAGTAATCTTGGCAAGACTCACCACCGACGCGATGCATGAATTGGTGAATCCAATTGGCTCTCGTTTAACTGTCATTTAAAGCTGGGAGTCACCGGCCAGATGAAGCATAAGGCTGACTAGCATGTTAGCATGGGATTGACTGACTCATCCAGACTAATCATGACGACTAGGTAGAGCGGCAATTCTATCTGCTATCATGATACACCCAGCGAGACTGCGTAAATTGGAGACACGCTCATGATGGTGTTTCTACCCCAAAAGTCTTTTCCACTTACGGAACTTGGTCCACGGTCTAGTCAATATAGTGGAATACGCATCTTAATGTTCTCCGAAAACCATTAGAAATGCAACTTTAAAGCAATCAGATATAATCCTTCCCTCAATCCTAATGAGCATCTCACTCGGTCAAAACTAGTCTCTATATAGCCCAACACCAAGTAAAGGTGTTACTTACTGCCCATAGACTCAAAAGTTATCCACTGCGAAGTGGCCAAGCTGCGCGCGCATCCTCGCTATAGAAAAGAATCACTCTCGTTCCAATCTTCGTATCCTTACCAAAGTTCACCCGGTATGCTCCCCTTTTTTTCCTATGCTGAATCGCCCGCCAAAGAGAACAAATGAAACATGAGCAAATCATGAATACCGGTTACGCCGCCGCGCGCCCAAAACGCTGTCATCTGTAGAGTATCCGTTATAGTGTAGAAAGTCGTACTTTATTCTTCGACGGGGTAGAGGTGGCTGCCAATGTCCTTGTTCATCTTGAACATGTCGACCTTGGACTGCTTGAAGACTGCCTGCATCTTGTCGTCGCATATGATCTGTCGCTTGTCCTTGGGGTCTTGGAGATCGTTCGCCTTGATGTGCTCCCAGAGCTTCTTGACTACCTGAGGTCGGGATAGCTGTTCTTTGTCAATATTTGCAAATCTCGAGCTAGCGTTGTGCGTTGGATGTCACGTACTTGGGTCTCGCCAACCAACTCTGAAAGAGTTTCACTCAGGTTGAAAGGCTTTTGGAAGCCACCACCAGCCTTCCTCTTCTTGCCAGTCTCGCCATCAGCTGGGTCTAGGTCGCTGTCATCATCAGCCTTGACCTTCTTGGCGCTCTTCTTGCGAGGTGCTGCCTTCTTCTTGACCGGCTTGTCACCCCCTCGCGTTTTGCGACCTCTTGCTAGGCTGTTTTCCTGCGCCTGAAGTTGAGCAGCGAGTCTAGCGTCTGCATCTTCGGCCGAGGATGATCGCTTCACCTTCTTTCGCGAAGGTTCAGGAGTCGCCGATTGTTCAGTTTCGCCAAAATCGGAGGTACCGTTGGTTGCTGGGGGCTCGATGCCGGTATCAGCTCCGGAGGCGGCATCAAAACGAGCTTCAATAAGTCGCTTGATAGCGTTCTATCGTATGTGTGTCAGTAAAACAGATGACTGTCGTATGCGGTCATGGTAGATCTTGCATACTTTGTTCTCGCTGAGATCTTGTCCACCGAGAGCATTTTCCAGTCCCTTTCTGATCGTCTTTCGCGAGATTGTTTCGAGGTCGGACGTTTCGAGAATGTCGTCGATGATGGCTGTGTAGCGCTCGAGCTCTTCGGGGGTCACTGTTACGCGATGTTATTTGAATGTCCGAAATACGGCGAGAATTCAAGCAGAAGTATGCTGGGGAGCTTACGAGGGGCACTCATGGTGATGGTAGAGCTTATGGCTCTAGTTTGCTGTGCTCTGTGTAGAGTAGAAAAAAAGAATTTGGGGAGTAGAAGCGGCTCGGCAGTAGTTGCGAAACGAGAGGTGCCTTGAACAGCAGGGCGAGAGTTTGAAGATGAAGGGTAGGCCTTGGGGCTGTTCGTCAAGGAAAATACTGGTATGCGATCAGATGCGCCGATGGTCGCCAATATCAAAGCATATCCCGGATTAATTCGCGAAGGTGCGTTAAGTATTGTCGTCAATCGGTGCATAGATTAACGCGATCTCGTGTGAAGAAAGATGGTTCGTCGCGAAGGTCCCGGGGTTTGTCGATTGCAGTTGACGAACCGCGGCATGGGACGATAAACACCAATGAGCGATAGATAGACAAAATTGGTTCTGATAGTAGGATGCCTAGCCAATGATAGGGGCGCAATGAGATGGGAATAATGAGCAAGAAGGAGATAAATGAAGGTATCGCGAGCTCAGGTCGGGCTGTTGTGCATGGATCAAGTTGATGTTCACTACAGAACCTTGGAAGTCAACTAACGATGGCCGATGAGGCTGCTGAGGCTCTGGTTTCCGTGGCTGTTGACTGGGGTTGTGACCAATCAGAGCAATTCAGATTTGTGCTAGTGACTTAATTGGGTAAAGGGCTGACACGGGAGGAAGCGTGCTTCATCCATAATCTGCCCGGAGGTTTCTCCATGTTATGGATTGGTTCTTTGTCCAGTCACGTGGAATGTTCATGAAGCTTTAGCACAGATGATTGTTTCGAACAAAGACTTTAGATTAATTAACATGTTCATCCCATTGAATGGTTCACTCAATCATCTATCTGCACTTTGGACAAAATGCCAAGACTTGAATTATAGGTACCAAGGTTATGCATGATTCACCAAAGATTATTCCATCAACCTACCAACACGACTCCTCCAGACCCAACCCAGTTCCTAAGATATGGAAGTGGAGACAAACAGATACCTTCCAAGCTATCGTACCAACCAGTTTTCCCTTTCTCGTCTCTGCTTTCGTATGTGTATGAGAGAGAAATACAAGAAAAGGAATAAATCGGTCACTTCGTGCCAGCCAAACAGGCACTTATGCTCCTTTATTTTGGCAGTCTCAGCCTTACAGCCATCTCTTCTGTTACCCACCTGCAGACGCAGGTAAGCACTTAAAAGAAAGTGACATAAATGTGGCGCTCAACCACCGCCATTCATATAAATACAAATACACTCTATAAGTCTGCGACCATTGAACAATGGATTTATCTCAGATATCAAAGACTCCATGTACCTATTTCAACCTCGGTTACCGGGTCATGAATTGCCCCGCGCTACGGAGAGTTAATTGCCCCTACCCCGTATGAGGTAATGAATGCGCTTCTATGAAAACAAGAGATCACCCAACTTGATCATCAACAGCATAATTCTTCACAATGCCACTACCAGCCAAACCTCTCAACGCTATCAGCCAGGCATTCCCTCCCAAGCCTCAATTCACCGAGGCAAATGTTCCCGACCTCACAGGAAAAGTCACCTTAGTCACTGGCGCAAACACAGGCGTTGGTCGCGAAATCGCCCAGGTCCTCTACAGCAAAAATGCGACAGTCTGGGTAGCTGCTCGCAACGAGAAGAAAGGGCGCGATGCTATCGAGAGTATCAAGAAGCAGCACCCTACATCCCAAGGTTCCATCAAGTATCTCAAGCTCGATCTTGCAGATTTGACCACCATTGGCCCGTCTGCCAAGGAATTCCTCGCAGAAGAGAAGAGACTTGATATCCTGTTCAACAATGCTGGAGTCATGACGCCGCCAGAGGGCTCCAAGACTGTGCAGGGATATGAGCTCCAGCTCGGAGTCAATTGCTTAGGTCACTTTTTGTTCACGAAACACCTCACGCCTCTCCTTCAATCGACAGCCAAGTCAGCACCCAAGAACTCTGTCCGTGTCGTTTGGGTGTCGAGTTCAGCGGCGGATGTCTTATCGTGCAAGGACGGGTTTGAGCGGGATAACCTTGATTATCATGAGCCACGCAACCTGATCCACAAATATGCCACCAGCAAGGCCGGCAATTATTATCACAACACCGAGTTCGCAAGAAGATACAAGAGTGATGGCATTATCAGTGCGGTAAGCTGTAAAACTCATGACTTGAGGGCTATTTACTGACAGACTAGTCTTTAAATCCTGGTAATCTGGCAAGTGAACTTGATCGAACTTCGCCATGGTATATGTACTATCCCAGGCTCTTTACAACATACCCTTCCATTAACGGCGCCTACACGGAACTCTTTGCTGCTTTTTCAAAGGACATCACTGTGGAGAACTCTGGTATTTGGGGTAAGTGCTATATCCCTTGTTGATGCGTGGACATGCTGACAACTTCAAGTGGTTCCGTGGGGCCGTTTCATGCCCATCCGCCCTGACCTGCAGAAGGGAGCTTTGCCAGAATCTGAAGGTGGCACTGGTATGGCAGAGTTCTTCTGGAAATGGTCTGAAGAACAGATCAAGCCCTACTTCAAGAGCTAGATGTAAACACCATCATTAATAATTACACTGATATATGTCAACTATTTGTCAGTCTTCCTACATCATCAGACACCATGGTATGCTGCCAAAGAGCCTTCATAGCATGGCTTTGACATCAACTACTGTCCTGGTCTCTGACTCCAACATGTCCAAGTGAAGATGCCAAACCCGAGTCCAGGTCTCTCATCAAGTCTCCCCACAACAGTCCTCCTGGCGAGTCTGCTGTCCACAGCTCGCTATCTAGCAAATTGTCAAAATCGGCATTGACCAGAGCGTCCTCTCCTATACTCATGACTTGGTAACTACTTGGCTCCATCGATTCATTCGCAGCGTCTGGGGTCTTATGGCTATCAGCCGGTGTCGTCGCAGGCGTAGAGATTCCCAGTCGAGCACAGAAAGTATGCACGATCTCAAAACACTTCTCTTTCAGACTGTGAACTAACTGTGCACATTCGCGACTACCTGACATTTCGAAGACCCTTGCAGCCTGTGTCAGCAACCTTCGTGCCGTGGGCGATAATGGGCATATGGGATAACCGCAAGCGAAGCCGGCCAATGCAAATGTTGCAGTAGTCTGCCAGCCAGTGACTTGATAAAACCCAGCGAGGATTTCAGATGAGCTGAGGACTTGGTGAAGCATAAGCGTCATCATAATACCAGAATTGACACCAGTGATACAGTGATTGTCGCTGTTGAATGTTCCGAGAGCTGGTGTTGGTAGGAACGAGTTAAATGTTCGAGTGAGCATGATGACTAGAGAGTGGTAGTCCAGCTCAAGCACTAGGCGCTGTCTTTGTAGCCATAAGGGATCTGTTTGGCTGAGATTGAGCGTAGACCGGTCGACCGAGAATGGCACACCTTGTACCCTCGACGTCTTGAGGCTTTCCGGTAGCTCTTCAACCCATGTTTTGAGACGTTTGAGCTGCTCCCGCAGATATTTTGCGCATCTTTCGCGTGATGCAGGATGTTGGTAAAAGTCGGACTGATCAATCTCTCCCAAAACGTCCTCTACCACCGCCATCAATTCGACGTGAATCCCGCGGGCAATTTGGAATAGCCGCTGCCTCTCGTACGCGAATCGAAGCCAGTTGATGTTGGATGGCTCGGAGAAGTTGAAGTTTGGACCGTCGACGTGGGCAATCTCATCGGATTCTGGTCCGACTTGATCGTCCAGCTGATCGTCTGAAACTGCGAAGGGACGGCCGAGATGCAGAGCAACTTGTGTGTCCAGTGTAACCAAACAGTGCCAAAGTCTAGAGCAAACGTTCGTCGGGAGTGTGCTTGTCTCGATCTGGGCGTCATCATCGTGAGTGGTGTCAAATTGCAGACCAAGAGATTCTGCTGCCGCCACCGCTGACCGTATCATCATGTAGGCCGAATTAGTCTGATTGAATGCCAGTAGGTATATAGCACTGAGGAAATAACACTGCACTGACATCAAAGTCGGCCTTTCTGAAATAGCACTTAGAGACTGCTGTGCTTGGAGATAAAAGTTGTATCCAGGCTGATCAGGCATAACGAGCTCATCAGTCACCGTGTAGGAAGAGCCGAACTGAATACATAGCGCAACGACGATATCCACCATCGGACACGCTCGTCTCGAATTTTCATGCCACAGCGATTCATAATGCTGTCGAAAAGCAGCCTCGTCGAGCACAGGGTAAATGGCGTGGTAGCCTTGCCAGTAAAGGTCGAGCAGGGCATCTTGTTGCTCTCGTTGGAGGCGATCACAGCTCGACGGTGTTGAAGGAGGCGTTAGGTCCGACCTTGGTGGTGTTTTCAACTCCAAATCCACTTGTGTGAATGTTGATAGTCGATGAGAGAAGTAGGCGAGTGAAGATGGACCGTACTGAAGGCCATTGATCCGTACTCCCTTCCATCTTGATGAGCGCCTACGAGCGGGATCGTCTCTTCCACGTAGTGACGACGGAGTCAACAGCTTGTTCTCCAACTCCTGAACCTGGCTTCTCAAACGTTGAACCTCTCTGCAATCTGGTCAACCTGGTAATCACACACATTTACGCCCAAGACTTACTTCGTAGCCGCTGCCACGCTCTTGAAATCATCACGACCAGAATTCACACATTCCCTCTTGGCCTGCTTACAGCTGCGACATGGTCGAGTAGAGTCGCATTTTACTCGCGTCAACCGACACCAATCGCAGGCTCGTGAGACCTGGGCTCGCTTGGAGCGGGGCTGCGACGATGAAGATGGAGGGGTGAGAAGTTTCCCACTGCCCGGTTGCGACGTCGAAGTCGTGATGTCAAACGTTGTGAACATTGCGATCAAGAGAAATATAGAAGTCTAGATTAGCCTTTGTCAGTATTTCCTTGGTTTTGAGACGTGCTGCTTGGTCTGACATGGGTGGGATGGAATGAGTCAGGGATCTTGTGTTAGTTAATACATGTACTTGTACGCTGCTGGAGGAACCAAGTCGGAGAAGAGTACAGTATCGCTATGTAGATTTACCTAAGATGTATTGATGAACGAATCATCAGTGATCGTTTTCTTGTCTATCTGCTTCGGCATAGATCTCAGGTATACCATAACTGAAAAGAAAACCTCATCAGCATACAAGAGACAGCGACAAGAAGATACAACCAATGACAGGAGCCCCAACGTCATCTTGCTCCCAAATGAGGAAGTCGGAGGAAACTCCGAAAACTCCTTTTGGTCGCTTATCCCGCTGTCGATATAGGGTAGGTAATCGCTCCTTGTAAATGAAGTGAATTGAATTATACATGTTCTTGTTCATGTGTTTGTTGGAGGACAATGCACGCATCGGGAAGTTGCAGACGGGCGGGAGTTCAAATACCTGTACCTGCCAAAGTATATAGGTACCAAACCATCATACAATCACCCTCCAGGCTCATAGCTGCGCCTTCCCACCAAACAAACACGACAATCCAGTGACAAGGAACGTAACTCGATTGCACGGGTATCACTTCGGGAAGGAAGAAAGGAAGAGTTGGAAGCCTCCCATCATGATGCCACACTGTCAAGGAAACAAGTGTTTTTTGTTTTTCCATCAGTTCTTCTCTGCGTATGGAAACATTACAATACCCATTGTCAGATGAACAACCACAACACGCAAAGATGATAAGTCTAACTTTTGTTCTTTCTTTTCTCATTGCGTGTGTTCTGTCATCTCCACAACTTCATCGTAGATCTGAGATCTGTGGATCGCCTAACAAGATTGAATACACATTCATTCAAGGTATGATATGAACATCAAAGTTTGACTGTCGTGACGACTAACTCGAGGTAGATCCTTTCCTTGGGGATGTTGATTACGGTCAGCCCGGAATTACTTTTACGGCCGAGAATGGAGATGACAGTCTGCGCTGGTTCATGGTGTATCAGAACGCAATCGACTTCAAGCCATACCGAGCCATGAAGGTATACACTCCCTGATGAATGGATGTCGAAGTATTCCCTGCTCACATCCGTAACAGATCCCGTCGAACACGACCGTATTCATTGATTTGACAGCAACATGCCACACGTTCTCCGGCAGACTGGTCCGCGGCGCCGACATCAATTTCAACGGCGAAGCCCATAACCTTGGTACATGGGCAGAGGTGAACTGGGGAAACTACCCACTTGCCTATGGGGGAGTGTCTGTCATCGAAGGTAATTCAGCATGCCCCTCACCGGTGAGTAACAGAAGAATTATCTTCTATGTCTCAGGCTGCTATAATGAACTAGCTCATTATTTCGTCTCTCATGTCTTTGAGGGCCAATTCTTCTGTTACCCTGAGGCCTTACAACATTTACAGAACTAACTTACCTCAGGGAACGACGGACCGATTCAGTTTCACTCCGAAGATCCGAACACACCAGTCATGGGATTCGCACATGATATCATATCTGTTGCACCCAAGCAATGCCGAGAGATCAAGGACAGCGGGAGTGTGGCCCTGAAGCCAACCGACAAGAACGGTTACGATGAGGCAACACGCGACTACACCAAGCAAATGCTGCGGACTGAAGAAGTTTCCATAGACAAAAGCTCCACTGCTACGGTCATGTCGCATAAGGGAAGGTTCAGGATTAGGTTCCTTCATGGAAATCACTAGGATCCAGTATGGTTGGCCAGGGTTGCTTGATCTTTTTGTACTCGGAAGGCCGCTGTAAGTGGGAACAGTTTCGGACGGAATGTGAACGAGCATCGTGAGTCATGGCAGACGGAAGTTTGCAGGCTTCACAAGATATCTTAGAACACGATTGACCATATCGAATACTTTTTGGGGTCGTATTTGTAATTCCTCACTTGAACAACGGTCAATGGCTTTGCGAGCTTCTTAACAAACATGCGACGCTACGAAAGCTAACTCATTCCTAAAATCGCAGAACGTCCTCCCATAAACATCCGGATGAGCTTTCCAATCGCCGACTTGTAGCTCTAAATACATGATCCCATATTTTCCTGCCCGTAAGAAGGGTTTCAATTTGCAGCAACTTGCATTTCTCTTGACAAGTGATGCTTCCCATGTTAAGAGGTGTGGCGTAAGCGTTCACCAGCCACACGTGCGTTGCCCCTCTACCCATTAAACCATCCCACTTGATTTTGAGTCGGCCCCTCCAAAACTGAGCTGGAACTTGATCTCACTCACCTTATTTCAGTTAGTTGGGCAGGAAACGCGGCGCGAAGCCTGGAACTCAATGAATCGTCAACAAAGACCCAACCTTAAAAACGGCGTCGACCTTCAGCTTCAGTCTGCCTTCAATGATGGCAATTGGGCTGTGGTGATTCGCCTGGCAGAGAAGCGGGCCAAGACGTTCAACGACCAGTACTATGAGGTGCGCCCTTTTGCGATTTTATTCAAGATCATTGTAGACTGATTTAGTTTAATAGATTGTCAAAATCTGCGCGGAAAGCCAGCTTGATGATCCCAGTTCCAAGTTTGCTGCCATAACCGCTATTGACAAGTTCATCAGGGAGGAGACCGTTGTCAAGGATGTTGATGCTCTGGATCTTCTCGAATGGGCCGCCCAGGGGCTCAATGATGATGAGGATTTCCCTCAGACTCTTGGACCGTTGAGAGCACGCCTCGTCAAAGCTGCGCCAAAGGACAAGATTGGTGCTAGTCGATGTTTGGAGTCTTGCCTACTACATTGGGATCTTGTTAGTGCGCAACAGGTATGATGGACTCGATTATTCGGCAAGACACCCGTTGACATCTTTTCAGATTGCTGCGATACTGGACAGATCCTTTGCACAGGACCGAACGTTCATGTTTTGGAACATCGTGATTACACACTTGCTGGCGGTCCGTATAATGTTCCTTCTTCTCGAACACAACTGACCTTCAAAAGACAAGCCCACAAGCACCTCCAGAAAAGAAGAAGCTCTACGGCATGCTCGCACTCAAACAGATTCAACGTGCTGCGCAATTGGCTGAACAGGTAGTTGTATCTCTCGAATTCAGTAACTTGTCACTGACTGTACTAGGACGCCGGCAACGATGCCAAACCCCAAGCTCGAAGCATCCAAACAGAAGAGGAGACCCTGCTGTTCTACGATGTCACCGAAAAGCACGGCTCCAAAGACGACTTTGACAAGCTCATTTTCAGTCCTGTCTTCAACCCTCTTGCACAGTTCCGAAAGGGCAGAAAAGAGTTGTTATTGAGGACGATCGTCCGATATCAGCAGGATCAAAACTATGAAGCCATCTTCCAACTTTGCAAGGATTGTTTGTCTATTGAGGATGAAAATGGACAACCGAGCCTACTGGCAGCCGATTGGAAGGTCTGGAAACATTTCATCGATGCGGCTGTTCAAATAAAGACAGTCAACCCGGAGTAGGTCTCTTGTCTTGACTTCAAGCCGAGCTTAGACTAACGAAACACAGCGTCGAGAAGATTGTTCAGGAGTTGCTTTTGAAGTTCATCGGGTCACCAGATCTGCGACCCATCTACAAGCGCATCATCCTCCTAGCGCGCCTTTCGGCAGCTTTCAATCTCGTATCAAATGACGCGGAGGACATTATCGATAATGAGCCTGCGTCTTTCCGATTGAAAGAATTGATCGGCTACATCAACAGTCAAGGCACCAACGCCGCTTGCTTCGACGACATCAAGGTCTTTGTAGAGAAACTCACATCCTCTGCACTCAAGTACCTTGCCTACGACTTTACTACCAAACTCTCCGAAGAGACCGAGGATCGGGACAAGTCAGCAAGGCTACGCAACCTCTCGCTCAAGTTGCAGTATTTTGCGGCCACTTGCCCCTCCATGTATACTACGGTACCTGGCGAAAGACCTATGCGTAGATGCGTTGTGTCTGGCACGGAGGTGGATGCTAGCCAGCCTGGACCTGCTTTTTCCGTCATCGCCGAAACTGCACTTAAGGTCTATAAGTCGCTAGCTTATGTATCCTCGAAGGACCGGTCTGTAGAAGCAGAGATTAGACCCGAGCTAGCTGTTATCACTGGCCTTTGCTATATCCAGGCTGCCTTCCCCCCTTCAACCGACATCTCCAATTCGCCCATCTCTTACGCTCCTCTACTTCAAGCCTTGTTGTTGCTCGAGCGTCAACTTTTTTTGACTCCGAAGCACAGCATCATTTCCCTCCTACTAGTGCAGCTGCACCTTCGCGTTGGCTCAACGTCACGAGCTCGTGAAATTTGGGATACGCTTGGAGTCAAACGCACCATCATGGATTCCTTGGCACCCATCTTCTATGACCGACTCTCTACTATCTCGCCGGCTATGATATCACCACAAGACGAAACAGGATGGGAGCTCCTGGAGCTCCTCAGTTCGCACTTCAACGTGTCGCTGAAGCTGAGGATGCCTCGACGATTGATCGACGCTTTTGAGTCGGGTAGTTATAGTAGTGTGACCAGTATTCCAGAATACATGGAGAATCTACGATGGAGCTGCACGCGAGCGATGAGTCTTGTGGAAGAGACCAGGACTGATCGCATCATGGGAGAGCAGTTCTCTGAGGTGTTTACTGATCCCCGATTTAGTAAGTTACAGCCAACACGTGACCCTTGCAATGGCTGACAGTCGATAGTTGAAGTGACGGATGACAAGAAGTTAGTTGAGACTATAGACTACGGGTCGTTCCCTTCGTGGGATTGCAGTTCTCGATCACCCATATATTCTCGCCTACGACTTGGACCCCCTCTGACTGTAGGTCATCTTTGTTGTCTTATTAAACGTCACTGACATTCATAGAACCGTCGCGCACATTTGTCGTTGCTCTCCGAATCCTTCCACGAACTCATGAGCTACAAGCCTCCGGCCATCTACAAGGCTTCTGCAGCAGCCGCCGTTCCTGATCAAATCTTCGTCCTCGAATCACTCACTCAGCTGAGCGCTTCTTTTATCAGGTTCTCGAATGGCCCCAGCACAGATTTCACTCCACAAGAGGCAACATACTTTGAAGTCATTGGTCTGCTGAGCACGCTTATCCCATTCACTACTGGCATTAACAGGGTCAACCACGTGCCCGAAGAGTTTACTCAGATTGTCGACACGCTGAAAATCGCACTGGACACGCTCAAGCTTGAAATTGTAGCTCCCACAACTGCTTCAGATCAGGTCAAGATCCTCAGCACATTCCACTCCCTCGCTATCATCCGTGACACAGCAGCAGCAACAAAGAGCGCCGCACAATGGATAATCGCCTTCAACGATCGCGAAAAGGAGCGCGACCGCTCTGGTAAGAGCAACTTGCCAAAGGAAGTCATGACGCAGATCAAGGAATTGGTCACGGTATCTGAAGCGGCACTCAAGGAGGGCAAAGACACCGTAGCCAAGTTGAAGGAGCAAGTTTGGGGAAGAGACTTCGAACCTTCAGTGAGAATGTGGATCTTTGAAGGAGCTGAAGATGTTACGGAGTTTGTGGGGCAGAATGTTCTGAAAAAGCTTGTCAAGAGTTGGGAAGCAAACATCAAGGGATGGCTTGGGGTGAAATGGAGTTAGACGTGCTTGGCTGTTAATTTGACGTTATTTTGGGAGATGAAGGAAGTTCATCCCTGTCGTGTTGATCACGCATGAGCAGATAACCAAGCATGCCTTTAGCCATCTTTAGTACAGGCAATCTATATAAGATGATCGAGGAATTTATCCGCGATACAAATAACTGGTCAACGGCATCTATTGTTATGAGAATGTTGGCGAGTCACGCACATCTTGTAATGCTGGAGATCCGTTTCCATCGGCCCCACCCGATTAAACTCGAATTATAGTGGGTATGAACCCCTAACCTGATCCTGATCTCGATCTCCAAGATTTCTGCATCCTTTGATCTGCATCCTTTGCTTTGCCTGTCATTCCTTTCAAGGCCGTTGAAGTATATACATCGTCGGCTGTATTTATTTGCTTTATTTCTTTCTTTTAGTGTCAAGTTTCACTTGTACATTTTCATGAGAATATAGATATACATCTCGAACGGCTTCGTCATTCTGCATTTTCTTTGCCCAGCGCCAAGCCTTGTCCATCCTCTTTAGCTGCACTCGATAACGATAGCCTGGTTGCTTCCTTGTTCTTTGGATCCTCCTCTGACGATTTGACATCGATGCGAGTCTCCTCGACTTGAATACCTCGAATATCTCGCGACTTATTGCGACGAACCGAACCGAGTCAGACTTCACAAGTTTGAGACATCGATGCCAGTAGCGACGTCATACCGCTTTAGTTCTGCGACATAAAACAATATCTGCGACATTAGAAATGGTTTCCCGAAATCGCTCTGGCAGACGGAGAACTGCCGCTCTCGCCTTCTTCATCGCTACCGTCGTTCTCCTAAACTACAAGGGCTTCTTGACATTACCAAACTTTGAAGAAGCCAAACCCGACCGACCAGAACTTTCTCAAGCACCCGCATGTGCTTCCTCCATCGATCATCTCCGACGGTCGGCGTATGGCCTTACGAGGGACGTCGTCTACCAGAAGCGATGCATTCGTCCTGTCGTGGACAAGAAAATCGACAGCCAAATCGTGTCACAGAACCCTGATGCGTTGATAAAAACAGGCCAAATTGTTCAGCTTGACCAGGCTTGTGAAGGATGGACCGAGCCGGCTTGCGAACCTGTTACCCTCAAGGTCCCTCCGCCGTACCCCCAACAGGACTACTCAGCATTCATCTTCGGAGTCGCGACGAGTCTTGGTCGCTTGAACGAATCGCTCTCACAGTTTGAAAGCTGGCTCGGCAATACGCATGCACACCTACTAGCAGTCATTACGGACCCTGGCGACGAGCACAAGTACAAAGCGGTTGCTGAGCAGTTTCGTCAGCGCGGCGTCGAACTGACAATCAAGGATCCATGGAACAAAGCCATCACACCGAACGAGCAGCATTTTGCCATCGTCCGTGATCTTCTCGAACACGCTACACCCAAAACCCAGTGGGCAGCGATTGTCGACGACGATACTTTCTTCCCCTCACTGTACCCCATGAGCCAAATTCTTGCCAAGCAAGACCACAAGATACCCGCGTATATCGGTGGCTTGTCGGAGAACTATGATGCGGTCAAGCATCATGGCTACATGGCCTTTGGTGGAGCTGGGGTTTTCCTAAGCCAAGCTCTGCTTCGCGAACTAAACCCCCATCTTGAGGAGTGTCTCAAGGTGGACCATGTTCCTCAAGGTGACGGTCTTCTGAAGCAGTGCATCTACAGCAAGACCAAGACAAAGCTTACAGTTGTCAAGGGACTCCACCAACTGGACATGGGTGGAGATATGAGCGGGTTCTACGAGTCTGGCCGTCTTCCAATGAGTCTCCATCACTGGAAATCATGGCACCAGGCCCCTGTTGACAAGATGGTCAAGATCTCCGAGTTCTGCGGCAGCTGTTTCCTGCAGCGCTTCGCCTTTGGCTCCGACACCGTTCTGACAAACGGGTACAGCATTGTGCAGTACTCGGCTGGATTAGAGAGTGTAGATCTGAACAAGATGGAGGGAAGCTGGGAGGGCGCCAAAGGTTTCGATTGGAGTCTAAGCCCAATGCGAGCCAAGATGGATCGCCGACTGAAGAAGAGCTATCGCCTTGTTGATACAGAAGTAATTGGGAAGAATATTCGGCAGATCTACATCCACCGTGTGGAGGATGACATTCCCGGGCCGGGCGAGAAGTCAAGTGACTCAAAGAACCCGCCGCCCAAGATTGAGGAGAGGAAAGATGAAGTGATAGAATTGCTGTGGGAGTTGTAGAGATTGGATTTCGATTCCCGGTTGGACCGGAGTTGCATATACGACGAATGATACCTTGGGTGGATAAATAAATAGACTTGGTTTTAATGTTAATGCGCTTTTCCCTTTCCCGGCAATAATATGAGAGCAGAGGGGTTCTCACAATTATGTCTTTCTCCAAATGTGCCACACCTAGATAAAGACTAAGATCTATCAGGATATGGCGTCCACGCGATATCGGCCTGCGGAGAACAATACACTATCGTAGATATGATCATCATATGAGAGCAGGAGAGTATTTATACTTAAAGATGTCGACAGAATAACCGTTGACCATCAGTCCTCATCGCTCATCACTCTGACACTACAATCATATCTTTATAATGACTTTTATTCAAATGCCTGATGGCTGGCTCCAGCCTCTTTCAAACCTCACTCTCCTTCCTATCGCTATTGTCATATCAGCCTGGGCTGTTACTATCATCGTGAGTCTTCTCAAAGACCATGATCTTTCGCAATTAACAACAAAAACAGGCAAAACAATGGATGCGGAGTCGCAAACAGCACCTACAACCGGCCACGAACGAAACATCACTTCCTGAGAAGACGTCGATTATTGAGCCATTGCATAACTTTGACTGGAAGACAGCGCCTAGACGTCAACTGCGACCATTCAAGCCGACATATCACATCACGATGGGTACGACTCTCTTGAAAGTAGCCGTCAAGTCAACTAACAAGTTACAGCTATTCAGGCCAGCACACCTTCAGAGCTGATTACCATCGATGAAGATTATGTCGATCGCATAACCCAACGACGTAGCATCATCGCTGCCCATGGTTCAACTGTACATGGTCACATTCCCGAAGGCGACGCAGCCGTGCGCGAGCTCTACACATATCTCCTATCCGAGCAACTCCCCAAGCGTTTCCCAGCCATCTTCCGCCTTTCAAACGATACCTCCACATGCGAGAATCTCGCTACGGGAATGTCTTTTCCGACGGTCCCTAGAGGAGACGCAAATGCCGCGCTACGTATCCTTGGCGAGACGATAGAAGAAGACCTCTTTCTCCTCCAACAGACCCCCGAGGGCCACCAGTCTATAGCGTTCATGTGCTGTTTTCCTTCTGGTTTCGATCCTTCAGAGAAGTTAGGCAAGACTCTTGTTGAGATTCATGCTCCGGTTCCGTCGTATGAGAAGATCGGGTCTAGTATGGAGAAGTTCTTTGCGAAGCTGGAGGTGGGAAAGAGTGTGAAGCGGACAAACGTGAGAATCCTTCTAGAGGTTTGATGACGAAACTGACAGGTCACAGTGGTCCGTTCAAACACATACCGAGTTATTCAATTGTAAAGGCAATCACATAACAGGCGACGACACCTACGAGAACGACGAGAGCGTTGACATCGAGAAGGTGACTCATTCTCTCCACAGCAGTGTATTCCAAACTAACACGTGCCCAGACGTTTCTCCGAATTGAGCTTCAGACTTTGACCCGTCTACCAAAGACTCGCGCTATCCTCTTCTCATTCAAGACATACCTCTACCCAGTTAATCAGATCAAGGAAGAGGGCCTTGGACCGGCTTTCGCGGACGCTATTGAGGGTCTTGCTAAGGGCAATGCACCTGGGATGTGGACTTATAAGAGTGCAGTTCGGTGGGGAAGCAGTGTGATTGACTATCTCAGATCGTGAGAATCATGTTCCTCGACTGAAGAGACAGGCGGGTAACAGAAAGCATTCTATTAGGCTTAGGCTGCACAAATAATCTAGTCTAAGGTAGCATAAAATGATCAAATTATTTCGTTTCTTATGCTCTTGGCGGCCAATTCTTCTGACATCCTGACAAGGAATGAGGCTCTAAGCAAAGCCATGATCGTCATACAAATGAGCCCCAATAACAGTCTCGCCGAGTAACTGCGTAACTCAAGTCCTTGCTATTTTCGAGTAGAAAGGCAGTCTGGTATTACTGGTGTCACTCTATGCTCCTTCCAAAACGGCCGAGGGTGATCATGTGGGACTCTTTCTGCTACATCTGCAAAACGAAGTACAAACAGGGCTATACCTTTTCAAATCTAAACTGCGCAAGTCCGAGGTTGTATCCAGTGGCAAGAGTCCATTACGTGTTGCGGCTCTGTGGTGACTTGTTGCTCACCGACTGGTATATAAGCAAGTGAGCAGAGTTCCATGTCTTGCTCCAATAGATTGCAAAGGGTACATCAAAACCGTCCTCTATCTCTCATTTGAACTAAGAGAACCTAGTTTCTTCGCTTAGTTCTACAAAAAATGACAGTTACCGAGTCACTCAAGATATCTCCTCGAGAGCCAACATCCGTCAGTGTCGTGATGGAAGAAGCAGACAGTCCTGGATCCCCAGATTCCGCATCCATAAACACCCCCAAGGATGAGAATGCACAAGCCAAGACACAATCGCTGAGAAAAGAGCTCCGAGAAAATGGAAAGAAGGGACCGATCTGTACAGAGCATCCGTTCAAGAAGCACGTACTACACTCCATAATCACAGTCGCTCTTATCGGCATAACCTCCCTCGCAACAGCATGCTGGTTGATCGCCTACATCCAAACACGCTCCAAAAACGAGCGTCCATATATCACAGCAGAGATAATCGGAGGCAGATTCTCCTCAACAGCAGCAAAGCTCATCGACGCCGCATTCTCCATGCTGGTAGCGCCAGCTGTCATCGCAATCGCCAACTGGCACATGTTCAAGCTCGCTCGCCTCTCTGCCGTCAACGAACATCGCGGACGAAACTCAGCAGTCAGCATGAAGGTGCTTGTCGAAGTCGCCAATACTGATTGGGGTTCATTTAGTCCATTGAAATTCTGGACATTTGCTCGTTCGAAAAGACCCCGTGTTATCTGCCTGGGAGCAATCGCTGTGCTTTCGGCGCTAAGTTTCGCCTTGTTGAGTAATGTTGTCGCATATCAGGCCGGAATGATGCTCGAGTATTTGTAGGACACTTACTCGCTGCCCCCTCTGGACACTGATGCGGCTTCGCTGTACGGTCAGGTACTTGAGCCACGAGTGTTAAACAGTCTTCAGGATAGACTTGACACTCTGCATCCATCGATGCTAGGGTCGGCCGTTGATGGACTGCTCGAAGTCAACGTATCGGCCTGATCACGAACCCGACTGCCTTCGGATGTGAAGAAACTGTTTGATGCTCCCGTTTACCGACTTAACCTGTCATGTCACCCGTCTATTGCTCAAGCTGTAATGATTGAGCGACCAGATTATCTCGATTCACATGTCAGCATCAGCTTCGAAAGTACAGCAACGACGCCCGAATCGAGGTCGACTAGGTATCAGGCAAACTTTGGTACGGATACATCCATTCTGTCCGAAAGGTCTTTACGTGATGCCAGTGTCAAGTATCCAGGTATTCAGTATCCGCTGATTGCTTTCAATCAAAGTGCCATATGGGTTGGTGCCATCAATACCAATCAAACTTCAGGTATCAATACACCCGGAGCAAACAATTTGGCATTAGCGGGTATGGATTGTCATCTCGCAAAGTCGAATGGACGCGCAGATGTAAAGGTGAATGGCAGTCAATGGACCATCATCAAAGATACTCTGTTTAACGAACAATATGATCCACGACCAAACAAACCGATGTCGGCCTTGACGTCTGCGCTGGACTTCTTCGACGAGGGTCATGTTGGGGCAGCACCAGGGCTAGGCGGACACTTGTTGCGCGCTGCACTCAACATCGCGAGCGAAGGGAATCGGCCTTCGTGGAAGCTTGAGAGTCTCTTTGAAGCCTTCCTCTGGTACGAAACCGAAACTCGGCTTATCCTTCTAGACGATAGTCAAGCCAGGAAAACAGGATGGTACCAAATCCAACGTGACACTGATAGATATGCCATGACCTTCACCCCTTGGCTCCTCCTTGCTGGTCTCGTGGCACTAGGGATTGCATGTGGAATAACAGTCGGACTTTCAATCGACTCCCGAAAGATACACTCTTTACGTGTTGGACGAATGCTGGACTCGATTCGCCTGACAGCTGATGTCGGCGTAGCTCTAGACAAGCAAGTTTTTGAAGAGTGTTCAACCTGGCACAGCTCCAGACTAAACAAGTGTGCTGACGAGGCGAGGTTCCAATATGAGGCGGACGTACGGTTGAACAGTGAAACTGGAGTCTATTCTGTAGGAATCCGTCTCCGACAAGTCTCGCGACCGCATGAATGATAGATGGTCCTGGTAGGAAACGCAGCTGTTGTTAAGGACGCTTCAGAGATACGACCAAGAAGTTGGGTGCTGCCTTGGGCTCAATCTCTGCATATCTGGACCTCGTTTCCTGCTACAAAGGCAGTCCATCCCTTAGTTTGCTATGCTCGTGGGAAAATCACTGTCGCCTCGGCTGTCGGTGACACAGCGTTGTAATTGAACCCGGAGAAGTCCGAGGATACAATTGCGTATGAGTTATATGATTGGGAAATGCGACTGTAAATCTGCAGTGGTTGTGTCGCCGTCATCAAGAGTCGGTCAACACCCTCTCGAAGTACAAGTATTTGGTCAAGTTATGACATTGATGTTGTTGATGAACTGGTTGATTATTAGAATACACGCTGGTCACAAATAGAACCAGACTCGCTGATGTCAAAGAACGAAATCCTTTAAACACCGCGCTTCCATATAGTACAAGATCGCCAAACTCCCTTGTTGTTACAGTACCTTCACGGCTGATCGTCCCGGTGGTCAGGTCCTTGGGTCTAAGTAACCTCTTAGAACCAACCCTTTCCCTCCTTTCTTCGCTTCTCAGTCTGCAAATACAGATTAGTCTCTCAATCACAGCACAGCGTCCATTCGTATAAACATACCCACTCTTGTTTGCAATCACGATAGGCCCTGTAAAATCGTTAACTCCATCCCATCTGCATCATCCAGCGACCAACGTACTGGAAGTACTCTCCGCACATATTCTTATCACCCCCGTTTCTGAACAAGCATCGGTAACTTCTTTGCGCAGCTTCCTGACAAGGATCGTAGAACTCGCTCTTGGATTTGCTGTACGTCATCAGTGTCGGGTTCGTCGTGAGTCGGTTGGTAGGCTTACGTCTCAAACTTTCGGCGCTTGTCGTCGGACCAGGCCTGGGTATCGCCCTTGGAAGCTTCGGCGGTGTCTTGTGGTGTGGAATCGGACATTGTTGGTTGCGTTTGGCGATTGATGAATTCACGGCGGATGAGGATGATTTGGTTTGGGTGGGACTTTGTTCGGAGAGCTGGGGCGGGGCCGATTGAACGGGTGAGGTGGGGGGCCCGTTGAGGTCTGACATAATGGCAAGAACACCACCCTACACCAAAATGATATTTTTCCTTTCCCATCATGAGTTAAGAGTGACGATCAGAGTTAATTATAATTAAAAACCTCTTTTCCCCCCTCTTCGGCTCAACATCGACCAATCAACTCTGCCAAAAGCCATCACTGCTCCAAGTTTCTCTATCCCCTCTCGTATTCACCAGAAGCCCGTCCCTCGCTCGTATCAACTTCCTTGTCGTCTCCTGAGTACAACACAACCCGACGTCAAACTCTTTCAAGTCAGGGTCTCCCATGGTAGCAAGCGCAGCCAGGCCAAGGTATGAGTGATACATATCCGGCGGCCCTCCGACAGCCTTGGAGAATCCACCGATGCGATGCTGCGTGACGTCCAAAAGATATCGCCGTGAGGGAAGGACATTAATAATCGAGGTGTTTCCGAGCATCTAGACAACATGTTAACGGACCGTTTCCCGCGAGCCAGTGATAGATTTACCGAGAGTGTGCCACCAACCCACCAGCAGTAGCACGTATCTGCCTTCTTGTTCCATCGTCCATTGAAACCGACGTGTCCATAACCAGTCTCACCAAGATTCGACTCAATAAAGTTTTCCTCTACCTCATCGCTTTCCTCTTCTTGGGGAAGATAAGAAAAGGGACGAGATGCAAGAAACTGCATAAGACCCTCGCGATTAGGCACGCCCTCCTTTAGTGCATTCTCGGGAGGATGAACGGCTGTAGAGTCCAATGGCCTGTCTAATAGAGATAGCGCACCAATCGCGCAGTATGCGTATCCAGCTAGAAAGGCGAGTCAGTATGGTGCAAAACGGCATGTTGAGGCTTCATACCGTGAGATTCGTGTTGAGAGGACTCTGCCACTCCGCCATCGTATGTCTAATTGCATTAGTGAGAGTTGGTCTCGATGTGTGAGTAACTTACCTGGCCTCTTTTGATGTGAGCAACCATTTTATCCACATCCATATCTTCCACCCACCCCTCATCACCCTCTTTTACATCTCCTCTTAACATCCATCTGATGCAACTTGCGAGATAGCTATGTCTCATATCCCTTCCACCAACAATCTCCCCATCCCACATGTTCTGCCCATAACTTCCATCTTCCCTCTGGAGACCCCTCAACCACTTCAACAACCGCACCCTATCCACACCTTTGAAAGCTGACTTTGCCTCCTCTTCATTCTCAGCTGCAAGACCCAGCAACACGAGAGCAAAGAAGGTAGCTGCGATGTTGGCTGTGCCCTTGTAAGCTTCTTGACCAGGCAAAGCGTGGGTTGAACTTCCGCAGAAACCGCCTTCTGGATGTTGTAGGCTGAGAACCCAGCGACGGATTGCGATGCGTTCAAATGAAGTGAGTGGGACGGAAAGAAGATCCAATGCTGAGATGGTGAAACATGCGAATGTGAGTCGGGTTGAGTCGTATGCTGTGTAAGGCGATGGTAGATACGTTTTGTGGCAGCGCTGCCAATATTTGATGTGTTGTTGCTTATCTAGCAACGGACTGTCTAATTCTGACATTGTAGGTAGTTGAAGTAGAATTTCCGAAAATATGCGGCTTAGTTGTATTGTTGTTGAAGGAATCTTATTCACATCGCATGCATACAGCTGGGGTAGGTAAGATCCGCAGTCTCATACTCCTAGGTTCACTAGCCACAAACACAGCCACTTGACGACCCTCGCGCCACAAGGTACGCCTCTATTCTGATTCGTCAGGTAAATGCTCAAACAGCCTTATGCACCAGAGCTAGGAAGACCCCACCACCATTGCGGCATGTGATGCAATGTCTAACTTGATCGAGCCCCTGGCAGCTTCTGTCCGTTCCTTTTTCACGAGTGTCCAGCAAGACTTGATCGCGAACAAACACCTACGCACCCTTCTTCACATTCTTTTAACTAGAACGCTATTACCCTCAGGTTGGTCCTCCGGCATACTCCCCTTCTCTGGACCACCTCCTTTCGACGACTGGCCACGTGCCTCCTTTGCGACACAGCATATCTCGAGAACGAACAGTACTCCGTCTTCACTGCGCATACCAAACCGCAATCATGGCGCTCATATCTGCAAAGACCATCATTACCTCCGTATCCCTCTTCCACCTTACGCTCGCCTACTTCTTCCTTACAAACCCAAGCTCCATCAATGAGCAGGCACTAGTCTTCATGATGGGCGAGAGCATGGGAATGGTAAGTTCTGTAGTACCGTCGCCGTCCCCCAGCTAACACCAAACTCCAACAGCCCTTGGCCAGAGGTTTCGAGTCACAAAGCTCTCCTCTCGCTTTGGCCGCAGTGGTTCTCATCTTCATTGGCTTCAGCGATCTGGTTTCCCTTTCCATGCCCGACGAGATCTGCTTGGTTTTCCACTGGGGTATCCAAGGTATGCATTACCAACGCTCCAATGAGTCTACAGCAACTAACAGCAACAGCGCCAATTCGATCATTCCTCTCGCTCGGTTTCGTCGCTTACATCTTCCTCTTCGGCCCTTCGTCTCCTCTCTACGACAAGTCCTCCCGTGGTCCCATGACGCACCCGAGCGCACATAACCCATCGTATCGTCCAGCTGGCTGGGGCGGAGACATGCTCAAGAACCGATTATTCTTTACATTTATCTTTATCGAGACGATGACCTGGTTCTGGATCTGGGTTACTCTGCGTGAGGAGAGAGATGCGATCCTGAGCAAGAAGTCTCGAAGACGCAACTCGAATGCCATGTAAGGAAGTCACTTACATACCGGTTGGAGGAATGAGGTCTATTTGGTTCAAGATCGTGTTCTCTTAGGGGAGGCTTGACCACACCAACTGAGCGCATGAAAGCTTGCGCAAGACCACCTACTACTGCCGTCTTTATTTTGGATACACCAGGGTATTGGATTGACTGGTCCAGATTGACCATGCGTGTCAAATAGATGTGCTACCATGGCAGCTCGGTCGTTTCATGCCAGCTGAGGCTGCTACCATATCTGTCTCATGTCATTATACATAAAGCTCGAGGCTCAAACTCGTCAACCAAAAACAGATATCCATAAAATGCTACGACTCTATTGCTCGATGGACGACTGCAAAGCTTGACACGCACAAACAAGAAGACAAACAGCACGCCGACAAGCTTTTACAATCCCGCGAGAAAAAGATTCGCTTCCGTCTATAAAATTATACTAGTATCCATCGTCAAGTCATCTTTTATCAGAGGTGACGCTCATCTACTATGAGCTTGCAGGAGCCTTCTCGGCAGTAATCGTTGAAGCCTGGCTTTCTGACTGTCTTGCGATAATGGTGGGCGCAGGTTCCAACTCAGGTTGAGGCTCGTTTTCTTCAAAGATCTGCTCCTCAATCTTTTCGCCCGGACCGCCTATGACTGGGCTGAAAACATCAACTTCTTCGATATCCTCGTCCATCTCTGACCCTTCATCCTCCTCTTGAATAGTGATTTCTCCAGATCGACGTCCCAGACCAGAGGCACTAGCGCTGCGGGAATGTGACCCAGACCCACTGTTGCGCTGGCCTTGAGAAGGTCCACCAAAGTTGTTAAGAGTCGGACCCTTGAATAAGTTCCGCTTTCGTTTTGCAAACATGATGCCTGACGCGAAAGGATTGGGTGATCCTGGAGCTTGTGGTGGGCCATCAGATGGCATTCCTTCGTTAAACATATTGAGGGTCGGTGGGGTGGCTCGAACGAGGCGAATGTTTGATGGGAATGAAACTGAGGTGGGGGTTGCTGGAAGAACCTTGACTGAATGGTGAGGGGAATGACCTCGCTGGAGAGGCGTTTTCGACATGGATGTGGAGAATGAGGCAGCTGAGCTTGTTGAAGACGCTTTGGAGTGAGTATGGTGATGGTGGTGAATTGATCGCACTGACGACACTGACGAGGATGTCGACTTTCGGCCTCGCAGTCCAGCCGAAGACCGCCTAACAGTCGAACGTGGCGTAAGAGGCGAAGGAGACAGTGATTGTCGCTTGTATGATGTAGCGAGACGAGGAGGTGGAATTGTTGGTGATGCGAGACTTCCTGATGCCGTTCTCTGGGAGCTGGCTCCACCTGTCCTTTGGCCGTTAGCCACTACACCCTTAGGTAGCGAGGCTGTCGGCTGTGTTCCAGGCGAGGTCGCGGTAGGATATTTGCTAGTCTGTGGTCGTGAGCTTCCATCTTTACTGCTGACAGTGCTTCCCTCCTTCTTATGGAGGTCTGGGGTGCTCTGACTCGTTCGCCTGGCATGGCCACGTCTTCTTCTCGTTGCGCTCTCGACAAGCCAATGTGTCATATTCTTCCAGTGAGATATGAGTGGCTGGCTAGGTCTTCTTCTTGGTCTCTCGTTACCATTCTGTTGTTGACTGTGTTCATCGCTCGTGTTAGAACCAAGGGCATCCGATGTGGTGACCAGATGAAGTGTAGAGCCTCGAGATCGAGCGCTGCGTATCATTCCCTCCTTAGGGGGTGGTATAGGCCTGCGCTGACGAGACGTTGAGATAGACCGTATTGAATCCTTGTCGACGGGCGGAGGAGGTTGGTCGCTGTCCATGTTTAATCCCCCCGAGTCCCTGATTTCTGGAAGCTGCGGAAGATCAGACACAATGTAGTCAACATAGTGAGCACTCCTACGCTCACTCCTTCCCCTGTTTCGGGAATTCGACTTTTCCAATCTTAATTGCCGCCCATAGCCATGAGTCTCATCGACTTCGTGTAATGTTGGAGCCATTCTTTCCAAGCGGCTTGAAGCGGCGGATAATCGTCGCATACTGCGACTATCAAGCTCCCTCTCTCTTCGCTTCTTCTCTCTGCGCTGCATTTTTCGTTGTTCCTTCTCCAGTAACAAAGCCCACCACCCAGCCAGTGCATCGCATTTTTGCGCGAGTACGCTTTCTATGACTCCATCAATATTAACGCCAGCACTTCGCATTCGCTGCAAGCAATCCTTCTCCAACGGCGTGGAGAATGGGGGCGGTTGCTGGACATCCAGAATAGCCCGTTGCGTTGGGGCATGCTCGGCCAGAAACGAGTTGGAAAGAATCTCGGGCAGACCGGGGCGCAAAAGCGGTCTCTTCGATAACAATGCTTTGATCAGTGGAATCGCATTGGGAGGCATATGTTCTGGGAACTTGGGGTCTTCGCTCAAAATCTTGGTCCGAGTCACGTTGTCATCATCATCGTCGAATGGAAGTTCGCCGCATAACAGTGCGTAGAGAATGATACCTAAACTCCAAACATCAACCTTTTCACCGGCATACTTTTCACCCTTCAGCATTTCTGGCGCCGAATAGCAGATGGTGCCGCAGAAAGTCTGCAGATGGTTTGTTCGGCCCTCATATTCTCTCGTAAAGCCAAAGTCGACAAGTTTGACATTTTCGTGTTTGTCGAAAAGAATGTTTTCCAATTTCAGATCGCGATGGACGCATGATTGGTTGTGGACGTAGCTGACAGCGCCGACAAGTTGAGTGAAGATCTTTTGGACTTTCTCGACGGGAAGGGGACCATGCTCGAGGAGATGGTTGTAGAGTTCGTCGCCTGGGAGTGTTAGTTTGGGATATAGCAGAATGCATTCGGGAATGGCTACCAGAACAATACTCGAGCACCATCCAGACCATGTTCTCTGTCACAATGACCTCGTATAACCTCGCGATGTGTGGATGAATGAACTGTCGGTGGTGGTGAATCTCGCGCGCAAGGTTGGAATCACCCTTGTTGGCTGACTTGAGCACTACCTGCTTGAACTTAGCGACCGGCACAATGTTGCGATTGTAATTGGACTGATGCGAACCTTGGAGCCATTGGTGAGTTTGTGAGAGGCAAGATAGACCTTGCCGAAGGACCCCTTTCCGATCAAACGTCCAAGAGCGTAGTTACCGACGGATTTCAATTCGTGGCTCGCAAATTCGCTGGGGATTATGTTAGCCGAGTCGTTTGTTACCAGGGGCGCGGGTCGTACTCGAGAAGCTCCTGATATGAGCGGGCAAGCTGTTGTTTGTCAGAACCATGTCTCTTCAACCGTTTTAAAGCTGCATCAAATGCAGACGAGACAGCAACGCACCTTTGCCTTGCGCACAAGCTCAGCTTGTCCTTTTAAGGCCTGCATCCCTCCGCGCCGGATACCACCAAGCCGTGCCGCGAGGAGGGAGTCGGATTATTCGGTCGTGTTGTTGGTGACGAAAAGACAATCGAGTTGCGTTGGGCAACAAGAGGCGGTGGGAATGCGTTGGGTGACGGTGTCGTTCTACTTTTAGAAATGCGGCAACACATGCAGAATTGACCCAACAGTGTATTAAAGATATAGTAAGATTAGACTCGCGACAAAGTCTCAAGGTCGAAGTCTAACAGGTCGTCATCAAGTATATAGTATTATCGAGTCGGTCGCGTTCAATGCTGCTGTAATGGATGTTTCGTTTCGTTTCGTTGACTGCTGGGTCATTTGGTGGTCAGACTCGAGGCGGGTAATTGAGCGATGGTTCGCGAGGTAATGGACGACGATAAAGCAAGCGAGCTTAAAGGCGCAGGATAGGGAATGACACGAGAAATAAATATACGACGCAGAAGCAAACGCAAAGAAGGGTATTCGTGGAGGTGGACAAGACAAGGCGAGGCGGCAACACCTGTTGGTTGTATGGAGGAAGTGTCGGTTTGGGGTAATTATTTTGGAGCTGCAGCTGGACATTGGAGGTCCGACTTTGGCAAGTCTACAACAAGGGCAGGGGTACACCGAGCGTCGGCGATGGCTCACCAACAAGGAAGTACCCAGGTACATCAATCTATCGTCATCTCGTCCGATGAGATTCATCCTTTCTCATCTGGGACCATGATGTGTCGATGATAATATGTAGATTCCTAAAATTCAAAGGCCAGAAACAAGAACTTTTTGAACGCTGATGAAGAACTTTGCGAATATTGCCCAATGTCCATATACCAGCTGGTATTGTCATCCCTTCCTCGACGACAGCCCTGGTAGTATAGCGCGAAAAGATTGGACATGGGAAATAAGCACCAGGGGGGATTCATTCGTCTGACAATGGGATTTTGAGGCCCTTTAATCAAAACGTGCAGGCGCACTTCAGATAATTTCGCCAAGATACGGCAACCATATTCGAGTCTATTCGAGTCGTGATGAGTGTCGCCCCTACTCACTCGATCAATGTTCTTTCACTGAAGTGTATCGTGTTGGCAAAAAGAAATACAGAAAAAGAGCAACTTTGCACGACCAGGATTCGAACAGGAGAACTTGCCCATGAAACTGGGTGCAGCATGCACCTAAGAAGGGACTGGCTGCAGCCATCAAAGCTTAACACAAAGAGGAAGGAAGAATCCAATGTTCAGCACTTGAACTCTTCATGTCAGGCGTGAGATTTCTTACCAGTCTCCCAGAAGAAGAAAACATGAATGATCGACTCAATCAGTCAGGGTTTGCAAGAGCTTCTCATACACAACACCGTGACCTGTCAGTATCATCACGCTTTATCCACAGTGATCAACACATTGCTCGTGGGTAAGTATCCATTAGAATGACATGCCACAATCGACCCGGATATGGCAGGAATTAATCCATTTACTGAATTTGTACACTAATCCTCAATCAGTATAGCGTCATCGCTTCAACTTGACCTTCGTCTTTGGCTTCCGCTATCTAAAAAGGCAGGCCCATGAATGATTTGTGTACCCTTTCGAGGACATCGCCGAGACCAGTCCAGAGCAATCTGTCTGGCGTCGCGTTGTACCTGCAAACATCTGCAGTTTGAATGCGTCTCTGTACTCTCCGACATTGAACAACATATCTCACCCAACTGTCACATGCCTACTATCCATCTTCCAAGATGTAAGAGGAGATCGTCATCTCAAATGTCGCCGACGCATTCTCGTCACATTTGCAAGGCTTCAATGACGACAAAATCTGCTGACGGGTAATGGAGAGCCAGTTCACAAAAACTGGCTCTTTATCACTCATAAATGAACCAATCTATGGAACTTAAAACTCGGCTGGTATGCAAAAACTGGTCAAAACTTGCTTGCGATAGTGTCGCCGAGTCCAACTGCCAATAAACCCATGCCGGCTGTTCGGATAACTCTGTGTGCTTCTGACAAACCTGCTCCGTCAGAACGGGTTCCTGCGCCAGTAGCGCCGAGACCTTGCGATTAAGGTTCTTTGAACCTCTCAAGACAGCATGAATTGAGCCTAGTCTGTCCTCCCAGTCCAGACCGTGGAATGTGATTTTGACACAAAAGATAGGCCCCGAAGCCACGCGCGCCTGTACTACACCACAGACGGTATAGGTTAGTATCCCATGTGGTATTAACTTTCCCTAGATCCTGACTTATCAACACCAACGATGGGTCGATCCGAGAGCTTCTTGTTTGTATAAGCGAAATATTGGTTACCAGATGGCTCAGTACGACGAGCCGAGAACTGTATTTGAGACTCGATGTCCCAGATTGCTAAAATCATGTCTTCTTCGCCGTTTGAACTCAGTTTATAAACGGCTGAGCGGCCGGTAAAGAAGGCTTGGAAATCATCAAATCATCACAATCATCAACACTTGTTTGCCTTGACTACTATATCTCTCAATATGGCTTATCATACAAAGACGCTCCTCTGCTTCCTGGTACTAGTTGCCTGGACCGAAGCATTCTGGAGGATGTCATGCGGCATCATCCAAACTTCAAGAATTGACCCAATTATTGCGCCTGGAACGTTCTCAGCACACGTCCACAAGCTCTCTGGTGCTAGCACCATCAATGTCGACTCTACCTTCGAAAGTCTGCAGACTGCGAGATGTACTTCATGTGAGATACAGGATGATAAATCGGCTTACTGGACACCGCAGTTGTTCTACCAACATGCCAATGGCAGCTTTCAGATGGTTCCAAATGGTGGTACCGTTATCTACTATCTTGGTCGTGGTGAAAACAGATCCAAGATTGAGCCATTCCCCCCAGGCTTCAAGATGCTGACTGGAGACAACTTTGCTCGATCTTACGACTCCAAGACAATGACATACAGTAACTCCAAGAACAAAGGTCGACCAGTGGCAGACAGAGTTACCTTCGCATGCCTCGATAGCTCGGGACCTTTCAAAGAGCGCAACTACATGTGGCGAACGGACTGTAACAACGGCATGAGAGCTCAAATTCACTTCCAGTCGTGCTGGGATGGCCGAGACTACCAACGCGATCAGAGCCATGTTACCTACATGTCACAGATAGACAATGGCGTCTGTCCACCGAGCCACCCGCGCAAGCTCCCTCAACTTTTCTTCGAGGTCATCTATGGAGTCAACAACATCGACAAGAGCAAAGGTGGACGATTCGTTTTTGCCAATGGCGACACTACAGGTTACGGATTTCACGGCGACTTTTTGAATGGATGGAACCAGTCTGTGCTCAAGAGTGCTATTAAGAACTGCCTCAACAATGACAGTCTCAATGGTGTCATCGAGAAATGTCCCGTTCTCGCCGCTTCACAAACTCCCTACTTCAGCGACAATTGTCCCGAGATGCCGCCTCTTGTTAACGAACCTATTCGGGGAATGCTTAACGCCCTACCAGGCTGCAACAAGCCTTCCAGCGGCCCTGAAAGAGCGACACCACCAGTCTGCGACCAGAGTCCGACCATCAACGATCTGGGAGACGCTGGACTTGGAACGTTGTTTGACCCTGCTCCGGGCGACATGTTTGGTAACTGGTCCTATGTTGGCTGCGCCCCTGAAGGTACGAAGCGAACACTGAACAAATATTCCACCAACTCCCGCAATATGACTATTGAGTATTGTACATCAGCGTGTAAAGCCCAGGGTTATCCTCTTGCCGGTATGGAATGGGGCCGCGAGTGCTACTGTGCTAGCGCGCTCACTTCAGGTGCATCATACATGAAAGCCTCCACCTGCGCCTCTACAAGGAAGATGACATGCGCCGGAAACATGACCCAATATTGTGGAGGACCTGACCTTCTCACCGTATGGAATGATACCTCTTACACGCCACCAGTCGAGCTTGTTGTTGGACAAACCACGATTGCCAAAGGAGCCGCTACTTACCATGGCTGCTGGGCAGAAGGGAACGGTGGACGGGCGCTCTCATCGGATCGCACTGCCGACGCCGTAGGAATGACGAATGAGAAGTGTGTCGCATTCTGTCAAGAGGGTGGTTATAAATACGCCGGCACCGAATGGGCACAAGAATGTTACTGTGGCAATGAGTTCTCCAATGGTGGCTCCAACACCTCCGACATCTCCCAGTGCTCGATGCAGTGCAAGGGCGATGTTTTCAGCTACTGCGGCGCAGGCCAGAGGTTGAGTGTCTGGAAGCTCAAGCAATCCGATGAGCCCAAGGGACCAATTGTTGCACTAGATGGTGCTGCTCGCTATGTGGGATGCTATACAGACGGAGGGTCAGGTGGCCGCACGTTGCCAAGTGCCTCGTTCACAGGGTCTTCCGTTTCACTCGATACATGTTTCGCATTCTGTGAGAAGCTCAACTACCCACTCTTTGGCATGGAGTACGGACGGGAATGCTATTGCGGCTACACGCCAAAGACCCAGGCTACTGTTGCTCCCGATGGAGAGTGCAAAATGCCCTGCGCTGGCGATTCTACACAGAAATGCGGCGCCGGTAATCGCATATCCATTTGGAACAACACTCTCTACACTCCAACCGTCAGCACAGTGGCACTGAACAGTCTACCTAAGTATCTGGGCTGCTATACAGAAGGCACTGACGGCCAAGCTCTTGGTGATGCCAAGATGACCGACAAGAAGATGACCGTTGAGGCATGTGCAGAATTCTGCTCTGGCAAGGGCCTTCCCTACCTAGGAGTCCAGAACGGCCAGGACTGCTACTGTAGCAAGAAGGGACCGTCCAACGGTAGCGTCGAAGCGCCCAACTCACAATGTGGCATTTCTTGCAAGGGCAACAAGTCTCAGAAGTGTGGCGCAACCAAGAAGCTCAGCGTCTATAAGCTTGCAACGGTTTCCAAGACCGGCTCTGCCAAATCAACGACCAGCCCTGTGGAGGCAAAGGTCCAAGCCAAGAAGCCTACACCAAGTCCCACCAAGACGACATTAGCCAAGGTGACCACGACTTCGAAGAAGTCCAAGTCAACTTCCAAGGTCAAAACTACGAGCTCTACCCTTAAAAGAGTTACATCCACCAAGAAGGGTAATCAGAAGCCGACGTCGACTAGTTCGACCGCCAAACCGAGAAAGACGTAGGTGGTTGGAGGAGTAAAACGGTGACAGATTGAGAGATAGTATACGTGTTATGAATTGTATGTCTTATTTATTTCCTAATTTCTGAACGTCGAATCTTGCATCCATGAGCGTGGCGACCGTAGTACAGAATCGTAGTGATTGTTATAACAATGTCAGGTTGAAAGATGTGATCCAGAAACCCTTACTGCCAACAACTTTGGACATCTTGTATATGCTTATCCTTAATTCTGCTGCCTGGTTCCATATACGCTCCTTAGTTTCGTTAAAGATTCAGCCTGACTTAATTAATTTGGACGTGTGAACCTGACAGACACAGCAATTCGATACGTACTATTCTTTGACTTGAATGCCAACACCGTGGAGGGTTTGGGCTGATAATCTGTTGAAGTCACTTTCGTGTTATTAGTTATCAGTCTTACGTATATATCATGGGATGTTTGTAAAGAACTTCACTTGTAACGGTACTATCGGCTCGGTGCAAAGCAATCTCTCAGCCTTCCTACACTCGATGCGGTATAGGGAGGACCCGGCGCGCTAGGACTCAAGCATAACGGGGCACACACCTTGAAGCTTCTTCAAGACTACTGTACCAACCTTGGAGCTTTGCGTGCATAAAAAAAAAAGCCTTCGGTCTTGTTGGAGAAGCTTTTAGCCGTACAAAGTTCCTTGATGAGACTCTATCACAGTCGGTGGGCAGTTGAAGATTGTCTCCGCCTCGGAAAGCATTGTTATCATGTATTATTATGACAAACTGATGCTTGAGGCAATACAGTTGGTGCAGAGGTTTGGGTGGACAGTCCTAATGGGTGATAAAGGTATGCCATGAATTCAGCAAATTATGTCAAGGGATATCGGGAACTGGTAGCTACATATCCGATGTCATATCGAACGATGATTAATATACGTTTAATGTTGGGAATAAGCCGGCATCGCTGCGCTTTTCGACGAACTATGGGGAGTAGCTGCGTAGCAGAAGGTTTCTCCTCGAAGGCTCCGTGGTTTAGTTGTTAAAAGCAAAGAGGATTAAGATCCTGGGGACTTGGGGTTTGCGGTCTGTATTTCAATTGTAGTACTTAGCCTTTATTTGTATAGCTTAATGCACTTATACAATCTAGTACTGACAACCTCCACAACACATATAGTACCTATAACCTGACATCCTATGGATGGCGGGTACGGCAGCTCTTGCAGCGGAGCATAAGCCCAGTGAGACCTTCCTCCTCAAAGAAACAGTTGAACTTCTCATCACAGTGTCGGCATTTGTCTGTTCCCTTTAACTTGGCAAAACACGCGTTGAAAGCTGCAGTGTTTGCTGCAGTACGTTCCTTTGCCGTCTTGTAGGATATCTGGACATCTTCAAGTTCCTTCTTTAGTATAGCCATTCGCAGACCGCAGGCAACAATGATCTTCGAATAAAGCGCAGGGTCGAGCTTGAAAGGCGTGTTGTCTTGGCTGAATAGGTCCGAGATGTCGTATGACTCCGCTGCGACTTCGGCGATGATAGCATACAAGTTTGCATGAGCGCCAGATGAAACTTCCTGCAAGAGACGAGGGAGGATAGCGTTGTTGCCGAGCAAAATGTTTCTGATCTTGGACTCGGCGAGATCTCGGAGTCCTGGGATATTGTAATAGTCGGCGATAGCGTTGACTTCGAGGTGGAAAAGAAGGACTTGGATCGCGTCTGCTTTCTTCTTCTCTGCGGCGTCTGTTTTGGCCTTGGAGCCGGCCTGGTCATTGCTCTCACTGGTGGTGTTACCCCATCCGTTATCATTGGCGTCGGTGATGACAGTATCCTCAGCATGGGTGTTTTCAGTAGGAAGCTTCACATCGTAGTCCCTCGTGTAGAAAAAGGAGACCAAACGCTTCACAGTAGAGATGTCGAACCCTTGGACGGTTACGACTTTGGTGGTCGCTTCCTGAATACCGACTCTTAGCGACGAATCGTAAGCGGTGATGTAGTTGTTGACGTACCTTGAACTCTCCGCAGAGTGCAGCATTCAAAACAAGTGACTGTGGACAGACAACAGCCTGATGCAGCCGAAATTCCTGGCCTTCGCAGACGAGAGTGAAGTCACTGAACTGACCGGAGGCCAGTATAGATGACAGGAAGTCGTAGGGTGGTGCCATGCTGATGAAGACTTGGGAAGGAGAGGAAAGATTGGAAAATGCAAGGTTGAGCAGCGTGTGAGATGCTAAAGAGAACGAGATGGTAGGTCCAGAGAAGTAGGTAGGCAGGTGGGTGACAGAAGAACTGTCATCTAAGGCTTAGGCTACATAATAAAGTAGCCTAATTGCTAGTCTAAATCAGCATAAATCGACCAACTTATTTCGTCTTTTAGGCTTTTGGGGTCAATTCTTCTGATACCTTGAGGGTAGGTACTAGTTAAAGGGAAAGGGATCAACTTTGGCACTTATCTGGCACTGCCAGGTAGGAGCAGTGAATCGGAAACGGTAGGCTGTTAATACTCAGTAGGCGGGCAGCATGGCAGTGACTTGCACTAGCTCTGCATAGGTACGTAACAATTAGATTTCTCAAGTTTTGCTACCAAACATCTAGAATAGTACAAATCACTACTAGCAGCTTCGGTGAATAGGTCTTCACTTTTGCAAGCATCGTCATATGGAACTGTGGAGTTTGGATTGGATTAATCAATGTTTGCATGCTATCATGAGAGATTGCTGACTACTTGTAACTGTATGTTAGGCAATAAGAAGATCAATACAAAATCGATACTAGCAATGAACGGTTGGATGACGGCCATGACACTGGCTAGTTGCTGTAAGGTCTAACAGTGTCCGTGCTACACTCGGTTGACCCTCCTCGCAAACCTCTACTTCCTTATCGCTTACCCGGCGCTCTCGGGAAAGCCGGATATTTCTTATTGAAGCCAATCTTGGGCGAGGATTTCGCTTGACGTGGCTCTCAGAGAAGGTTCAAGCTTTAACATGGCCGCAATTGCTTCGGCTAGCCTCGCAATTTCCTCCGTCGTGAACTCTGCCTGTTTATCATTGTCAAAGTAGGTTTCTTGTAGCCATTTTTGAAGCGTGAGGCCCTCATCCTTTTGAAGCGCGTCGTGTTGCATCATATGCCATTTGGTCTGCCACCTCGACGGTAATTCATCAGAGGCAAGCTCAATCATCTGCTCAACGAGAACAGAGGGAGTTAACATGACGACATCGAACGGAGGTTGCCCGGTTATGAGTTCGAAGATCTACGCCCGTTAGGTTAACTATTCGGTTTGAGGATTCAATGGATGTTTACCAGACAGCCAGCACTCCATACATCCACTCGACGATCCAGCCGGTCCTCAAACACAATCTCTGGCGCTTGTACAGGCAATGGGGTATTTAGTGTGCTTGGCGCATTGTTGCTAAAGAAGGCTTCTCCGAAGTCAATGATCTTAACTGATGGATTAGACAGCATGATATCTCTTTTGCGGAAGAAGGCAGGTCGAACAATCTGAGTTGGTACATTGGGCGACAAAGGCCCACCATCTGATCTGGTTACTAAACCTGTCTTGGGTTCCCCTAGCCTCGAAATGAAGTCTTGTTCGTTTAGAGAGTCAAGATCAGACACAACTAAAGCAAGGTTTCGAGTGTGCAAATCTGCAAGTAGGGTCAGTAATATGGAAGCGTCTGAGGCGTACAAGCCTTACCACCATGTCCAATATCGTTAATTGCGAGGAAATTGAGTCCTTGCAGCGCCTGTTTCGCGAATACTTTGGCAAACTTGGATGGAAGTCTGTTGTCTTTGCAGTGTAATTCAACAAAATCCGCAATATTGGGTCCTACAAGTTCCAGAACTAGACAATCGTGGGAACCATTGGGTCCGACATGGGTGAAATGGTCCAACAGTTGGTTTACATGAGACGACCTGGGATGATGTTTAGGTAGAGCAGACAGTGCCTCTAAGATCTTGAGCTCGCCGCTCTCTCCCAGCTCAGGTACCGTGATCTTTACTGCAACATAGCAGTCGCTCCTTGCAGAGAATTAGAAAACAGTGTTCCCTTTTCTGTTACAGGTAAACTAGACATACTTCTGGTCCCTTGCGGCCCAAGTGGTAGAATAGCTACCCTACCCTAGCTTATGCAGGATTTTATACCTTCCATTCTTCAGGGTATCGCCCAATTCAAGAGGATGATAGCCGCCTGGTCGATACCGGTATAGCGGTTCGGCATTAGCATTACAATTGTATGGTTGTGCTGGCCTCTGTGAATGATAATGACGAGTTGAACTGAGTCGCTGCATGGAGAAAGAAACAAGTGAGTAGATGCTAGTTGAAATGAGAGACCTTCTCGGAGAAATTGGTTGTGCCATGGTTGCCGCAAGTGGTGACGGTAGAGACCTAGCGCTTGCGTGTTCGTGCCTCGGGCCTGTCGGTTAGGCGCGTGGGCGCCTTCTATTCACTAAAGGGCCCGCCCCCACCTGCATCCCCCCCACAGATAAGCATTTGACTTAATCGCAAATCCATTTATGTCAGTTGCTACCAACCTCCCCTGAAACAAATGCCTGCTCCATTTGTCCAAGACGAAATATCTCGTCCGATGTACACTGATATTCAGCATACCGACGAAGACTCTCAGGAACAATTCCCACGTCACTCAGGCTTCGATGCCATTCCCTCTCAACGTAAGGATACACTGAACTCTGACCCAGCCTGTCCTTGACCCCCTGAAAAGATGCCTCCAACCTCTCGACACATGCTCCAACATCCTGTATTGCCGAGCCTATAACCCGAATAGACGATCTCACTTCGTGGAGAGATGATTCCATGTCCTCCTTCTAGTCGGCTAGATCGTTTTCCTCCTTCATTGCACCAATCTTCTCGTCATATATATCCGCAAAGGTCATGAGACCTTCTCTCACTGTGTTGATCACATCTCGGCGTTCCGCCTCGGGAAGGCCTTTCCGCAGTGGCTTCAAAAGAGCCACATAGACCCTCAAAACATCAGACCCAGCACCCGTCCATTCCATGTCTCTGAGTCTGTTTGGAGTTTCAACCATATAATGGCACTCTTCGACAGTATGGTTCAGAAGGCGATTGACCAGTGGGCACCATTTTGGTTGGTACAGGGCACACCACCTAGAGATCTGGACTTTTAGGTCTTTGGGTAAGACGGAAAGGATGTGGTCGTCCTTGACAAGCTTGGCGATTTGGGGTCTGAGGGTTTCCTGGTAGACTTCAGGATGCTGGCAGATTTCGGGATCGTAGAGTTGATGAACGAGATTTCCCATCTCTTTTAGGACTTGTTTCTGGGTGATTGTTTCTGCCTCAATTGTGGGAGGGGGATCGAAGCTGTCGACGGAAGAGACGGATCTTGTGTCGGAATGATGTTCATCTTCCATGGGCGAAGACATGACGAGGTGCGCGATACGACTTTCACTAGATTAGCTTGAGTTTGTTTGTTTTGAGGCAAGCTTACCGTTGGCTGTTCACGGGTGTTTTGAAAAAGAGAGAATTCATGTTTGGGACAAGGAGCTGCAAGTAATGAATAAAGGCAGGGTGGGGTCTCTGGTCTGTGAATCACGAACAATCATAATTGGACACTCGTTGCCAGTGCCTGTCACTTGAGTCGGAAATTTGATTTCTTAATGAAGTCACTCTCCTCCACTGAGTGCGTCTTTGTGAATCTGTTATTTTTGAAACCCAGAATCGAAACCCCTGTACGGTTTGTACCACATCCAAAGCACCACCGCGATTCATGCTTCTAGCCATCCCCCTCATCTAATTAGGTAGTAACTTAACGCGTGAACTGAGATACTATTGCAGCAAATGCTACTTGGAAGCATATTCTCCATTAATCAGAAACGGCCTGCGTATGCCACTAAAGTCAAGTTGAGTCTAAGGTACCATGAGACAACCAAATTCTTTCCATCCCTTGAGCTTTGTGCGTCCACTCGATTTAAAGTTACCCCATGCGTTCCGCTAGAAAGTCCTTCTCAGTCTCTTCCAGGTAGAAGATTTGTTCGTCGGTGCAGTCCTGATAGACCAATCCTCGCAGGCTACCTGAAATGAATCCATGCTCCCGGAGACTGCCCTTCCACAAGAGCTTGTAGCGTTCAAAGAACTCCTGGCGTGCTTGTACTTCATGGCGATCAGGCGCTGGTGCGGGAGCCAGGAGTTCGGCTTGCGTTGTGTCAGAGCGTGCGATTAGCTCTTCGTTGTGGTTGGTGAGGCCTGGCGTCTTGATTCGCATGTCTGAGTGTAGAGACTGGTCGTCCATCAGACGAATAGCTTCACGTATGTCGGCTTCGTAGATATTCACCGCGGGCGACTTGGTAGTGACGACCGTAAATCTTCTGTCTATAGAACTTCTTTAGCTTCTTTGCTCATCAATAGTAGATGTTTCTCTCTTACCAAGTATCTGTTCACTTCTAATCTCTGGTTTTCTCATCCCCTCATCGATCTCAATGATAAATGGTCCTCGCAACGCGGGAACCAACCTGGAGACCGCTACAGCAACAGATAACCATTGGATGGCGTTCCGTGTGCCAAACATCTCGATGAAGTGCTTGACCTCGCGACTTTCTGGGTCTAATGATTGGAGCCTCCGGAACAATAAAGCGGCAATGATGAAACCCAAGTCGTCTGACGACAGCGAATGTGTCTGTTTGCTTTTTTCAAGATACCAACGGCTTCCCCAACGTGCCCGCGAACAGTTGACCATCTATCATGTTGTTCTAATGCCGTCATCTTCAGCATCTTGCGTAACATGATTGCCTCGCCCATCCTTTCCCAAACTTCAGGAGCCTGTCTCTGCGTGAAACCGACTTGCTGAAAGATTTCAGTAACGATTTGCTCGCGTAGCGCAAGAGCTGTTCCTGTCTCAAGTTTCTTGGTAGGGATTTTGGTGCAGGCCTGGACAGGGAAATCAATTTGCCGAATGCCTAGGCCAGCGTTGATCTGACGCACAATCTCATCCCCATTTTCTGCTTCTTGTTTGACCATGTTGAGTTGCAGAGGACCATCGGGGACGATAACAGGGCGCCCTTCGATTTAGGCGCGTTTGGCAGGCTTCCGAGTGAGATGAAAGAAAGAAGAAAAAGAGAATAACGGCAGGCAGAGAGCTGGGAGAGGAAATGGCAGATGTGGAGAATTAAGCACTTTTCTGCTGCTAGTTGCTGCCAGTGACAGCTGCCTGATTTCCTTCGTTTGCTAACTTCATGGATTTTAGTGCTGCTGTAAATCGTTATCACAACAATTGCCCTCAGCCTCAGCCTGGCTACACCACTCTTTTTTAAATGGAGAAGGCCATCCCTTACGGATCTCTGCTCTAAGACCTTCAAAGTCCCAAGGAAAGCCGCTCCTTCAGGCGATATCAAAACGCCGTCAACACGCCGCCCGACAATCTGGTCGCCATGATCAGCCATTCGGCTATATAGTCTTCTAAGCATTTTCCCCACGTTGAGCCATGCTCTGAGGATGATACTTTATCGTACCACAAAACACCGTTGTTGATGGGTTTTGTATCACCAAAAAGAAGAAGCCTACAAAGGATAAGGGATATGTTCAACTATCAGCCAGAGGAGCCAATAACCTTGAGTATGTTTCATTGTGGTCGAAGGGGAAAAGGTTGTCCGCGGGGAGACACACGCCAGTCACCTCTGTGATAGGCCTGCCTGTCTTATTAAAGAGCGTGTTATAGAGGAATTACCCCAGGCAAACAATAGTCGAAAGAACTGCGATCAGATCCCTCGGTGCATTACATATGTGCCAGGCTTTATCGTGGCGTTTACGCTGGGCCACCGAAGTACCGCACTAACAACAGAGACAGTACTTGCTCCGTGGATTTCAAAAAGAGGTAGATATAATATGTATCTTTCATTATTATGTATCATCTATAGACTATATAAAACGCTCATGATATCTTCCTCTTCATTAACCCATTATTAATTCCATTTCATTAATCATATCTAAGCAGTCTTGATGCTTCCATGGTTGCCAGAGTGGTCACCATAGATATACTCGCGAACAGACTTGGTAGTGGGCGCATCACCACCAGCATAATCCACAATGGAAATGCTCTTGTAGTAGGCCTTAAAGGGGGCCTTGCTGAAATCAGTCATACCTCCAGCCCACTGGACAGTGCCTTCAGCAGCATCAGGACGTCCTGCACACCATGTGCCGAGCTTGATCTGCATGGGAGTCTGGGGGTAGCCGGATCCGCCCTTGGCGTCTTCGTAAGTCAAAGTGCGCACGACTTGGTCGTCAATGATCCAGTTGATGGCTGCGGGTGTCCATTCGATGGAATAGAGGTGGAATTGGCCGATGGGGTTGGCGACAGGGTGGAAGGCTCCGCGGTCGTAAGTTGAGACGTCGCCTTTGCTGAAGTAGTTGGATTGGACTTGAGCGTTGTCACCTCCGAGCCATTCCCAGTCAATCTAAACATGTTAATTACGCTCGACAATAATCACTTAGAATGCAACATACCTCATCGAGACAGTCAGACTGTAGAACAGCACTGGTAACTATACCAACACCAGAAGAGGCCTGCACTTCGATGTCGACACGGCCAAAGAGAATATACTTCCCCGTGGCAACGGTAGGAGCTTGGTTAGGTCCGGCGATGGTAAAGACAGCACCGTTGCCGTTGTGTGAGATTGATGTACCGGCGTCCTCTTCAAAAGCTGGACAAGCACCCTTTGTGAAGTCGCAGTGGACGGTCTCCTTTCCAAAGGCAGGATCAGCAGGGCAAACTGATGAATATTAGTGTTTGATTTGTTTGAAAGTGTTGTGGGACGTACCCTTTTCTAGAGGATTGCAGCTGGTGAAGGTCTGAGCTGAGACTAGAGGTGCCGCAAAGGCAAGGGCAGCGAGGGCTTTGGAGAACATTGTACAGAGTATGTATGTAAGATGTTGTGTAACAGAGGACAGCACGATATGGCTTGAGCAACTGTGATATATAGAGCAGATATGTAGAGAAAAAGTATAGATATCGAATAACCAATACAGAAAAAAAGAGGTTCTCACGCAGTTTTAATAGTCAGACTTGAGGAGGAGGCTGGTCCTCTTTGTCTACTGCAGGTCGTCTACCAACCTTCCCCCCTGTCACAGCCTCGGTCCCTTATCGATGGTCTGATTGATAGTCTCTCGTATTCTGGGTCGACTAAGCAACCCCCCCTGTCCGCAAGCCACCCTGCACTTTAGCCTAGCCGCTAGCCACCCCATATTTGAGACTCTAACCAGTACAGATCTTCACAAGGTACGCTGGATCATTAACGGGTTACGGCACAGAACACACTTCCAACGGAAAAGGCTTGTTGGATTAAAGTTTAAAAAGGTCAGTTGTGTATTCTGGTGGTTGGATGACTCTCCCGTCACCACAATACGAACTTCCCGTCCCGAGGGTCTAGGTCTAGATCTTACAGTAGCGGGGAGGGTTCGCTGCAGTAGTACAAGCAGCTACAGTAGCTTGGGTCTCAATATGCGTAAAGGGACTTGTCAGCGGAGAAAAGATTCCCTGCTGACGTCAGGATAAATCACGGGATGAGATTGCAGGGCTGTCTTTAGTTGATCTCGTCCCCTGTAAATCTTTCGTCTAGCACTTTGGCTACAGCACCCTGATCACCCAGTGCTCGTGTAGCGGGAACAGGAGATCGGAAACGGCAAGAGCTGGCCACGCTAAAACAAACATACGAGAACAGAAAAAAAAGAGAGGCTGTACCCATCTTCTTTCTGCTTCTTTCTCTCCGCTTTAGCCGTTTTTTTCTTTTTCTTTTCTGACAGCTGCATCCATTCTAGACTCGAGTGGATGCATCTCTTCTTCTGCTGCACCTCCTCTTGTGCATCTGTCTCTTCAATTACTTCCCCACATGCAAATGCCTATCATCTGTTTCACGCAATTGAAGATCTCGGTGATCTTTATTTCTCTCTTGAAGCGATGAACTGACTTGATGTCATTCAATTGATCGATCGATAAATGTCTCATCTCATCACTCAATTGATCAACTCATCACTTAATTCATCGTGAGACTACCTTGTCGCTTGTCTACTCGCCAAGGATACCAATAGCTCAGCTGATGTGATAGTTTGTACCCCGCTCGCAACATGCATCTTCAAGTCCCTTGATGCATACATCATAGACCCAACATGTTTGCTTGCAGTAGTCATCGACATTTGTAGATTGACCGCTTCCCCCGCTCTGGTAGAAGGATTGCTGATCTAAGCTGCTCAATACAATACCTTCCTCTTGAGGATATCACCACATGTAATCGCTGCAATGAAGATGCATGTAACCTCTGCGGTGGTCGTATCTCTATGCGAACAAATAATGTGCACTGCTCAATCAATGCGATGAGACATTGAACCGCACAAGTTCCTTAGTCAGAACGCACAAGGCTCAAAGGGAGGGGGAAATCGCAAGCTAAACCTCAGCCTCACGATCTAACAAGCCGTCGAGCAGGGGTACTCACATCGCTGGAAAAGGTACTTACAGACAAACAGACCCCCACCAAATTTGGCTGCGACAACGGGCACGACAATGTATGCCTTTAGCTGAGCTTATGTACCTCCGGCACCTTTCTGCCATTCTTCAATGGAGTTTTCAACCAGAGTCGTCCAGGGTCTGGTCTGGTCTGGTCTGGTTTGTCTCTTCCGCATACCCGGTCCCCCTCCCACATCCCATGACGCTCACGAGAAAAATCACACGTTACTCCAAGACAGACTCACTTCCACTGTTTCTATCGTGACTTTTCCATCGCCATCCCCGAGATAAAGGCAGGGCGCAGTCATTCTCACCTAGGTCTAAAAATACCCACGCACTTAACTCAACTAACGGAAACGGCCGAACTTGAGCGCCACGGTGGTTGACAAGACAATGAATGAGCCTCTTCCAAAAGGTTATTCTGACCGCTTGCATACCAATTGAACAGGAGGCAGGCTGAAATATCATTAGACCTGCATCAACGATAGGTAGGTACTGAAGTTTGTACAATGGAGCATTGCGTCTTGGCGCCGTGTGTATGTGTGGTTGGTTCCTGTCAAAAGATTGGCGAGGCGCTTTTTGGCGTTATTCCCAGCCACGCTCCAGGAACAAATCATCGAACAGAGCTCCAACATGGAGAATGTCAGCCAGCCACTTACAGCCTCGGAGCTGCAAGGGATAATTTTTCAAACGCCAATTTTGCAAATGATCGTAATAAACCAAGTTCAAGATGTATTCAAAATGATACTTGATTTACAAGGATTTCTTTCCAAGCAATCGTCGTATGGGAGTCAGCTCGGGCCATTCGTGCCTTTCTGAATCTTCTCTAAATCTTCTTCTGATACTAAGAGGGTCAAAAAGTCCCCTCTTGACTTTGTGAACAGTGAATGTGGCAGAGCAGAAATACTAGATCTGGAACTCGAAAATCCAAGCGCTCCTTCACACTCAACGAGTAGCCATCTGCCTTGATGATTGTCGGATGTATCTGTGATTGGATCCTTATCTTGGAAGACCAACAACAAGGCAGAGCTGACAAAAAGGTTGGTTGTTATTGCTGTTCAGACTACTGCTTGACAATTAGGAGAGGTGCTTCTCGAAGAAGAGAAAAACGAGTCTTGAACAAGAAGTGCAGTGGTTTGTTGTGAGATATCAACGTTTCATTCGTTGATTGTTAGTCACTCATCCATCCAACCCTGGACTTCGACACATAACTACCCCTTGCTGCCCAGCACTTGCTCGTCTTGAACGGTCTTCCCTTTGTGTAGAAACGTAGGATTCGTCACTATATGTAAGGGAGGCAAAAAGGAACTCCGGTACAGGGAATCGAACCCTGGGCTCCGCGGTACTGATCTCTCAAGTTATGAGAGCGCGAAATGTTAGCCACTACACCATACCGGACGCTAATTGGTTGATATTGACAACTCAATATTGGATCTATGACCCTCATATGATTGCTGAAGAGACACTGTGGACGTTGCAGATCTTGATAGCAGAGGAGGTTAACTCATTCACAGGCATAACGGTCTCGGGCTTCTAAGTTCTAAGTAGGTTTGAAATACTCTGAACGGTCAGCCTCACTGGCGTAGGAGAGTATTGTATAGTTTGCAATGCCCTATTAAAGATGACAATCTCGATTGATGGGGCACAATTCAACTGGCTGTACCGTTGTTGATCTGCAAATAGCTTGTTTATTGCAGCTTCACTTTAATTCGTTCAAGATGTGGCGCGCCAACTCTATTTCGGAAATAACCACAATCATAGATCGTCATTAATTATCAAACACCTACATCACGTTCTAGAACAAATCTGTCATAAAGCGGAGAGAAAGCTCCTTGAGGGTAATACAAGTAGCGTGCACCTCAATATGACGATGGGATGTAGTACGCGGCGTCCCTGACATCATCCACTAAAGTCTTGGCTATCTGGGGTCAATTCCCCAACAATGCTTGTTTTATCATTTTCGTATTTTATCATGCTTAGTTTATTGACGAGATGGAAAATACTGGTGAAAAGAGGCAGATTGCCGTCAATTTAGAGCATAGTACTGGCGGGACGACACTTCATACCCAGGTTCACCCATCTCTACCGACAGACAGAGATAAAACCCTGTCATTTGAAGTGACGGATACCGGGTGGGATAGGGATCAGATTCACCCAAAAGACTACGCCGTCGATGGTGTGAGAAATGAAGACGCATGGCTTCTCATACGAAGATTCAACAAGGTCAGGATTGCCCCAACTCTCACCAACTCTCAATGAGAAGCTAACTGGTGACAGCGAGTATTTCACCTCAAACATGTCCCGAATCATCCTGAAGATGAGTTGGATCTTAATGTGGCTGAAGACGAGCAATTCTCACCGAATAAGTTGAGAGCGCAGCTTGAGAGACTTTACATGGGAGCAGTGAGTTTTGAAAGACTTTGAGATGCAGGTTTCTGGTTCTAATGATTTTAGATACTTGGGTTCATCATGTTCAGACAACATCTCTCGCGCCTTCAATCATGGCGTGAACCAAGACGAACAGGTGCATTCTGCATAGTAAGTCACCAACTCCTCTGAGAATCTAACTAACAAGCAAGACGTATTTCACAGCTTGGTACTTGAACTTCCTCATGCCAACATTCCTCATAACCCTCCTATCAATCCTCCTCTCCCCAAAAATCAGAGATACTTTATTCCCACCTTGTCCACCCTCCCTAGTCCACTACCAAGGCGGCCACTTGATCAAACCCGCAGCAGGAATTCTAGGAACAACAGACTCAGCTACAGGCGCACCGGAAAATCTCAAAGGAGAAACCCTTGAGCGAGAGGCAAGTAACTTTGCAACAGGCCTCGTAGCTCTGTCCATCAATATCTTCGTCGATAAAGACCCTCAGCACGATGAATCGCAGCGGGGAGGTGGGAAGACTGCAAATTTACCAGATCCGAGAATCATGGCTACAAGAATCGCTACTGCGAAGGACAAGGCTGCTGGTATCGATAAGCCCTCGTGGGATAAGACGAAGTCGCCTATGCAGGAACTTATGTGGAGTCAGATGAGACCGCTCATGCATTGGATATGTCGGTTTTGCAATATCTGGGAACGAAGTGCAAAGTAAGTACCTCTTGTTTGATTAAGATGAAGCTGACGTTGTAGTTTGATCGATCCTACTGCTCCATTTTCTAGACGAGTTTCTCAGTATCGGATTATCAGAACTATTCTTCCTGTTCTGATACTATCGATATTTGTATCACCTTATGTTTTTTACAGAGTTGGTACATTGTGCTTTGGAATTGCTTTCTTTGGAAGTATTTCTTTGAGAACATCATACAACTTATCTAAATCTCTGATGACAAAGTATAACACCCATATCCATGATTTCAACATCGCTGACGTTGTTAGAATCGCATTCAAAGGAATTCCAACAGATTCCCAACTCACAATAACACTCCTCCGCAAAGCCGAGCGAAACAAAACACCACTCATACCACCACCCGCTCTTAAAGGGCCCCCGCCTGAAGAACCGCACATTCTAGACGATACTGTAATCAGTTCATCAAACAACGACACCCCTCTAGGCGCAGCCCCCGCCGAAATCAACGCCGCGGTACAAAAGGACACAGGCGTCATCCAAAACACAGGAGGCGATGATCACGAATCCAGCAAGTCGGGAACCGGCGGTAAGAGACGTGGCAAACTACTAAGTGTGGTTAAACCAATCGCTCAAGCAGCTGCAAAGACTCTTATCAGTGTTGATAAAGTACGCGCGAAAACGGGGTCTGAATCAGCTAAGAATCGCGTCGGGGCTACTTCTCCGCGTGAGGAACCGCCTATTGCGGGGCCTGTGGAATTTACATGTCGATATCGTGGTGAAAGGGGATTCGTATACCTCACCACGGACTCTGTATCACCTGCTTTATGTTTTTGCAAAAAGACACCAGCATCCCCCGATGTACAACCAGACTGGATCATCCCTGTTTCTGAAATCATTACCCTGAATAAGTACTCTGGGTATGGGGCCAAGGCAAAGTTAGCTGCAGGATGGGCTTTAGAAGAAGATATTCATGATGGATTGGAGGTTGTCGACGGGATGGGGAGGGGGTGGCTTGTTACGGCTTTGAGTAGGAGGGATGAGCTTTTCAATAGGCTTTGTGCTGTTGGGGATCAGAAGTGGGAGATTTGGTGATGGAAGTGAGATACTCTTGAATGATTTTAGCTGTGTTGGATCTACAATACTTGCATTCTTTAACATACCGCCGTTCTCAATCGAGGATCAAATAGTGACCTTATTATCAACGTTAGGTCGGCATAAGTCAGTTCCGTGATGAGACCCTGGGACCAAAGTCCCGGTCTCGTTACTATCTCGCCTATTTGGTTTCTGCGCGAGATCATCACGTCAATAAAATTGAAACAATCTGAATATATTCACTAAAATACAATTACCCCAGCTTGACCAACTCCTTCTTTCCAATCTCCGCCATTTCCGCATTCGACAAGGTATCTTTGTTTAATCCATTTACTGCTTGGTTCAATAGCGCAGCAGTCATCTCAGCCCGTCCGATACTGGGGACGCTGACAATCATGTGGGAGAAGAATCGGAACGCTTGCTTTACAATGCCCATATCTGGATCCGTGATCATCCCAGATTTGGTGACGAGCACCTGCATTCTTCCGTCTGACAATTGCGCACGCTCAAGGATTTGCTTCTCCACTTGGCCCTGAAATATTGTTAGATCTGCTTGTTGGATGGGAGAGGTAACATACACGAAGTAAACAGTAGTCTCCCAGGATCCATGGTTTCTTTGCAGGATCGCGCTCAGCGTTGGAACCGCTCACGTATATAAACCTCAGAGGCTCAGGTTTCCCTTCGCGCGGTAGCTTGGCAAAGGTATCAGCCGCATAAAGTGCATACTCATAGCAAATCATGCGGACTTGATCCCAAGTATACTGCTTCAACTTGGCAGGAGTGACACCAATAAGCCTGCTCTTTGTCAGCTGTCATCAGACACATCGATCGGCAGGTTTACCAGATGCAGGCGTCTGCTCCAGAGATCTCATCCTTGACATATTGAGGATAGCTTTTAAAGTCGGAACAACTGACGGACGTAAATTTCTCCTCGATATCGGGGGTTCGTAGATCTTCAGCGAGCTCGTGGTCGCGACGGGAGAGGGTGACAACTTTCGTGATCAGAGGGTGGAGCAGAGCTTGGCGGACTACTTCTTGGCCGACGAAACCGGTTGATCCTGCAATAACGACCTTCATTGTTGATGGAGATATTAGATAATGATGAATTAGTGCTGGGAATAAGGTACTCAGTGATTCGGGAAAGATCAATTAAATGTGGAAATATTGAAATGATCTTTAGGACTGGGCCAACGACTTATCTATGCTGGGCATTCCCTCTGACGTCGATTCGGCACATGCAAAAAGCGCCTCGATTATGAAATCCCCTGCTCTGTTGCCATCAATTTGCAGGACTAGGCAAGATAAGATGTTGCATGAAGCCAAATTGCCGGAACCGGGTGTGTTTGGCTTCGAGTGGCCTGGAATGTTGGACCGGATTGGGTAGGGATTGAGAGATCCATAACTGCAGACATTCCAAGGTGCTTTGATCGTGTGCAGAGATCGACAGGGTCCAAAGATTGATGTTAATGGAAGCATCAAGTTGGACCTTTTGGACAATGGCTTGGTCATTTCCTTTTCATGTGCTATGGTGCGCGACGGCAGGCGCTGGCGACGAGCAACTGCAGCTGCAGTTGAGCTAAGGCAGGAACTCCGCCCGCTACCCTCTTCCTGCTTCAATTGACTTGCCTCAACACAATTTTCCACTCTCACTCTTCTTCTTTTTAGTAAAACATGTTGCTCTGTGCAATACACCTTTATCGATATTTACCGAAAATTCTACCCTTCTCCTGTCTGCTCATCACTCAAAGGGCGCTTAATTCGACGCACCAAGTAACCTATATCCGAGTCTATCGGACAGATATTGCAGAGCGAGCTAGTCACAGAATTGTTTACAGGCAACCAAGGTGTTTCTCTTTACGAAGGAATTCTTATGTTGGAAGAGAATTGGCGTTGCAACGTCACCGCCTCAAGGATAATATTTAGTTGTAACGAGCTCAAAGTATGGCAAGAAGCCATATATCAAAAATCTTCTAAAAGAAACCCAACGCTGAATCGTTCTCATCCGCCCATTCATACGTGGGCACCGATATCCCAGCATTGGTCATCGATTCGCACCAGGTGTTGTAACCACTAATAATCGACGCAGCTTCAGTCTCTGCCACATTCGGCATGAACGACGGGTTTTCGGAATATGTCTGTGTTCCATCTCCGTCGAGGTGTGGCCAGCACAGCTTCAGCGTGATGTCGCGACATTTGGAGCTGTTCGGGTTCAACTCAGTCATGCCTCCCATGACGGAAAGTGAAGCTTGGATTTGTGAGCGCCAGTCGGGTGCAAGAGCGTGATGAGGATTCTGGCGGAGGCAGTGGACGGGGATTAAGGTTGCGTGGAATAGGAAGTACCTGTCTGGTTAGTTTTTGATACATGCAGGGTCAGGGAACTTACAGGATGTAGAAGGAAGCCAATCTTGAATGCGAGCGGGAAGTCCAGTAGCCCTGAATATGCGTAACAGACTCTTTCGCAGCATCAAGACATCTAAAAACCGCCAGATTTTCACTACTCGTTAGATTCTGCTGCGTATTTTGTGCCGATGATCTCGCCCATCTGACCAAGAAAGGACGATACATGACAATCCTCAGATTTCTGTAGCGCCACTCCGAGATACCCATGCCAAGAGCATACTCAGAATCTGGCGGTGGAACAGTGCGGTAGTAGTATGGTACTTGAGCGAGCCAGGAACCGATGCAAACGTCATCTAGAGTGATGAGTTCTGTGGCTGACGGGAAGGGACTGGTTATGAGACGGTTGTAGACCGTCATTGTGCTGAGGTGGTAGGCTGATTGGACGCGGATGTAGGTGTACATTGTTATGCCTTCGACCTCTGGTGGGCAATGCGTTGAATCGTGTGTGAGATCCTAGGCGTGTTAGTGATGAGCTCCTTACTCCGTGGTTTACGAACCTTTTCATGAATATTTTGAGGGAAAGCTGTCTCGACACCAGCCTGAGGCCAATTCAATGGTCTTCCGTATGTAATAGTAGCTCCCACATCAAGCACACACAAACACCACCATATCCTGCGTCGAGTTTCACTCTGTAAAGGCGACAAACTATTGCCCTCTAAATCCTTATGGAGACCCAATCCGATAGCCAATCTTATCGCAAGACCACCATAGTTGAATCCCGTGTTCGGCTTGTTCCTCTTCTGCATATAATTCGACGACAAGCTGAAAGCTTGCACAATAGTAAGGTTTCCAACCTCGAGGTAGTTTGAAAATAAGCTCTTCTGCGCTGCTTGGAAGATCGGCAAATCTGTTGCGTCCGCCACGTTACTGCTCGCAAAGGATCCTAAGGCTGCCAAGATGTTTGCGAGTGTGTTCCAATGTCCTTTGTTAGCGCAGGGTAACGTGCCAGCGTATTGAGCTCGGAAGGTTGGTTCGTGAACAATAGGGAATGTTGGATGGTAGAAAACGAAGAATGCATCGATGAGATTTTCGACAGCGACCCTGGTCAGCATAGCTTGCGAGCGGAACCATTGCGAATGATCTGAATGCTGTTGGAATAGGGACTCGATCTCGTGGAGTGCGACATCAGCGTCCACTTCTTGACCATCTGGACGCGCAGATAGAATCTGCCGTAAAAGAGCTGATCCAGAAGCGGCCCCATAGTATCCTCTCTTCTGATCGCCAATAGTCAAAGAAGCCATGCCGTCCATGATAGCTTGCGATGGGTTTCCATCAACATGGTTTGTAATCGACCAACTAGCAGGATCGTACGTTCCCCATGATGTTTCCTGCTCGTTCCACTCGAAGTCATCAGCCGTAGCTGGAGCAATTTCAAAAGGAACATCCTGTGAGCCAGCCCAAAATCCAGCACTTGCCTCCAACTCGCCAATGGGTGCCAGAAGAAAAGGATCCGCAGTTAAGTTGGCTATGTTGGCTTGGCCTGCTAAGTAGAGACCGGGATCTGTTGTGGGAGTTGGTAGGTGCATGAGATTGTCGGCTCCTGGAGTCGTGGCAGGCAAGCTGACTAGTCCTGGCGTTTGAGCTAGTGTAGGCGCCGGCGTTGGCTCTGTCATCTGCGGTGTTGCTTCCGGTGCTTTGTTTTGAGTTATCAATCCTTCTTTCGGTCCCTCCAGCATTTCAGCAATCTGACTATCAGTATAGTGTCGTCGTAGAACAGTTTCAGCCTTTTCGAGGCGCTCCTCCAGGAGGGTCAGCTGTCTATTTCGTGTCAGTGGCCCGGCGCTAGAAGTAACACTATCATCATGTCTATACCTTCTCGTCAACCTCGTTCTGCTATGCTTGTCGTATAAACAGTGCCGTCTGTACTTTCGACAGATGGTGCAAACGGGCATGACACCATCGCATTTGACTTTACGCCGTCGACATTCGCGACATGTTGTGGGTTCTTCCGCCGCGGGTTCATTTCTTGGAGGTTGTGATGAAGTAGCTTTTGCTGTATTTGAGTCCATGCTGTGAAGTCTGAATCGGCAAAGTCGAGATGAGATGACTTTGGTAAAATTGAAGAAAGGTTCGAGTTAAAATAAATGAAATGACAGTCGCCCTGATCCCTGTTCATCCCCGCAATTGTTCTTGGCCCCCATATCCAGAACAGTTAGCGTCCTTTCGGCCCGACTTAAACACGAAGTGTCCCTGCATTCTTCCATTTTGGTTGATGGAAATAGGGTAGCAAGCAAGCCATGGTAAGCTGATGGTTACACGAGAAGGCCAGAACGAAACAGTTGGTTTGATCACATGTGTTCTAACAGGATTCGTTCTCTTTACGTCAGGACGATTTCTTTTACTCATCGATTTACATAAGCAATCTTAGGGTAATCAATTTCCACTTTAGATAGGACTCTTTCAAAAATGGCTGCGAAGTGTGAGAATGGATGAATGTCCCAAGAACCCCGTTGCATATCGGAAGCTGGCAGATCCAGCAGTGTTCTAGTTAATACTAGTACAATCTGTTGAAAATCTCAGGTACAGACAAAGACTCCTCTAAAATGAAAAACTCTGCCCAATCATCTTCTCACTCAATCTCCAAAGCAGTTCTGCCTCCGTGGAGCTGGTAGCCCAAGGCCTGACCGTGTCAGTAAAAGAATCCGCCAAACGACAATCATTCAAGTAAGCCCCATTGTGCTCTAAACTCAGATTAGTATATATGATTCAACCGCCAGATGGCTCAACTAACCTTTGAGATCAGGATCGAATGCAGCATAAACGTGAGTGGCGGCGCCAACCTCGGGTGTAACGGGAACAGTAGACCAGTCGACCCAACCCCATGGATCACCCATAGCTCGATCAGCCTCGACTAAACTGGTTAGCAAATATGAACATGGGAGTGAAATCACATACCAAGACTGTCCAGGTTTCCCAGATGGTTCGCTAACGAGGTATCCAGAACGGCACCAGGATGTAAACTGTAAGCCTGCAATCCTCGACTTCCGAGCTTCTCAGCTAACGAGATGGCGAACAGCATGTTGGCAGTCTTGGACTGGCCGTATGCACTCCATTTGTTGTACAGATCCCCATTCTACCACAGGTTAGTGCTAATAATTCATGAGTAGGATTAACGTACGCTGAAGTTTGGGTCGCCCCATCGAATCGGACCTAGTCGGTGACCATTGCTAGACACACTAACAACACGAGGTTCTTCCGAAGCCAGAATCTTATCCATGACGAGATTTGTGAATAGAAAATGACCCAAGTGATTAGAAGCGAATTGACTTTCAAAGCCATCCTCAGTGAGCTTGAAATCCGTCGCCATGATACCCGCGTTGTTGACCAACACATCGATCTTGGGGACATCAGACCAGCCCTTGACTTTTTCAGCCGCAGAACGAACGGAAGAGAGTGAGCTCAAGTCAAGAGTCAGGAGTTTAGTCTTGAGATTGGGATGTTTTGATGATAGGGTGCTTGCTGTTTGTTGAAGCTTCTCAACGCTGCGACCAGCGAGGATGCACAACGCAGGTTCAGAAACAGCAATAGCTTCGACGAATAGTGCTCCGAGGCCACCAGGACTTGCGCCTGTTGTGAGGATGGTTTTGCCTTTGATGATGGAGGCATACTCCTTTGCGAGTTGATGAACGGAGGTTTTGGAGGCGTGCTTGACCATGATGATGATTGATAATTCTCAGGAATACAGTTTAATGTGTTCTCTTGATTAACATGATTTCTCAAGAGGCAGCTGTGGTTTTTTATACTTCTTCTCGTTGGCAACTTTTGTGTAAGTGGCGTAGAGGATCTACATCCATCGTTTCCAAAATGGGTGATTGGCTGGCGTCAGATAAATCTGGCTGGCGTCAGCAAAGTACCATTTTACAGGAGCGCTGCAGATGCTGACGCTAGCGACTGTTCGACTTTCTTTTTGCATTTGTTATCAATACTGCAATATAGATTCTACATTTTACAGAATTCATTTTCAGTAATTTCACGGTGATAATCACCAGGGTATAAAAACAGAACTGCCATTACCATTCAGGCCCACTACCAAGTCTGCTATCCAACTCAGATATCAAATTCTGCTCCAACAGTAACCTGTTTTCCAGTGAGGCTTTCAAAACCGTCGATTAATTGATATATCCCTCAAGAAATACCTCACAGGATATCACTTGCGCCGACTCTTTGTCGGCCTCTTATAAGGATTTAGCTCCCAACAATCCTCCACCAAATGCCTCTCCCCTCCACAATGCTCACACGGGTACTCTCTTTTCCGCTTAATAATTCTCTCACCACGACGAGCTTCCATCGTAGCGCTATCGAGAGTAGCCGCCTCCTTCGTAACTACTCCGTTCTCCGGAAAATAGTTGCAATTCGAACGAAACGAAGTAACAAAAAATTCGAAGTCTGGTCCAAGACCATCGAGAAACTTGTTTATCCAAAAAGGCTCCGGGAGGGTACAGGACTTGTCTAGCAGATGCATATCAAGATCGATTTCGATTAGTCTGAACGTGAATGTCGAAATGTCGTTATTGCAATCCGCGAGAGAAAGGCTGTTAAAATCATGCATGAGTTTCATTAGGACCATCGTCTTGTCTGATGGACTAAAACAGCGATAGGAATATTTCTTTTCGAGGGTGTCCATGATTTCGCTGACGGTCTCTTTGCCTTGGACTGATCGTAATGCGGAGCCACTCAGACAACTGCGGATACGGTCGCAGGCTTTGATTTGCTGCCGTCTCCAGGATCTTTTAGTTAGATGTTCGTCATCATCCAAATATGGATTCTCTAGAGAACTATCCGTGTTGTCGGGTTCAGTCTTGTGCCTGTAGAAGAGAGAATACCAGCCAGCTATTGAACACTTGCGTTCGATGTCATCGCGCCAAACTCTCCAGTCCTCTGGCGATTCGAGGATGGACATGTTCTCCCAGCGCGCTGACATTGTGTAGGGTGATTGGTAGATGCTGACGGGAAAGAGAAGGCGTTATTAATTTAGAAGAATTGTTGTCGTTCAGAAGAAAGCAGGCACGCGTCGCGTGGCGGATAATTAATACTCCCGAACCTTCTTGCCTGTGTTAGTCCAGATCTACTATGGGGGTGAGACTGAACGTGCTCTGTAAGGGTGTCAGAAGAATTGGCCGCCAATAAGAGCATAGGAGATAAATAATTTAGTCACATCATGTCAGCCTTTAGGCGACTTTATTTTAACGCCCTGAGCCCCAGAGGATAATTTGCCTGTTTACCCAGCGTTCACACCGGACATGTAGCTCCTCCAATTCTGCCACAGCTGCAACACGGTGTCACCTGACAATCAACGCCAAGTTGATGATGCTGATCTCAGATTGATTGACCGTGTTATGTAAATTTCGGTTAACTGTTCATAGACCGGCAGGTAGGCGACCCACTTCTCGGAATGCGGGGAGGCCGTCGGCTTTCTCATCTGGTACTAGTCTTGTATAGCTCCAAGTACATAGCATCAGCGTAACGCGTTGACAAACACCAACATCCTCTCCATCATACATCGTCTTTTTTCTCAACCAGGCATTTATTAACAAGATGGTCTTCACAACCCCCGTCTGGGTACCCAAGCTCCCAATAGGTAAGACTCTCTCTTCTACGACCCTTCCCTGCTGACGCAAAAAGACCCCCCGGACTCAATCCCCGTAGCCGAGTTCATGAGGAACGAGACATATGGTCGCTATCCTATCGCGAAAAGTAGACATCCGTTTACCTGTGGTATAACTAAACGCACGTACTCGACGACTCAGTTGTTTGAGCGGTCTGAATGCGTGGCCAGAACATTGGCAAAACGGATGCAATGGCAGCCCAATGAAGGGACGCCTTGGGACAAGGTTCTCGCCATCTTTTCTCTCAATACGGTATGTATCATTGTTCTAGTATGAGTGACCAGGCTAATACCTGACTTTAGATTGACTACATCACGGCTATTTACGGTGTCCATCGTCTCTCGGGCATCGTCACTCCAGCCAACGCAGCTTATTCCGTCGACGAATTGACATACCAGCTCAAAGCATCAGGCGCAAAAGCTATGTTTACTTGTACACCTCTTCTCGAAGTTGCTCTCAAAGCATGCAAGAACGTTGGAATATCAGAAGAAAGCATTTTTCTCTTTGATATTCCCCGTGCCGACCCCGTTTCAAAGTTTCCATATGCTTCTCTAGAGGATTTGATCAAAGAAGGCTCTCAACTTGCCGAGATTGAAGAGCTGCAGTGGGTCCAGGGTCAGGGTGCGCGCCAAACTGCCTTTCTGTGCTTTTCGAGTGGAACATCAGGTTTGCCGGTAAGAACTGTTAATTGTTATGAGAGATGCGGCTAACTTTTCGAAGAAAGCTGTTATGATATCCCACTACAACGTCATCTCGAATGTCCTGCAGCACGTCACATACGAGTCGACCGCTCGAGCAAAACGTGGCATTGCTACTCAAGCTGTAACGGGATTCTTACCATTATCCCATATATATGGTCTTGTTATTGCCGCGCATACGATGACTTGGCGAGGAGATCAAGTCATCATCCTGCCAAAATTTGAATTTCAAGACTTTTTGCAATCTGTTCAGGATTTCAAGATCAGACAACTCTTAGTAGTAAGGACCAACAGTACCTCATGGGGTGATTGTTTACTGACGCTGTATATCAGGTTCCTCCTATCATTATCCAAGTCCTACGTTTCAAGGACATCTGCGCCAAATATGATCTTAGCAGCGTAAAATTCGTTTACTGTGGTGCTGCACCTCTAGGCGAAGAGACCATTCGAGATATGAAGAACTTGTATCCAGACTGGACGATTGCGCAAGCCTATGGTCAGTTCAATCATCATGAACCTGAAGATATGAATACTAAAGACAAACAGGGATGACAGAAACAGCAACAGTAGTGTGTTCCTCAAGCGAAGATGATGTCTTCACCAAAAGCTCTGGATCTCTTTTCCCAGGAACAAAAGCCAAAATCATCGACCCAGAGGGCAAAGAAATCACTCAACATGATCAACCTGGAGAGTTACTCGTGCAAGCGCCTTCTGTTGTGTTGGGTTACTTGAATAATGAAAAGGCAACAGCCGAAACATTTGTGCATCAACACGATGGGAGATGGATCCGAACCGGAGACGAGGCTATAGTGACACTGGCTCCTTCTGGAAATGAACACGTCGTCATCGTTGATCGAATCAAAGAACTCATCAAAGTCAAAGTACGTAACCTCCTCCATTCAACTCACCTAGCTAACAGTCGCAGGGCCATCAAGTTGCACCAGCTGAGCTCGAAGCACACATATTGACACACACCCACGTCTTCGACTGTGCCGTCATCCAAATCCCCGACGAACGTTCAGGAGAAGTGCCCAAAGCATTCGTTGTTAAGAGCTCCTCAGCTGAGTCTTTGACTGAGGAGGAACTGGCACGTGATATTGAAAAGCATGTGGCAGATCACAAGGCATCGTACAAGCAGCTCAGGGGAGGTGTTGAGTTTTTGGATGTCATACTCAAGAGTCCTAGTGGGAAGATTCTTCGTCGATTGTTGAGGGATAAGGAGAGGGAGAAGAGGAGAGGACAGGGTTCTAGACTGTAATGGTCAAGGTTGTCTCTTCTCATGTTGGAAGCTCAACCCACCCTGCCCTTATCTTTGTTTCCTGCTAGAATCTGCCGATAGAGTTCAACTATAAAGACCTTGTTATTGGCTTCCCACGCATGTATTCGGAAAGAGTTTCGAGTTTCAACATATCAGACCAAGCAGAGGTCTTTATTATCCATAAACTTCCGAGACGATGTCACTTGGCCAATTCGAAGTGCTCAAACCAAGTCTATCACGTAGACTCAGCCTTCCATCGAGCCACGATCCTCTACCACCGGGAAGATAAGATGGGCTGTGAAAGTCTATCCCCCAGGACCACAAGATGAATTATAAGCTTTGTTACGTGCCCTCAATGGGATATTTATCTTCTCCTCTCTCACCATGGACATTATTTTCCCGTCAACTTTGCCACAAAACCAGAGTCGAGTCGACCACCACCACCAGAACCTCAAACATCATCCACGACCGCCAACATGGTTCTGCTACCACCCACCAGAAACGCATTCCAACCTTCACCCTCGATGGATTCCAACACCATCAAAGAAATTGCCCAACAAATGGTTGTCGAAAAGATCGCCGAAAAAGTCACTCTCAAACAAACACTCCACCCCCGCAACATCTACAACGCCGCCGTGCAATACACCAAGAGATCCAACCCACCCACCGTGGGTGTTATGGGCGGCTTCACCTGGAAGAAGTGGATGATGTGGCTTTACATCGGAATTCCTGTTCTGATCATCCTCGTCATGATCGGTCTCGTCATGAAGAAGCAAGACTACACCAACCGCCGTGCGGCGCTCGAGGCAGAGGCTGTGGCCGCTTTTGAAGGGAACAAAGAGGAAGATATTGACCATTCCAAGATTTACTTCAACCAGCCTTGGTCGCACAAGGAGATCAAGGAGAAGAAGGCTGCCGCGAAGGCCGCGGCGAGGGCGGTGGCCGAGGCAGAAAAGGTGTAACAGTGAAGCTGTGTCACGTATGGGGTAGCTTTTCTTTGTCTCCTTTGGAAACCTCAATCTATCATTCAGAACTCAAGTCCTATTTCAAGATAAATTGGATGATAAAACCTATGTCCCATGTAATATGCGTGGCCAATAACACCTTTTAGAAGTCAGCGTGTACAGTCACTTGGTGATTCTTGTGGATAAACTGGCCTATGCACATATCTAAACCTTATGTGAGTTTGGCAACAGAAAGAAGTTCAGGTGCGGGCAAAGGAGCCATAATGCCCTATGGAGAGTCTAAATATCTGAAAAGCTCATCTGATCGGACTGGCATATGCGCCATGAATCTTCAACAGCTCTCAGAGCATATCATTTGGCTCCAAGTTGTGAAGCTCTTGATCGATTGGCGTGTAGGCTCACGAAACAGGCGAGTCGTCAAATTGACACCTCAAGGAACAAATAGATTGGTCAAGGCTTCATAAGAGATGTGAATGTAACATTAAGCTGTTACAAGATTATGATAAATGGAATACAAATAGTAATGAGCAACTATAGCAATACATCCTGAGCTGTCATGAAATAGTACAAGAAAAGAAGTTGCAGCCGTCGCAATAAACACCGTACTATACAAGGTAAAGAGAACCAAAAGACTTGGACAATCAGCACAGCCAATTGTCACACGCGTAAATCTGGCGATTTGTATGAAGATCTGCGACACCATCTTGTCGCGATTCAAGTGACTTCCTTAACACATGCACTATGGCATGCTTGATCCCTGAGAATTCCACGCAGTGGCCCACCTAGCTTCAACTGGGACTGCAGACTCCGTTCACACAGAGGCAGAGACCAGCAACACAGAGCCGATTGACAGATGCGAGGCAGTCAGAAGCCCTCTGGCATGCTCCGCCGTTTCCACTGCCTGAGCTTCCGGAACTCGAGCCTCCAGTGCCAGAGCCAGCGTCAGAGCTCGACCCAGAACCTCCAGTGCTCGTGTCAGAGCCGCCGGTACCTGAGCCTCCTGTGCTAGAGCCCGAGCCCCCGGTGCCGCTCCCACTACCTGAGTTTCCTGTACCTGAGCTCCCAGTGCCCGAACCACTAGTATTTGTACCAGAGCCTCCGCTGCCAGAGCCTGATGTCGATACTTGACAGACTCCCGAAGAGCAAGTCTCGCCCCTACCAGTGCAGTCTGAATCCCTGGAACAGCGCCCAGAGGTGTTTTCGTCCGTGTCGCTTGGGTCGTTGGTTGGGGCAGAAGTAGTTTCACGCGTCGTGGTGGTGAATCCGCTGTTGACGTTGACTCGCTGACAGACCAAGTCGACACATGCGAATGAACCCAGGACGCCTGCACCGAGCCGAGCAACACATTCTCGATCTGTGGAGCATTCGCCGTTGTTTGTGGAACCTGAAGAAACAGCTGCAGCCACCGAGGGCACAGCGACTCCAGCATCTTCAGCACCTCCGATGGCTGCTCTTGCTGTAGTTTCTTGGCAGACGAGATTGACGCAGGCGACCACTCCCAATACGCTGGCTCCGAGGGCGCCCACGCAGTCTCGATCTGTCCTGCACTGGACATCTCCATTAACTGATGCTCCATCGCCTGAATTGCCTGCATTGCTCGTTGGCTGCGTGTTGCTTGGTCTGGTTGCTGAGGGCTCATCGTCTTCGTCGGTAGAGCCACCGTCACTGGATCCCTCATCGGTAGATTCATCGTCGCTCGATCCACCGTCGCTCGAGTCCGAGCCAGATCGGACACAGACTGCGTTCAAGCAGACGCAAAGGTTGAGCCCATTCGACAAGCAAAGTGAGGTATCTGCCATGCAGTCATTGCTGTTGGAGCAAGACAAAGGCGTATCTGCAGCATCTTCATCATTGTCCTCATCATTCTCATCAGGCGCTTCCGTACTAGGCGTGTCCGTACTGGGGTTTCCCACCCTCCTTGCGCCACTGCCTACCCCAACATTAAGTAGGCTGTTGATACAGACACCGTTGACGCAAGCGCATAGATTGATGCCTAGTGCATTAAGGCACAATCCAACATTTGCAGCGCATGCGCCATCATTGGTGCAGGACGGGCCTCCAGTACCGCCAGTATTAGTCTCAGCGGGGGCATCTGAGTCTTGGGTCTGGGATGCAGGTGTGTTATCACCACCAAGGGTAGGGACACAAACAGCGTTAACGCAAGCGCATAAATTGATGCCTAGTGCATTAAGGCACAATCCAGCATTCGCAGTGCAGTCGCCAGCATTCCTGCAGGATGTGGCTCCATTGTTATCGGTATCGGTGCCAGCAGGAGAGTCCGAGTCCTGGGTCTGGGATGCAGGTGTGTCATCACCACCAAGGGCAGGGACGCAAACGGCGTTAATACAAGTGCAGAGATTCAGCCCTAGCACATTAAGGCACAATCCAGCATTCGCAGTACAGTCATCAGCAGTGCTGCAGGCTGTGACACCTCCTTGTCCGCCAGAGGGTGCGGGGGTGTCTGTGTCCTGTGTTTGCGACACTGCAGCGTCGTCAGGATCGAGGGTTGGAACACAGACAGCATTAACGCAAGTGCAGAGATTCAACCCTAATACATTAAGGCACAATCCAGCATTCGCAGTACAGTCATCAGCAGTGCTGCAGGCCGTAACACCTCCTTGTCCGCCAGAGGGCGCGGGGGTGTCTGTGTCTTGTGTTTGTGATGCTGCCGCGTCATCAGGATCAATAGTCTGAACACAAACAGCATTAACGCAAGTGCAGAGATTTAGCCCTAATACATTAAGGCACAATCCAGCATTTGCAGTGCAGTCATCAGCAGTACTGCAAGAAGTGGCATCTTCGTCATCGGTGGGTGCAGGAGCGTCGGTGTCCTGTGTTTGCGACGCTGCAGCGTCGTCAGGATCGAGGGTTGGAACACAGACAGCATTAACGCAAGTGCAGAGATTCAATAGGCCACTAACACAGAGTCCGACATTGGCAACACAATCATCGGCAGTGCTGCAGGATGTGGTATCTTCGTCGTCAGTGGGCGCGGGAGTGTCGGTATCATCTGTTTGCGACGCTGCAGTGTCCTCGCGGTCAATAGCGGGAACACAAACCGCGTTGACACAGGTGCAGAGGTTCAATAAGCCACTAACACAGAGCCCAACATTGGCCACGCAATCATCGGCAGTATTGCAAGATGTAGCATCAGAATCATCAGTGGGTGCGGGAGTATCTGAGTCGTCAGTCTCAGATGGTGAGGCAGTGTCATCAGAATCAGTTCCTAGAACACAGACAGCGTTGACGCATGTGCAGAGGTTCAATAAGCCACTAACACAGAGATCGACGTTGGCCACGCAGTCATCAGAAGTACTGCAAGATGTCGCATCTGAATCATCAGTAGGTGCAGGAGTGTCGGAGTCGTCAGTCTCAGATGGTGAGGCAGTGTCATCAGAATCAGTTCCGAGAACACAGACAGCGTTGACGCATGTGCAGAGGTTCAAGAGTCCGTCAAGACAAAGTCCAACATTAGCCGCGCAGTCGTCAGCAGTGCTGCACGCCGTAACATCTCCATTGTCTGTGGGTTCTGATCCACCTGCATCTTCAGTCTGGGAAGCTGCATCAGATGGCAGAGCAGGAGTGCCTGCCAGGACGCAGACAGCATTGACACAAGTGCAAAGGTTCAAGAGACCATCAACACACAGTCCGACATTTGCAAGACAATCCGAGTCTTCGCCGCAGGCTGTGAGTTCACCGTCATCAGTGGGCTCGGCACCGGCTCCATCTTGAGTCTGCGAGGCTGCGTCTGATGGTTCGGCAGGGGTGCCCGCCAAGACACAGACAGCATTGACACAGGTGCAGAGGTTCAAGAGACCATCAACGCACAATCCAACATCAGCCAGGCAATCTGAGTCTTCAGTGCAAGCCGTAACCTCTCCGTCGTCCCCTCCGTCGTCAGTTGGCTCGGCATCGCTTCCATCCTGCGTCTGAGAAGCAGGAATGTCGGAAACAGATGCAGAACCATCACCATCTCCGGGATCCGCGAGCACAACGCAGACAGAATTCACACAGCCACAAATATTGACTCCAGCAACAATACAGAGGTCAGCGTTGACCGCACAGTCATCGTCTGCTGAGCAGGCGTCCTGGGGTCCATCAGTGGGTGAAGTGCCTGGGTCAGTGACTGGGGGGGGAACTCCATCTGTGCCAGTTGGTGAACCATCTCCGTCGCCATCTCCAGGTTGATCTGTTGGGTTCCCTTGCGGTCCTCCAGTTATTCTGGTAGTTGTACTAGATGGGTCAACCGGTGGCTCAGTTAAGGTTGGGTCTGGGTTGACAATGGCTGAACCCTCGGTCAGGACAGAACTTGGTGATGGCTCGTCAGTGGGATCCACAGGTCCAGAGCCATCGCCGTCAGTTGGAGATGCACCATCCGACTCTGCGGGTCCGGGGTTGGCTCCTGTACCAGATGGCGCTGGAACAATGACCTCGCCGTCGTCGTCATCACCATCTCCGTCGCCAGGGCCATCACCACCATCGCCATCACCGCCATCACCGTTACCGTTACCATTGTCAGTACCATCATCATCATTGTCATCGGGACCTGGGGAACCACCACCACCTTGGGGTCCTCCAGTGATGCTAGGTGCTGGTGGTGCTTGTGAGAGACTTCCGGATGCGCCAGGGTTAGCAGGGTCTCCCCCAGCGCCGCCATCGTCAGTGCCGTCTCCGCCGGTACCGGGAGCAACACCTTCGTCGCCATCACCACCATCTCCTCCAGCGCCGCCATCATCAGTGCCATCATCTCCGGTACCGTTTCCTCCAAGGCCAGGGGCAACGCCTCCATCGCTATCATCCCCATCGCCTCCGGTACCATCCCCTCCGTCACCGGATCCAGGGTCAGAACCAGAACCATTACCAGAAGGTGGTCCAGTGATTGGATCAGATCCAGCGTCAGTACCGTCCCCTCCGTCACCAGTGCCAGAGCCGTTACCAGATGGTGAGCCAGTGACTGGGTCTGATTCAGAGTCGGCACCAGTTCCATCTCCGCCGTTGCCTGGGTTGGATCCAGTACCTGATCCAGCGCCGGCGCCATCCCCGGCACCATCATCGCTATCAGATCCGGTGCCTGATCCATTGCCTGACGGGGATCCTGTCAATCCATCTCCAGAATCCGCGCCTGAACCTGTGCCAGAGTCTGCTCCAGAACCAGCGCCATTGTTAGCGCCATTGCCACCTGCGGCACCATCAGCAGAGCCGTCGCCAGATCCATTGCCCGAAGTTGAACCAGAACCAGAGTCGGCGCCGTTGCCCGTACCAGCACCAGATCCAGATCCATTAGTGCCGTCTGATCCAGAACCGTTTCCTGATGTCGAGCCAGTTCCAGAGCCCGAGGCATCTGCCCCCGAGCCTTGACCTTGCGTACTTCCACTCTGAGACTCTCCATTTGTTGATCCGCCGTTACCCTGACCAGCACCAGCATCGCTACCAGTGCCATCACCTGATGAAGTCGAATCACCATTGGTACCAGCGGCACCATTGCCAGAAGCACCACCCTGGGGGTTAGCGGTACCGCCAGACGCTGCACCAGCACCAGAGTTACCGATGGGGACACAAGCTCCGTTTTGGCAAGTCTCTCCAGTACCACAAGCGATGTTGTTGCAACTAGCCAAGGCGACATTTAGTGTGCAGATGTTGCCCAGGCAGACCTCGCCACTGCTGCAGACATCACCACTACAAGCAGATGAATCACCCAGGGGTACACAAGAGTCCTGGATACAAGCATAGTTGAGTGGGCAGTTTGTTCCCGATGCACCACAGTTCACTGCTCCTGCAACCAAGACGCACTGGCTGTTAATACAAGCAAAACCGGGCTGGCAGCCTGTCTCTTGTCGACGCAGTAAGCGGAGTAGACGGCTAGTTGGAGTACCACAGGAAGAGGCGTCCTGGACTGTAGAGCACTGCCCACTAACACAGACAGTGTTACCGGCACATGCTGGGGTGCAGGTAGAAGTAGAAGCTCCTGAGGCTGCATCTGAACCTGCACCACTGCCTGAAGAGCTTCCGTCACCAGTAGCGGTTCCATCAGCTGAAACACCCTCGCTATTCTGGCCTGACTGTCTACTGGCATCTCCGGAGCCTCCGCTACCAGAGGATGAGCCGTCTCCACTTGAAGAGGCTCCATCATCACCTGAAGTTTGAGAAGATCCGTCGCCTTGGGCGCCTGATCCAGCGCCGCTGCCATTCGAGTTGTTGCCAGTTGAAGCGTCTCCATTGCCTCCTCCGTTCGCTGACGAAGAGCCATCGCCTCCATTCTGGGCTCCTCCAGGGAGGCGTCCACCAGGTCCTCCAGACCCAGAGCCGCAGGCTACACTTTCAGCATTTGTTCGTTCAAACAGATTGCTGATGCATTGACCAGAGATACACACCTCGCCACTCTTGCATGGCGATGAGTTGTCACCACATTGGGAAAGGTCGGTTGAGATGGTGATGGGTAAACATGTATCCTTTGAACAGTAGGATCCAGGTGAACAAGCCTCTCCGGAAGTGCCGCAACTCTCAGTCTCAGCCTCTTCAGTGATGTTCAAGGATTGACATTGTCCGGAAACACACAGTTGACCGGCGGTACAGTTCTTCTTCGCATCGCCACAGTTGAATGGGTCGGAGGAGATGGACAGTTGACGACAAAAGCCGCCAGTACATGAAGCACCAAAGGGGCATTCGCTGGTCCTTTCACAGGACTGCACCTTGGTTCCTAATTGAAAGGGGACACAGGTACCATCAAGACACCAGCTACCTGCACTGCAGGCCTGATTGGAAGCTCCGCACGATGTCGGGTCTGAGCCGATATCGATCCTTTGACATTTGTCATTGACGCAAAGGTAGCCTGCCTCGCAATTTGTATTCTGGCTTCCGCAACGGCGAGAGTTGGCAGTCACTTCTATGGAAGTGCATTGACCATCATCACACCATTGACCAGGCTGACAGTCTGTGCAGTCTTGGGGGTTTGGTGTAAGATCGAGGGGGACACATCCTCCGGCAACGCAAAGCTCACCAGAGCTACATGCGTTACCACTCTTTCCGCAATTCTTTGGGTCAAGTTCGATAGTGGCTGTGTTGCAAGTTCCCCAACTGCACACACTAGGTAAGGGACAGCCTCCAGCATAGAGTATGTCGATTTGCCGGGTATCAAAGGGAGCAGAAAAGGTTGGTGTAGGGGTGATGGTCAGAATGGTAGCCACCAGGGCACGCCAGCTCATTGTCTGGACCATTTTGGGTTGATAGTTGGGTGTTGAAGTTGGTATTGATCGACTTGATGATCTGGGATATCCGTGAGATAATCCTCAAGCTATATACCTGAACTCTGGCCGAGTTCTCATCGCAGATGGGAGTCGTTCCACTTGTCTGGACATCCTGAAGTCCGTATCAAGCCAGAGTATTGCGTCATAACAACCCTCCATGGTTCTATGAAGTGATAACTTGCATATACGTTTCAACGCCATCATGAGCAGAAACTTAATTGCAGTAGAGCTCTCCAACAGTTTGTGACATATCACAAATCGACCTCATCAGACACAACCATCAGCATAGGAATGGACAAATCAGATACGAAGGATACGATTCCACAGGTTATCCTCTATGGGCATGGTGGTGTAAGTCAAATCGTCTTCCTGGATAGCCTCACATACGCTGTGCAGATCCGTTGTGATTCCGGGCCTGGGGTAAACCTTAAGCTGTACCCGCTGCCAGATGTGAGTAAAGCTTAATTCAACTCTTGGCGTCCGGGTAAAAGCCAAGACCCTCTTTTTAACCCAACGAGTTCTGATGGCATGCTGATCTGTGATTTGGGTCCTGTAGATCCCTAGGAACCAAGTAGCTGGCGTCGATCGGCACAATGTGGGAATGTCTCAGTAGCCTGGAGCAGCTCCAAAATATTGAACTAGTCGTTGCCTTGATTCCCCAACGTTTGCTGTCAGGTGAACTGATGTTGTCGGCGGCAAAACGGGTAGGCTAACGCTCGAAGCGATGCGGTTGTGGAGTTATCATTGCGGCCCGACCTGGTACGAAGAGGCTTGTTAGACGTGATCAAAGCACTTTTGTTATAGTACTTACAAAGATAATGCCTCATCTCCTAAGTATGATGAAGTTGATGCCTGAAGATGCTGCCTCGAGATTGCCTGAGAAAATCAAAGGGCACGTGCACGTCATTGCGGCTCCGAGGTTGACAACGGAAAGAACCTCCCGCTGTCACACCTGCCCACCATGCATCAGTGTCATTCAGCTTTGGAACTATTGGCTGTACCTTCCAGGCTCCAGGTGGGTGATCGGCAAGTCAATCTCTAGATCTTGCATCCTCAGCTGAAAAGTGACGATCTTGTGAAATGTGACACTTTCCACATTACCTAAGTTTGGAAACGACACCAACGACTGTCGGTCATTATGAGCGAAATCTTCTTGATTGGACTTGACTTTCTTTCAGTTTGCTCAACGGCGCCTTTAGCGCCGAGGTAAGAGTGGACAACGACAGGAAACCCACTCCAGTACCTTGAGGCGCATATCTAAACATCAGATCATAGTGGCGATCAAAATCGTACCTCGACCTGTCTTTGAATCTCTGCTGGTTTACAGAAGCGGTGGTATTTTGTCAAACGCACCAGGCATTGGCCGTACCTCGGTTATACCAATCGAACCATTCGAGTACACCTTTTGGCTTGTATCGACACAAGCTCATCCACCACAGCTTCACCACTAGAATCTGATGTCATCTTTGACACTTTTTCCGGACCTTGTTCCCGGTGGCTTCACCTTAGCGCAGTCTCAAACCAGGGGTCTCGCTGGCGGGTTTCGCAGCAAGTCATCACGTGTGACGCCTTGTGAGTCTTGTGTTATCAAAAGGCTTTTAGGCTGAGTGTCGATCTGTGCCTTTCTCTCCAGGACAAGAAAGTCAACGGGGGTTGTCAAGCTTTCCATGCTACTCACCAGACACAGGAATCGTGTGACAGGATTCTCGTTCGGTGACGGACAGGTACTACCCATTTCAGAACGAATCCGATTATGAAAGTGACCAGTCACTTTCTTCTAAGACATCATTGCTGTCTTTGGTATAGCTTCTAATCCGCCAGAGCCTCACCAGATATCCGGACTACTCCCAACGTCATATCGTCCTTTACTCGGAACCCGGGTCCGCCACTTCCAGTTCTTTCTTAGCTACAATAGAGTTCAATATTGGCAAGTTGAGACTCCGCTGGTCATCTCCTTTGTTGTCGATTCACACATTGGCGACCAGCGTACGACCCCAGAAAGTCTCGGCGTCCGCCAAGAAGAAACAATTGACATTTTGATAAGGAACCTCAGGCATTCAATTCGATTTCAAATCTGAATGGGCGCGGCGTTTGAAAGACGAGGCTATCTCGGGTGTTGGAAATCCCGTCGATGGGTGTCTGCACGCTGTCGGCGACGTTGAGACAGCTGGAATGCAATGACGTCTCTGATATGATTCCCAGAGCAAATGAGAGCCACCATCAGCTGGGTTGGGGAAATAATCACGATTTAAACTCGACGCTATTTCCGAGTAGGTGGACCAACAGCAACAAAGTGCTGACCGTTTCTCCAACGCATGAACCAATTGAAACTGACATTGACAGAGTTTGATCTTGCATGCGGCTGAAACGCGTGAGTGCCAACAGACATGCATCCTTTTCAAGATACTTTCTTGAAACCAGGGTAAACTCAGATCTGCTACTTCATGGACGTTACACAAGGATCACGGGTACATCGAGAAATCCGAAGCCTCAAACAGCCGACTGCGGGGTTGCAATGCTATCGGTGAAGAACGGCTCTTATTCCTATAATGGTAAGATTCAAACTCAAGTGTGATAGCAGATCCTTTCCCCGATCATATCCAGCAGTGCTGAAGAGCCAAGATGCAGCATAGATTCTTGTCAACGAATCATACAGACGTATAAGCTGAGTTTGAAATTTTGCTTTCTTGGGTTGCATATACGAACCAACAATTCTCATAGGACCGGCCAGCACTGGTTCGCCACTCTGCAGCCTCTCACATCCGAGTCCTCATGAAGATATCCGTTGTGGTCATGTAGAGCGCCTTTTCCAGTCTTGTCAAGCATCTCAGCAACGTCACCGTCAAGGTTTGATCCGAACTTTGGAGTGCAACTTCATCACATCATCCATCTCCTCTCGGAAGTCGCCAACCCTCCCAAGACCTTGGGCAGATAGATCTCGATATCGGGATCGCTGCCGAACAGGTTTATGGCTGCCGCCAAGATCGATGTTGATGAGAGGCTGAAACTAAGATCTGGTGAATGGCGGTTTAGGGTAAAGATCGACGGCATGACTGTCTCAGGTTTCGCCGAACCGATATCAGTGACGGCGAACAGGTCAAAATAGTAAAAATAATGAATTCTCTTTGCCGAGGGACGGGTGGTGTGATGGACAGCGGTGTTGGTGAGCCATCTTTGACATCCATCAATGTTTGCTCAGGCATTTGGAAAGAGCAAGAATCGACATGAGGTTGGAGTTACCGAGTGCTGTTGATGATTGCTTGAAATTGATTGCTTCTATGATTTACCCTACAGCTCCATAACATGTTAGATTAGTTTGCTTTACAGTCATGGAGAGTGAGGTATGTAATTTTTATATAAACCATACATTGGTAAATGTGAATCTTTCAGCCTGATTGTAGAGTACTCCCACTGTGTTAATGCCTCGTTTTTCGTAATCAAACACCGCATAGAGTCTTTAAAAAGGTATCAAGCCCAACTTATGAGATGGTATCAATTAACAGCCTTGCAACTTCTAACTGTACTCTGCCATTGGCTTTCATTTTCTCTCTAGTCTTCCCCAACGTTCTTTCGTCTATAAAAACCAAACGTCTAGGTAACCTTGGTGTTCCCAAACCCATCAACATGGTCATCTACCACGAAGCAAAATTAGACTTCCTTGGCACAATTGTGTAACCACCCATTCTACTAGCGCCGTACGTCAGGCCGATCACCCGAAAAGTCTCCACTGTAGGTTAAAGTGATGCAGTAGACTTGGGTTGACGCCTGAGTGATAAGAAGGTTAACGTTTGAGGCTCGAGGTGCCAAAATAAAGCAGCCTGAATGTTCTTGGCATGGTAACCAAGCTTTTTCGTCTCCTTTGCTCTGCTTGTCCAGTCAAAGCTGTCACACACCGTTAGTTATCTGCTGGAATCACATTCCTCAAAGAAGGATGACATCAGCACGCAGAAAGTTTCTTCACAAGCAGATCATCATTTTGTAATGGTCCCAATAAACTTGAGATCTGACGGACATGAGTTTACACTACACTGAGAAAGGCAACCAGATCTGAAGCAAGATCTAGGAGGCTGAAAGCTCGGACACAGGGTATGCATCACTAGCAAAACGGGTTTTAACTGAGCGTTTATTCCCGTTCTACAAGTGCTTGTAGCACGACTTGTGGATGATGCAAAGCTAAGGAGCCTGTCTCAAGCCCTGACAAAATGGAAGGCATTGGTAACTTTGTCCGAGAGACAAAAAGAGTGTGTATAATGGTCAAAAAAACGAAAAAGAAACTCCGGTGCGGGGAATCGAACCCCGCTCGCCGCGGATCTTCACTTATGAAAACGCGGTATGCTAACCGATACACCACACCGGATGTTTGATGAAACTCAACCCACTTATTAGATATTATATACACTAAGCTTAGTGGCTGTCGCGCCATAAGAGAAACCAAGAGAACCGTCACCATATCAGACATGTCATGTAAAGCTTGTCAGTATGAGGTGCCCAATTCCTGTATTAAAATGTGGACTTTCCAAGTGAATCTTTATGAGCCTAATCAATTACACGAACAGATGTTTACATTACACGAACAAATATCAAGCCGGCATAGAAGGACGGCCTCATTATTGCAACACCACTCTAAGAGAAAGGAAAGTCTTGTCGCCTCATATTACACAGGATATCTAAAGTCCATCACAACATACCCGGCACCGTCTACCTAGCATTCGAAACCTTGACAGTTGTCTCATTCTTGACCATAATCCCCCCGAACGGTGTTCCAACCTCAAACTCGTCTGAACCACCCCTTCCATGCGCAGGTCCGGTAACAGTAGCAACATTCGCCCTGTACCGATCCATAGCATGGCTCTCGAAGTCTGACGAGTGACGCTCGCGGTCCGAATCGGCAAGTTGGTGTGTTGAGCTCGACTCGTCGTCTTTGCCGTTGGGAAGAGTCGAAAGGCGGATCGTGTTCTTGGTTTGACTTCGACCGTGGCTTCGACCGTAGGAGTGGCTGTAGCTGTTGGAGCCAGAGTTGATGGTTGAGCGGGGGTGGGTGCAGGTGAAGAGGTACATGCATGCTGGTCGAACGGTTGGGAGACAGGCTGTTTAGTTAGCAGATGCTTCATAAGAAGGGTGAAGGATACGTACTCGATACAGTGACGAGGTTGACTTCGACGGAAGCCCAAACGACAATAGTAGTCAAGTTCCAGGTCAGGTTCTCCGAAGCAGCATCGAATTGTGTCGAAGCAACAATAATGACCATAGCAGAAACACAAATGCTGTAACTAGTTAGCCAGAGCAGACCGAATGGGAGAGATAAAACTTACACAATACCAAACACAAACATCAGTGAGATACCAATCTTTTGTGCTCGAGGTAGCTGAAGCTTGAGAACCTGCAGAATAGGCAACGCGATAATGCAAACATCAAGAATGACATGGACCAGAATGGTTCCGAAGAAGAACTTCTTATCCTCAATGGCACAGAATCCTTGATCTCCACCAGCAGTCGGGTTCCAGAATCGATCGATAGGAATACAATGCCAGATACCCATGAAAGTCTACCCCTGTTAGTCCTTTTTCCTTCAATCCATTGACAGCTGTATACTCACTCGAATGATAATCCAGATCAAAGAACAACATCCAAGGATTTGAATCGGGAGCTTAATGTTGGTGACTCGAAACATGCGCCAGTAGAAACTAAGGATGGAAGCTTTGGCGCAGAATAGGGCGGTCGCGTAGAAGAGTTCGGCAACGTATAGGATGAGAGCGTTCTTCATAAGAATTTCGGGTTTCGTTCGGCCATTTTTGACATCGTTGATATGAAGACCGAGTCCTTCTTGAATCCCTAGTCAGATAGTTAGATACGGGTGGATAGTGGGAGGTAGATGGTTCGTACAAATCGGGATGATGACTACCCAAGCAATAGCCACAGACTGGAAGAAGTTAGCAAAGAACATGCATAGAAGAAGAATGACATACGTAGCAACCTAAAGCAAACCAATCATCCCACCAGAACTCAATCCTCGTGAGTCGTCGACTCAACAATCTCAATCCAATGAAAACGGTCGCAGCAGCAAAGGTGATAAACTCCGACGTCCACAGATCGAGCTGTCTTGACTCTCTCGGAGTCGTTTCCATGTTGACGAGATCGTTTCAAAAATTCAATTCAAGCCACCAAATTAACAAACAACAAAGAGGAATGAAAAAAGCAGATAAATGACAAAAGAGGCGCGCGTGAAATAGATTAGCGAAAAGGGTCGTCCTTTGATGATATACGACAGAAAAGAAAGGGAACGGCACGGCACTTGGGTCTGGAAAAGATCGACATGAACCGGGGGATGGTAGTATAGTAGAGTCGTAAGCTTCAAACAAGCGAAGGGGTCTCCGCAACGGGTGATAATACTGGGGATTATGAAAGTCTAAGCAACGTCTGGTAGGATTGATATACACTAATATACGTTACATACGTTGTGTTTCCGAGTGTAGATCTAACGCCGGTCGTTAGACTAGCATTGGGGACAGTAAGAGGTCAATACTCTGGTTAGTTGACTTACAGGATGCGAGTCATCTCGACAACCCTCGCTCAGCGGTGAACTCCAGCTCGACAAACAGCCCTGCCTCGCCTTGAGTAGTCCTCCCAACTTGGGCATTCATTCATGCATGGATCCGGGATTACATTTCTTCACTGCCGATCCTTTTGTGGACTCGTAGTTCCCCGACTGGTTGGTGCCCCTTGACACTAGACCAGGTATGTTTGACGAGAAAGAAAGAGAGGTTCGTCAAAGCCTGTAGGAGCAGCGGATGTTAAACGATCCGGTCCCGTAGCAAGGGGTTGTGTAGAGAGTGTATATCTGGCATGTGAATGTTGGGGGAAAATGCCATGAAGCTGTCAATTCTAGCTTCTGGCAAGTGCCGTATGATCCATTGTCTGTGCAAATATCAACGGTAAACCCGCCAGCTGCGCACTTATTCCTTAGACCAGTCCTCTAGTCTGTACGTACGCCAAGGATAGTCAACGCTAACCAAGCTTTCTAATTCCTTGTCACCAAGCCGGTTATACCGAGACAAGGATAGATGATTTAAATTACCTACCGTTGGTCGGCACCTGAGAAAGACAAAAACGATGAAACCGTTACGAGTCATTGCCAAGGTCCATTCGTCCCTGGAATAGGATCCTTGTAGATATAGTGTGAATCCTCTGAACCAATCGTATCCGCTTTTGCCGCGTAGATCATCGAAAGACGCAACAAACTTGGGTGCGAATATTGGGTATCGTATGAGAGATTTAGCGGGCATAAATCTTGTGAATATTGCGGCTAACGTCGTATCGATAAGTTCAGTACTCGAAATAGAGTTTGAAGAATGGATACGTCTAAGATTAGTCGGTGGGCCTGATGGGGTCATTTGTTCTCGCGGAGACGGATGACAAGGGCTTTGGGGAAAGGATCACTAGAAGAAACTAGGAAGATTACTCTACTGTATCCACCATGTTTAGGGTCAAGGACTTACGCGAAACGTTGAAGGGAGAACGCTTGGATTGCACAGAAACCAAAACGATAGCCTTACCTGACTGACTATCATTTTAATTGGGGAACCCGAGGACTTATATACGTATTGTTGTTCTCTCGTTTGTTGACTCTTTTGTTGGAAATTGTTTATTCCTCGGTCCGATGCTAGGTGAAGTGAGACATTGACACGGCACATGAGGCTGATGTCGCCAGAACCAACAACTGCCTTTTAGAATATCGGGGAATATTCGATGGCGTCGGCATTTCTCTAGTTGAAACCCAAGTTAGTCTCCGATAAATAAAAACCCAGATGATGCAAACTTCCTGCATGTTTGACAACATATAAACCAGGATAACCCAGCCTCATCCTAATTGAGGATCCAACCACTTCTGTGTAGCATTTTTCCATATAATAAACTCGTCCCCTGCGTCAAACTCTCCTTGACTCAATGCATAGCATGCAACTGCCGTGTTCAAGTCTGACTCGAACGAAATATCCCGATGTAACTATAACGTCGCAGCTACCAGGGTCCATGAAACGGGACGACGGCGGGAAGGGAAGCGTATCTGGTTCCGAAGATTTTCCCAAGGAGGACCAATCGGTTGATTTGACTTTTTCAGCTGATGCCGCGCTGTGCGTTGGGTCTTCTCCTATTTGATTTGGATCCTTCTGTAGGGATTATATGCGAAAACCCACAACCTTCGTATATTTTTGCTTCTGTTGGTTCGGCTGCGGGAGCGGGCGAGGTTCATAGCGTTCCCAGGTTCGCGGGAGAATGGAACTGCAAGCATTTTAAAAATCTGCTATTAAGACAGGGCCAGCCGCTCCGAGATTGCAATCGACAATTCTTGAAGGAACGTATTACCTTGGGATTTGATCCTTTGAGAGTTCCTTTCGGCCGCTGGATTTGGGAGTGATGGAAAATCAAACAGATAATGTTGCATTGTAGAAGGCGAAAATCATGGATAAAGTTTGAGTGAAACTTGCTTCGCTACGAGATGCACATGTAACGTTATCTAAACGGAAGGTCGGCTAGGTGTTACCTGCACTTGCCTGGGGAAGCATGTTGGAGAAGCGTGACTTGAAATTGGAAAGAGCTTCCCGTAGATACCCGACTTGCCAGGCTGCCACTTGACTACAGTGATTCTAAGGGAAAGGAACACCATAGCATAACATATTATATCCTTACTCAACTCCCTTTCTTTAAATAAAAACCTTTCCAAGGATTAGATGCCAAGGAAACAATTATTCTGGTTGCGGACCCCTATCTTCCGTCAAGACCCCTGGGTACTGCAGGAATTCTCAGTCGCACCGTTCAGTTGCCACTGATATGCTCCTTCCCCAGGATATTGCCACTCTACGACATGAATGGCAGTAAAGAGCGTCGAAACGTCAGGAGAAGGAACAATTGCTTGTTCGTGAGTTTCTAGATTTGTTCATTGCAAATTCAACGCAAGGTCGATCGATATTGGTAAATTCGTCCTCAATATGAGTAATTGAGGTCTTTGTTTTCCTGGGGGCTCGGAATCAACATGGGTAGTTAGAAACAAACATGAGTCGGGTATCAATTCGAGTACATGCCTCCAAGTCGTAGATCCAGGATCGATATACAATAAAGGTTGCACATGAAGGAAATTATAAGAAGATGTGGGAGAAATAGATCTGCGCAATCAAAAGTATTGTTTCGGTTGGAGAAAGCAGATTACTAGGCTTTGTATAGCTAGAAAGAAAGCAGGTGGCCGGAGCTAGTTTGTGTTAGTAGTCAGATTATTATAACACGCGAACATCGCAGCATGCAGAAGATAGGATACAGGTATATCGATAAGACGTAAACACAACACAAATACATCGTCAGAAATGAGGTCCCCATATGATACACATACTGGTGAGTTATTTAAATACTTTTGATGAGGTACAGCCAGGGAGCTGTAACGCATGCCTGACTTTCATTCAAAAGCTTTATATTGTTCCGCCTTGTTGATTTCTCCTCACTCACCATCCCAGCAACCTGTTCAACTTCAAACCCTTTATACTTCCTCTAATATGAACGAAGCTCAGCTGCCTCTGTTAGAAGACTTACCATAGCTTGTCGTTTACTCGGGCAATCGTCCAACAATAACGAATTAGCTGTTATCTGGATTGCAGTATTTCCCCTCGCATCCTTAGATATGGGATCAGCCCCATGCTCAAGCAAATTCTTGGCCATACTTATGCCACCGTGGGCAGCTGCGAAATGCAGTGGAGTGTAACCAAATCGCACTATCGCTCCTGAGCTCTCAGGGTCCTGAATGCTCTCTTGGACTTGGTGACCCCAGTAATAATACTTGGGTTCTACATCGCCCAGTTCATTCCAAAACAAAAATGTTGCTCGAGAGTGTATATCAACACCGCGATGGATCATGTTGTCCACGAACTGTGCAAGTTCAGAATCTTCTTTCTTTCTACCAGCAAATAGGGAAAGACAATGTAGTAGCGTCCATCCCTCAGCTGTAACAGCACGAGGGTCGGCGCCGTGAAAGAGAAGTATCTTTACAATACCCAAAGCTTCAGATGTTGACTTTGAGAAGCTGTTCATCTGCGAGCCTTGCCTCGCTGGGGTCAAGGCGCAATGTAAGGGTGTCCAGCCATTTGTGTTGATACCATTGACATCAAGCCCTTGGCTGAGAAGGAACTCGACAATGTCACGCTTAGCTCCCGCAGCTGCGTAATGTAGTAACGTTTCGCCAAAGTTGTTCTTCGATCTTAATGCTTGAATTCTTTGCTCCGAGTTACAAGAGGATAGATACAACTGTAGTGTGTTCAGGTTGGAGCCAAAAGCTGCAGCGTGAAGGGGGCTAGCCCCAGACTCATTATCCTCCAGCGAAACGGAGACATTGTGACTGAGAAGAATACAGATCGCGGTCTCATTCAAACGCACTACAGGTCCACTTTGATTCAAAGATTTTGGTGAGCCCAGAAAGTGCAATGCTGATTTCCCTCTGTGGTCAGTAGCGTCTGGGTTGGCTCCCTTGTCGAGCAACACTTTCAACGCTCCAACCAGACTTATAGAGCGAGCGGCAGTAATTATTGGCGGTTGTCCGTTGATAATAGCGTTTGGATTGGCTCCGGCATCGATCAAGTGCTCGATCAAAAGCTGTTGCTGCAGATAATCATCACCATTGTAGTCGAGTTTGAAGTCATCTCCAATCAAAGGCCTGAAATCCACTGCATGATGCAAGGCCTTGTCTAAAACATCTTGGGGAAAGGATAGTTTGGTAATAAAGAGTTGGGCAGAGTATGCCTTCCAGCTCTGTGCTGCCCAAAACAGAGCTTCGTTCTTGGCTTCTGCTGTCCATTCTTTCCAACTCAATAAAGCATGTAGGATAGTTGTTTGGCTGTTGATTGAGGCTTCAAAAAGACATGAGTCGACGTTTTTCTCCTTTGGGTCTGCTTGTGAGTGGAGATGGTGCCATAATCGCCAAAGCAGGCGTTGATTACCCAAACGTGCAGCTAATGCTAGTGGCGATAAGCGATGCTCGTGCTTGGAAGAAGCAGCAGCGACGTCGACGCCACTTTGCAATAGTATATTCACTGCCTCGATATTGTCCAAATAGACTGCCACGTGCAGCGGAGTCCCCCAACAGCCATCGGCATCCGACAACAAAAATGAAGCCTCGCGGGAACCAAGCACTTCTTGCAAGGTTGATAGGTCGTTGTTGCAGATCGAGGCATGTAAAGGGTAATCGGATTCTGCCCTTTTGAATGTATCCTTGATGCGGTCTGCAATAGACATACGCCGTTGCATCGTTTTTCTTTTACAAATTTGCGATAAAGGGAAGCAAGGAGTCAACTAGTTTGTTGGTTGTTTGTTTAATTAACAATGAATGGGGGAAAAGTGCGCAGTTTCTAATGTCTCCACCTAAGCCAGTAAATTACCCTCCCTTGCCGTATAAAATAGACTGCTCAGAATTGAGAAGCTTATCACTTCACCGGATATCTAACTCTGACCGGTTGTACTGCAACTCGCCGAGATAGATTATTAAAATTCAACTAGTATGAACTAGCGATGAACGGGAAAAGAGTAAACTTTACACCACTGCTAAGAGGAAAATCAGATTATATATTCAATATTAAATGTGCTTATAGTTAAATATTAATATAACTATACTTGATAAAGTAACTGCTTTACTGTGCTGGATGGGCTATCTTTATTGCCTATCGTTATTATTGTACTCACTCGTTTATTGACAACATCTAAGGTTCTGCCCTAAGTTGACAGCTCATACACCGTCTGCTGCACATAAGCCCCTTGATTTTGCCCATCCTTTTGATGATTGACCGCTGAATTCTGTGTGTACATACCCCCATCCAACTCGTAGATGCTTTGGAATCCTACAGCGCCCTTGAAAGGATCTATGGTAATAACTTTGGCATAACTAAAATCAACACGGTCTTCTCCTGGAAGAGCCATTGGCGCTGAGAACCCAAGGAGCTTGCTCACACGAGTGTGGCAGATGCGGCAAAAGACTGCGTTGTTGTATCTCATGTAGTTGAAGACACAGGAGGAACAGAATATGTTGTTACACGGTCGTAGACTAGAATTTGTTAGTTCAGACTATTCATCCTAAACATCAAATCGTCAAAGTATTGAAGGACTCACATTGAATCACAGAGCATCCTTCTACAGCAAGTGCATGCCACTTTGATAGAACCGTTCAAACGTGACAGTAACTGGATGCTACTGTCATTGAGCCAAGTAGGTTCTGATTGAGTCGTCTCATCTCAACAAATCCTGCCTCGATGGCTCAGTGGTAGAGCGTGTCACTAGTAATGACAAGGTCCACGGTTCGATCCCGTGTCGAGGCAACGAGCTCATGTTCGATCATTGTTATATTTTTGTTCCATGCCTCCAATAAGCCTATCCCCATATCTCTTAGTTTTATGAAATGGACGGCTCCTCGTCTTTCACTTTTGTTAGTTAGAAATTAAGTCTCCTGATTCTGACAGCATCAGTGTCTTACTGTCTTTGGCACAGTCCAAGTGGAATGAAGATCTCAAGTCACAGGTCGAATACTACCTTGTGCGTTACGCTGCTCTGAATAATTCCTCTCATGTGTCCTAGCTGACCATGATCCAAGTTGGTCGACTCGTTACCAACAACATTGACACGGAAAATGCACACATCCTTTATACCGAGTTCCACTACGATATCCTCAAGGGAATTCGCAATGCAACCCATCACATAAAAGCGGATTGGCCAACGATCTACCACACCACGATCCCTTTTAAGCCGTTCGAAACATTTTACGACCGTATTATCAATGAACTTTCAGGGGGTGTCAGAAACGAGAAGCAAGACCCCGACATGGGGGTCAACACCACTCGAAAGATTTACAGAGAGAAATGGATCAGATCGAATAGGATCAGGTTTTATGGTAGTGTCTGGTAGAATGTATGGTAGAGTATCTGGTGTAGCGCAGACCTCCTCTTTGTTTAGGGCCATTAATAGATAAAGATAAAAATATGTAGAAATATGTTCCGAGGATCCCCCTGGGCTTTCCGAAACTTGATCTATCTCACAAATCAAAATCAACTCTCTGCCAGGCAAAGCCTCTAGGCCCTTCTGAATCTAACCCCAAAGGTTCTAACCAAGTATTGATTGCCCTAGAAGCAGCCTCGAAATTGAACGAATGTGGCCAGCCATGGTCACGATAGATCTGTCTCACATATTGAATATCAAGGTCTGTTCCCCAACGTTCCGTTTGACTGTTCACCTCGTCCTCGGTTATTCGTTCTTCGCGCTCAGGGACTTTCTCTGCTTCAATTGTGATCCTGCCCTTTCCAGGAATGAGCTTCAAGTTTTCGTACCAATCTCTAAGATATGAAAAGAAGCCCTCGACTGTTACTTCGGACATCATATCCGCCTTGTTAATATGCTCGATTATTTCGCAATCTTTGACGAGTAGCCATAACACGCGACCGCCGGTTCCATAGCCTTCGGCGATGCAGACCACATCGCTGTGATCCTGCACATCCTCGGATGACCAAAACTCATAGCAATCGTGTATTTCGTGGTGACGTTTGAAGTCCTCAGGCGTCCAAGCCCTAAGATTAAGGAGCTTAGATCTATAATGGAATTGAGTGGTACTCTTGTTGACGAAGTAAGGCAAATGGCGCATAACCTCGACAGCATAGTCGGACTTGACATATCCACAAAACTCGGGTGTGATCTCTGGCCATCCAGTAGGCGGAGGGATCTTGAGGTCGGATTTGTTGTAATTGAGGGTGGTCATGAAGGAATAGAAGTCGACAAACAAAGCTCCTAGTTCCTGGGGCGTTAATCTTGGCTCATCAGAACCCTCAGACGCGTCCGAGTCATGGGATCCATCGTCTGATGAGGGTGGCGACAGTGAGCTACCGTGACCGCACATCTTGGAGAGAAAAATTTACAAATAGAGTAAAGAGGATATGAATGGATCTGAGTAGCACAATGGGATGGGAAGAAGACGTATTTATAGGTTGGTAGTGAGATTCCGTCCTGCCAGAATGGGTGGAGTCTGCGCATGCCTTCTGGTGGAGTATAGATGCCTCTAAATCACAGGGGCTAGCTAGGTATGGAATTAGAATAAGTTTAGGCAGCGAAATAGGGAAACTTGTCGACATCGGGGAAGAATGGCGTGAGGTAAGTGTTGTCCAGCTTTGCGATTTTTTCCCGAAGTCGCTGGTGTCGTCTTGAGGTCGCTAAAATAAGGAGCCTAAATACTGATCTAAAAGTGAGCAAAATGTCTTGTCCGTTAGGCTCTCGGCGCCGAGTTATTCTGCCAACCTGACGGGTTGGTGATGGGGCAAGTGTTACCCAAGCTCATGATTTCTTCTCAAAGGCGACAAATTTTGTTGCAGCGCACGAGACAGCAATGGGAACGGTGTCAACGATGGAGGTAGACGTGGTAGGCCCTTCTTGAGGAGAGCAGTGGTGAGGTTGTCAACGGAAGATGCAGTGGTGGTAATAGGCTCATCCTCAACGGGACAGGAGCATTGTTAACAGCAACGTTGAGGTCGGTAGGAGTAGATATGGTGGCAGGAATGGCATCAGAGCCATAGTACACGACAGTGACACAGATCAATTGGCACAGCATGGGCAGATTAATTGGCAGAGCTAAGTATTTTATTCTCTCGTCCAATTCTTGCAAGTCTAATATATCATCTCCTCTCCAAAACTCCATGCATGCCACATCCAACCTTTTTCCTGTACAACCCCAATCTACGCCGTTTTTTACTAGTATACAAAAACCGCTTCAGAACTATTATGTGCTTATCGAGTACGTGTGTTATCGCTTGCGTGTGTCTTTGCCCTTCTTCTTTCCTTTCTTCTTATCCTTGGGCAACTCAAGCTTTGTATCTTTGAGTTGCTCTGCCATGATGCTGAGCATGTAATCGTCAATTGTATGCATCTTTTCGCCCCATGCGTTATACTCCTGTTCTTCCTCTTGAGGAGTGTCGATGTCATCGAGGCCGCCGTCCAAAACTGACTTTCCGGCTGGTGTTCCTTGTCGCGTTGTCGAAGCACCGGATGCGTTGTTACTTGGCTTCTCGGTGAAGTCGGCCTCGTCGTCTTGGATCTCTTTCTCTGCGACGCGTGCAGCTTGCACATCTTCTCGATCTTCTGCTTGCTCAAGTGTGCGACCGATTCTTCGTTGGTCATTACTGGTATCAGGACCGCCGAGCACTCTGTCCAAAGCAGCGTCTGCGGCATCTAATCCTTCACTCTTCGAGTCGAGTTTCTCGCTGAGGACGTCCCTTACCGAAAGCTTATTGAAGTAATCGGTGGTAAACTCGCCTTCTTGAATGACCACGTCGTCTAGCATCTGCTTTTGCGACGCCTTGCGAAGAATATTGGCTTCAATTGTGTGTTCGCTGACCAGACGGTAGATGTGAACGTCGCGGGTCTGTCCGATACGATGGCATCGATCCTGGCATTGCTTGTCCATTGCAGGGTTCCAGTCTTGATCGTAGAAAATGACGGTGTCGGCACCTGTAAGATTGATACCAAGACCACCCGATCGCGTGGACAAAATGAAGCAAAGAATGCGCGGGTCGTTGTTAAATCGGTCAGTAAGGATCTGGCGCTGTTCCACCTTTGTAGCACCATCGAGACGCAGGTATTTGTGGCCATGAATGTTCAGGAACAGCTCCAGAATATCCAGAACTTTGGTCATCTGAGTAAAGATGAGGGCGCGATGACCACCTGCCTGAAGTTTCCGTAGCAGCTTATCCAAGATCTGAAGTTTTCCGCAGTCATATTGGAGCAGTCGCTTATCAGGGAATTGAATGCTGAGTCGCATTCGACTCTCATGCCAAGGGTCTGGCGGTGCTTCTTTTGGTAGGAATGGTGCCCATCGAACAGGCGCCGACAATTTGAGGTCCTCGTCTGTGAAAGCTTCAATACCCTTGCGACCAAGGACGAATTGTTCCATATCTCTGGTCACAACAGCCGGTGTAACGCATGAGAACTTCTCGATAGTAGTCTTGAAGCTATCGGCGCGTTGATTGACCGTGGGTATCATGGACTGCACAAAGGTCGACTCGTCCTCGAACCATGCCATGATCTGGCGGGGAACCTTGGGTCGAGGCTTATAAGGCCTCTTATCAGTACCAATAGTCAATAACTCAACCAAGTTCTTGCCATAGATGGGCTTTCTCTGACGGCGCAAAGCATTCAGATAGAAGCAATGTTGGAGCTCCTCGAAACGTCCCCATCTGGCACCACTCTCCAGGTATGCATTGTTGGATGCGACCGTGGAGGGATCCAAATGAGCATATGCGCTCTGGGCACGCACCCTCTGAGCATCTCTCAAATCACTCAATATCCTATGTGAGCTCAATTGAGAGATGCGCTCAGCCTGCGTAGTCGACAGACTCTCGCATTGCGTCGGAATGAGATTCAGAAAGCCCAAGCTGACTTCCTTCATGGGACTGGGGTCGTGAAGCAGTCGTTGGACCCTTTGTTCCGTCACGTCAAAGTCTGAGACGACAGACTTTTGCATACGGAATGAGGTCATGATTGGCCGATCAACGAAAAGGTCAGGATGGTTGCAGACCTTTCGAAGTTGCATGAGACAATTGATGATGGACAAGTAATTGCCAGAGTTCAATGTATCCTTGGTATCTGCCCGAGAAAGGAACCCATCGTAGAGCTCACGTTGCCGCTTTGAGAGACGGCAAAACTCAACGTGCTCATACTTGGCGGGCATCTGCTTCTCGACATCGGCTTTCAGACGTCGCAGCAGATAAGGTCGCAAGACCTTGTGAAGCTTTGAGATAATCGCTCTTGCTTCATCATCCATTTGTTCCCTTCCACTCTCCAAGATTTGCGATTCTGGCTTCGCGAACCAATCATGGAATTCTTGCAAGTCGGCAAATCCACCGACACCATTCTCAGCCGGCATAAGGAAGAAGAGAAGTGACCAAAGCTCTGTAAGATTATTCTGAAGAGGCGTTCCTGTAAGTAGGAGTCTCGCTTGCGTGTTGAAGCCCAAAAGTGTTTGCCATCTTTGTGATTTGAAGTTCTTGATGTTGTGAGCCTCGTCTAGAATCATGTAATGCCAGCGTCGTCGCTTGAACACTTGTTGATCCTGAAGAACAAGCTGGTAGGACGTAATGCATACGTTCCAAACATCGTCGTTATTCCAGCCTTGTCTCTTTCTCTTTCGCTCCTCTTGAGAGCCGTAGTATGCCAAAATCTTAAAGCCAGGACACCATTTCTTGAACTCCATTTCCCAATTCAGCATGACACTGGTGGGAACCACCACAAGATGTGGTCCCCAAACTTCGTGACTGCACGCTAGATGAGCAAGAAGGGCAATAGTTTGGATCGTCTTGCCCAGACCCATTTCATCGGCCAGAATGCCGTTGGTACTGTTGGCATATAGGCCTGCCAACCAGTCAAGACCATCGCGCTGGTACTCTCGTAGAGTTCCTCTGAGAAGGAATGGCACTTCAATTTTGTGATTTGATGACTGCTGAGGTGATGGAGATCTGCTTCCGGGTTTGTCAACAGCCATTTCTCCAGAAGACGCAGTGTCGAGTTCAGATGGTTTAGTTTCTGATGTTGCGGGAGGCGATGTACTATGCGCACGACTGGGCGGGTTGGTAACTGGTTCGGTTCCCGGGCTATGTGGCTTCTCTGGTAGGGATGGTTGCTCATGGGATTGTTCTGCATCAGTACCGGCCATAGCGACATCCTCGTCCTGAGCGACAGGCTCCTCAGTGACTGCTTCAGTGATTTCTTGTGCATCCTGTGCAGTATCATGGGCAATGTCGTCGGCGGGTACTGTTGGTATGGGTTCTTCCTGTACAGTTTCGGTATCTTCTTGGGCTGGCTCCTTGAGTTCTGACTTCTCAAGCTCAGACTCATGGTCGGGCATCTGAATCAAAGACATTTCATTCTCCTCAGCACCCTCGCCATCGACTTCCGACACTGCTTCCACGTCAGGCATCTCGGAATCTTCTTTTGAGTCAACCGGATCTTCCACAACAGCCTCGCTGGTCATTTTCTTCAATTCAGACTTGCCAAAGAGAAGTCCCAGGAGACCACCAGCATCTTCGTCGGATTCCTCTTCTGACTCTTCCTCCTCCTCACCGCTTTCCATATCAGTTGACCCCATATCATCATCCATATCAACAGACTCATCGCTCGTGTCGGCATTCTCGGTCGCTGTTGCTTGAGCTGGATCGACAGCATCCGTGTCTTCAGGATTAGGTTCGGTGGCTGGTGTTTCTTCCTCGGCGGGCTTTTCGAGTTCTGGGATATGTGCATATTTCTCTCGCAACTGCTCTTGTGTCAGGTTTTCGTCGCCAATGTCCTTCTGGTCCTCCTCATCGTCGCCTTCTTCCTCATCCGATGACATATTGTCACTGTCGGCGTCTTCATTCTCGTTATCTTCGTCTTCGCCAGATGCAAGGCCAAGCTCGTCATCATCATCGACCATACTCATGTCGTCACTGAGATCATCAAATCCGTCCTCCTCGTCCTCCGAAAGCTGTTCCGAGTCTAATCCTGCTCTTCGGGCTTGAAGTTTCTGTTCTGAAAGGTTGACAGCTTCGTTCAATGCTGCCTTGACTCTCCTCTGCTCCTCCTGTTCCCACTCGGCCAACCTTCGGCGATTGACCTCATTACGGACATTCTCCCATGTACCAAATAGGGTCTTAGCCACAACACGATATCGGGATATCCAGATTGCCCTCTGCTCGGCCTCAATCTCTTCTTCCGACTTGGGTTGACGCCGTAGCCATTCGTCCCGGCAAGCCTCGGCTATTTTCTTTGCTGTCAATCGGTGACGTTGTTGCTCCGCTAGCATGAGTTTTCTAAAATTCGTCATAGCCTTCACCATGTGATCCTGACGAGCATATTGCCTAGGTGGCTCCTCCACTGCTTCCGGTAGAAAGATGGAACATCGACCCTGGGATAGCAAACCGCCATCTTCGACCTCCTTCTCGACCCGTAGAATCACACGAGCATCCCTCTCGGCCAGTTCGTCGTTATACTGAGGACCATCTTCGGATGCTTGTAGTCCACCCTCCTCAACAGGAATGTCACCGCCACGAGTCCAAAAGTCCTCAAAGTTGGTACCAATCTTTGGCCTCTTGCGAACCTGGTCAGGATGCACAAGAGGAATATCCCCAGATCGACCGACTCTTAGCTTAATCCGAGGCGATCGATGAGTAGAATTTGAAGTTCGAGAATCTTGTACTGTGTCGTCTTTTGTGACTGCATCGCTAAATCGTGCTGATCGGCGGGATCGAGTCGAATTTTTCGGAGGGGGCGGGGGAGATGGACTTCGTCGACGGGTAGAGCGGGAAGAGGTTCGGGTTTCTGCAGGCTTTTTTAAAGATTTTGGAGTCGATGCGGGTGCTTGCTTCGAGGGAGCTCTAGTGGCGGGGCTGGCTTTGTGAGAACCATTTGGCATTTTTCTCGAGTTGCCATTAGTCAACTGGATTTCTGCCTTGGGCTTCGGAGTCGAATTCGCGCCGGTAGATCTCCTTGATGTTCGAGCTTTGCTGGGAGGAGTAGGTTCTGGTAGAAGGGTGTTGATACGGCCAGATTTGCGACGGCCATTCTCGGTAAAAGATGTTGGGCCGTCGGCAGATACTTTCTTCCATGGAGGCGAAACTGGTTTTATCTTTTTCGGTGTGCTTTGAGGGGGTGTCGACTCTCGTGTGCGTCGTCTCTTTGCAGGTCGTTCGTCATGGATATTGTCGGACTCATGATGATTCTCGGTGGCGGGCGCATCTCCATTTGTTTCAACAACACCATCCATTGAATCCCCCAACGCGTCATCCCCATTAGTATATCCCTCGGGCGCGTCTTGATCGGTTTTTATCGCATCAGGATCCGACTTGGGGAGCACGTTGGCGGTCGACGCGGTCTCGGACATAGTCGCAACGTGGGGACAAGAGACGCTGTGGGCGTTTTCTCCGCGAAGCTATCATTTGCGGGGTCGAAATTAATGTCTACGGAATCGTAGCGTTTCAGCGGATATTCATACAAAGTTTGCACATGTTCAGAGGCCTTGCGGGCGAACTGGGTGGAATTTAGTCACAAAATGCAATGTCGTCAGCAAAACTTTTGAGCTGGGGAAAGAATCGAGGATGCACGCCCCTGGAACCTTCGAATGAGCTAACCGAAAATGGCCCGGCACGCGCTTGCTGATGCCTGAGGCGCCACTTTTCGGTTGAGAATCATCACAGCCTCGATTGGCTAAAGCTTCAACACTGAGCCATCTCATCACGTCACAGAGCAATTGGACGCCGACGACACTGTCCCATCGGCCGAGGTAGGTCTTTATTGATTCTGCGGTATACCCAGTTGATGTCGCTAAAGCTGTTTTTGTTACAGATGCTCCCCCAACGAATTGCGCGGGCCTCGGCCCTGCGTAGCGGCATGGCAGCTGCTCGACGACTCCCTACGATCCAACGCCGAACTTTCCTTCCTGAGCAGTACACCGATAAGAAGGTTATCGATGCGAAGTACCCCGAGCCACCCAGCATGACCGAGGCGGAGGACCCCGGAATGGTCAGTGACAAGGAGATATAAAGAGGAGCCGAAACTGATGATAATATCGCAGAACGGCGGCTACATCAACCCACCCCGAATTAAGCGCCAGTTCCGTGATCCCCATGCCAACTGGTGGGATCCTCAGGAGCGACGAAACTTTGGTGAACCCATTCACGAGGATAACGATGTTCTGGGAATCTTCTCTCCCTGGGAGTACACCTGGACCACCGCTGGTCCTGGTGCTATCATGGTCGGAACCTTTATCGCTGTTTTCCTGAGCGTCACTGGAGTTGTTTACCTTAACTACCCCGATCGTCCCGCCTACCCCCGATCATTTGAGGGTGGTCTTGAGCGAGAGCTCGGTGGTCCAGGAGCTACAAGGGTAAGTGGGCAATAAGAAGTGGGATAACCTCAAGCTAACAATCAGTAGGCTCGCATGGAGGGCGATGAGGATCCTTGAGCCAATATGCTCATATGTACATAAGAAAGAATGGAAAGCAATGGATTGAATGAGTGCACATTGATGTATCTGTGAGAATACGCAACAAGTATTGGTGAAACAGGACTATTAACATGATGTAGACAGTCGGAATAAACGTGAAAGAGATCTAAGTTATATCGTTCTTTCGGTGATTGTAGGTTTGATTGGTATGTATATGAGTTGGTATTGTTACGCTCAAACATTGCTTGTTTGCGGTGTCTAGAGGTTTGACGGAAATCGTTATTATGGAATCCAAAGACTTGTTTTCCCACAAGGCCCCTACATCAATTTGTATCGTCGTCTGATAGGAATTATAAATTATCTGTTCCCCGCTACTGGTATCGGCCCAGGCAACAGAGGTGACAGCGTTCGAGATACTAGTCTCCTCTACTCCTTCCCGCAAACTCGTTGAAGGCAGTTTGAGCAGGAGCCAGCGAACCTGTCTGCGCCTCAAAAGATGGGCTAATTTGTTCCAATCGCTTTCACTCTCCCATCCTACCTTAGTACTCGTCCCCCATCTATCATTCACCCGTCCATCCCTCGTCAAGATGAGGTACAAAGACTGGGACGTTCTCCTCTTCGAGCAAAGCTCACCTGTTCCCCTGCAAGAATTCAAGGTGGGATGCTATGCCGTCGAAGATACGGGTAAGTCCTCGCACGCGACACTGATCCTAAGTATTCTAAGAACGGCTACAGAGTGTCCGCGAAATTCTGGTATTCCGATCGTCACATGCTTCGTCCCCAGCCTTGAGCCTGGCACTCCCTTCCAGATATCGATCCACTCTTGGAAGCAACCAAACATCGAACAACCCAACGATGCCAACGACGAAGACTGTCCGTCTATTGGTGCTAGACTCTTTATCGATGGGGGTCTCGTTGCGTATGTGCCCCTTGCAAACTGGAGGTACCGACTGACGTGTTAGGTCGACCTTTACAAATAAGAGCATCTCCTGGCCTTGCATTATATCACACATAGATGCCAAGGTCATCAGGTTCCCCATGTTCCAACGAGAGCTTCTCCGTCAGCGCCACTGGAGCGCAGCCGACAACCTTGGTCGCATCAAACTTGTCATCAGCGAAGGTGTCTGCCATGGCTCTGAAGACAATAAGACCTTCGAAAACGTCCATAATTTGGTGATATTTTCTTTTCAGCATGCACCCCAAGGTCCGTAATAGAGCCCTAGAGTCTAATTGGTACTGATACTTTACAGATCTGCTCGAACGCCTAGAGATAGCATGGCCTAACCCTTCCATGTGGCGGCGACTACAACAATCCGCGGAGACTTCTTCCGGCTCCCAATTCACAAAGCAGCCTGTCATGCAGCAACCACTTTACGAATTTCAAGGCCAAGCACTTTCCGAGTACAACAATACTGCTCATCCTGGAACACCTTCCTTCTTTTTGACTCATCAGTCCGCCGTCGAATGTGCAAATGCTCCGATGAATGCGACAATGTCACCCTGGAACCATGCCGTTCCACCACACATTCAGAGCACAGCGCCACATATGTCAACTCCCGATGTGCCCTTTCGCAAAGAGAATTACCAGATTCCAACGTGGCCAGGTTCACCCATACTCGCTGATCCTTCGTTTGCATTGGGCCATCTATCGCAACAACAGGTATTGCAGCAGATGTGCACCCCATCGAACGGTAGTGCTCCCATACCTCTCGTCCGACCTCAGAGTGCTGCAGTCAATAGGTCAGTCGAACTCGGCCGAGCACCAACAGGGAATCCTGCGAGGCTTCTTTTCGCTGCACCGACTTTGGACGCAGCCAAGAGATCAGCAAAGAGAGCCCGTACTGATACTCCAACGTCTACACTAACCGTGGAAGAGGAGGAAGATGTTCGAAAGTGTAATTCCCGGTTCAATCTCAGTCCTTTTGGAATGTCCAACGCCCCTGGCGGCATCGCTTAGGCACAAAGTATTTCTGATGTAGCATAGATAGCGTCAAGTTTCGGAGATTTTGTCAATACAAATGATGATTTATCAGCCTGTTTGAGAGTTCCGGGCTTCCACGTTGATACTCTAAGTTACAAGAAGACTGTCCAAGGTAAGAGCGGCCTAGCAATTCTCAACCTCTTGTGCGACAACTGTAATACCTTGTCTCGTCATTTTGACTCAAACATGGAGATATCAGGACCGGTAGCATAACCTCCGTTCTCCGATACTGATATCAATCGCCGAACATATTTCGAAGCCAAATATCCTGGGATGTTCGGTCTCGGGTTTGCTTTAAAGTCCGTCATGCTGCGAAACTTGAAAAGTAGGGACTGTTCGTTCTCTTCTAAACGGTCTGATTTGGCTTGGTCGAGTCACACAACTTCTCATCTTCAAGCCTCTTGCTTATATCGTGTAGCCACTGCCGATAGTGGGATGGACTGCCGAAGTAGATGATCTGCTATTTGGTCTTATTAGTGGATGATCTGGTGCGGGATCACCATAGTTGAAGATCTTACCATGCGATCAGCAAAGAGGATGTCCGTCTCAGCTCCGTTGTCTTCGAGATTCACGACCAATGATATGCAAATCCTTCGATTAAAAGATCCAAGCTACTTTTACGAGCTTATTCGACGGAACGGAATCAGCGGTAGTCATCTGAGGCTTATAAAGAATCCACGGCGCCCGGTCTCCGCCATGGGCCGCAATTTCAGGCCTGATGGGCTACACGATCTTATCGTAGTACGCCTTCTTCTTGGTCAATGCCGCTGAAGTCATCGCGGGATGCCACATCTCGTGCTTGCCACAACTGCAGGTGAAGATCTTGAGAGAAAGTGTAAGACGAGAAGCTCAGCATGAAGGTCTTCTCCTGTGTGACATTACGGTAGAATAGAGCGGAAGATGAGGTTGGGTTTAAAAGCATGTCTCCCGTTCATATAGTTCGGTGCTGTTCACGGTTGACTGTTCTCTACACTTAGCATCTGATACCGATACGCATAATTTAAGATGGCTTCTATCATGTCCGCCCCAGACTACTCAATGGCTGCGACAAGTCGTTCGCACCTGAGTGTCCGTCTGCCAAAAGAAACTCTCTACTCTTCCCTTCGAGAATCATCTCGCTACTTCAACTTCGATTCAGAAACTGCAAAGCTGGCTCGCGATGCTGACGAGTGGCTCGAGACACATCCTGGTGCTTCTGGCTCTAACAAAGACAGAGACGCCAATGGTGTCAGTCGACCGTCGTCTATTGCCCCGAGTAACTTTAGTGTTCGTTCTTTGCCAGCTGATTATAGCATGCCCGAACATCATGGCAAGGAGTATCCTCATCCTGTCATGGGTTCTGTGCGATATAACGAGATTCGGCCTAGATCCGCTGTTCCTACGGAGAGTACTGAGAAACTTCAGTCGGTACCTCCTGAGAGTGGAGCAGAACACTCGGGGGCTCAACAAGAGTATCCTACAGGAGTGAAGCTCGCTTTGATCACTCTCGCTCTCTGTCTAGCAGTCTTTGTCATGGCCCTCGGTAAGTCAATCCCCATACCTACTCAACTTTACTAACACGTCAGACAACTCCATCATTGCAACCGCCATTCCAAGAATCACCGACGCATTCGAAAGTCTCAATGACGTCGGGTGGTACGGCTCAGCATACATGCTCACAACAGCCGCACTGCAGCTCTTCTTCGGCAAGCTGTATACCTACGGCAGCATCAAGTGGACGTTCCTAGCAGCCATTGCCATCTTCGAGGTGGGTAGTCTCATCTGCGGTGTCGCTCCCAGTAGTGTCACCCTCATCGTCGGACGTGCCATTGCCGGCGTCGGTGGCGCAGGTATCTTTGCTGGCGCTCTTACTATCCTTGCCTTTTCTGTACCTCTTCACAAGAGGCCTGTTTATACTGGTCTTGTTAGTGGTATGTGGGGTATCTCCTCTGTTGCAGGACCCTTGCTTGGTGGTTTGTTCACGGACAAGGTGTCGTGGCGATGGTGTTTCTACATTAACCTTCCCATCGGTGCTATCACTGTTTTTGTCATTCTTTTCTTCTTCCCTGAGCCGGTAAGGGATATTGAGCCTGCGACTTGGCGAGTTCGCTTCTGGCAGCTTGATCCGATCGGGACAGCCATCTTCATGCCCGCCATTGTGTGTCTTCTGCTGGCGTTGCAATGGGGTGGTGTTGACTATGAGTGGAGTGACTCTACCATCACGTCGCTGTTCATGCTGGCTGCCTTTCTTCTCATCTTGTTCGTGTTTATGCAATACAAGATGGACGAGAATGCAACGGTTCCCCCTCGTATCGCCAAGATGCGCAGTGTGTGGGCCGGCGCCTGGTTCTCATTCAACACAGGTGCATGCTTCCTGACGGCCATGTACTTCCTACCCATCTGGTTTCAAGCAGTTCAGGGTCAATCACCCATCATGTCAGGCGTTCGAAACCTCCCCATGCTTCTCGCCATTGTGTCTTGCGCCATGGCAGCCGGAGCAGCAGTCAGCGCATGGGGCTACTACACACCCTTTATGATCGCCGGTTCAATCCTCATGGCTATAGGCTTCGGCGTCATCACTACTTTTGAAGTAGAAACCTCAACAGCCAAATGGGTAGGCTACCAGCTCATCGCCGGGATAGGCGTAGGCATCGGTCTACAACAATCCCTTATCGCGGTTCAGGTCGTGTGCGAAATGGTCGACATTCCCACAGCCACAGCACTCATCGTCTTTTCCCAAACCCTCGGCGGCGCGTTGTGTGTCACAGCCGGCAACACGGTGTTTACCAACACGCTCATTAACAAGATCCACGAGCATGTACCCGGTTTGGATCCTTACTTTGTCATTGCGACTGGCGCGACAAATATTCGCAGCGTTATAAGAGAGGAGTGGCTGGGTGGAGTTATTCAAGCATACAACGATGCTTTGACAACGAGTTTCTATGTTGGTGCTGGAACGGCCTCGGCGACGATTATTGGGGCTCTGTTGGTTGAGTGGAGGAGTGTGAAGGGGAGAGAGATTGAGATGGCTGCTGCTTAGATTGAAGTGAAGAGGGCAATCATTCATTTGGCTAGTTTGTTGGGCGAGATGGAGAGAAAGTGTGAGTGTGGAAGGAGTTGGTATATTTGTTTGGAGTGTGTTGAACGCGACGATGGTTACCCTGGAGTATGGACGGATTAACTCTGACCACCTCTTAAAGGTCCCATTTGACGAAATACAGCATCGGTACAAGTCCGAGAAAGAGCTCGATGTAATGATAGGATCTTAAGCCGTGTTTCGCGTTCCAACCACAAGTGTTAATGTTGTCGTGAAAGTCAATGAGAACACAAAACACTGATGATGATACAGTTAACATGAGGCCTTACCATGTCAAGCTAGCAAACCAATTTTACAATTCTTTATCTATAAAGCGATTGTGTCTAAAACATCACGCAATAAATTCTTTCGCCTTTTTCACGTTACTTAATTCTTTATCCATTAGCCATATACGCGTGTTGCAAAATGAAGCCGTGAGTGGTGGTCGTCGTCAATGAGCTATCAGAGTGCCCCGCCAGTTCAATGAGCGGGACTGCATCGAGCTACTCTGCATCGGAGTGGAATTGCATGTACGCTTATGCGCGACCAAAAATCACTCAGTCTTCATGCCTTGATTTACAGGGACCTTGATGAGTTTATGACGAGCATTAAGACTTGCAAAAAGTAAAAAGAGAGGGCTCAACCGGGGATTGAACCCGGGACCTCCTGCAAGAGTGATAAACCCAAAGCAGGAATCATACCGCTAGACCATTAAGCCGAATTGATTTGTTTAGAAGATAATGTCGCTATCATAGTACTTGTAGGTCGCACGCTGTTCGTTGGAGGTTTGGTCATCTCGATTTAACCAATGCCAACAACCCATGTCAAGCCAACGATAAGCTTATTCTGAGAAGATATCGACTCTCGGAACTGACGGCGTACTAGTGAATGCCGATTCTGGTCATATACGCGCCGTTTTTGTATATTCTGATATCTACCACTCGTTTGAACATGTGAAGCTATTTCCACGTGTCTCAAACAATAGGCCATGAATGTCACAGAGATAAAGAACAGAACACACATGTCCCCAACATGACCATGTGAGATCCTCAACAAGACATATCATTCGTTTCTTATCTACACATCGTGAAGCCATGTCGGGTTCTATTTTCCTCATGAAGGTGTGCCCAATTCCTACTCCATCCTTCAAAAACATCCCGGGGTATCCGTATTCCTGACTCGCAGTGCAGGGAACATCCGACGCGAGGAACCCTATGTTACCCTGACAAGTTGTCCCGCGTCAGATAACAGGGATGGAATGCAACACCGATTTATCACCACTGACAATACAAGTCGCACCTATCCGTAAGACTACTCATCAATTCCGCTTTCAGGCGACAGTTCGCGACGGTGGCTTGGCTTTCTCATCCATCTCCACTAGCTTATTCGAACAACGTTGAACGAATTCAGCTCAGTATCAATTTATCTTTATAACCCAACGCGTCGGCTGCCGAGACGAGACGGTCAGCTTAGACCAACCCAAACCAACCCAACCTCTCTTATCATCCATAATCATACAATTCTTGCATCCCATTCTAGCCGAGTCTCGCTGACCCGCTGACACGTCAGTCAGTCCCTCGCTGGCAGTTCGTGCACGTTCACCGCAGTCTGAAGCAAAACTCAAGGCGCATAAAGATCCGGGATACGGTCGTTAATACTTAATTTGGATACATAAACAAGCGCTTCCCCAGATTTTGTTTTCATCAGCAGCAACAGCAGTCATGGCTTCTCTACCCACACCGCTTACTCTCATTCAAGAGATTGAAGATGTCGCCATCACCACAGCCGATAAGAAGCTCAATTGTTCGTTGACTCTACAAGTTCATTTATGAGACTTTACTGACCGGCGGAAATAGTGCCGATATCAAAACCTCTCGGAATTGACCCCCAGACAAAACTGTCCGGCCGAAGTCGGCGGTCAGGGCGGTCCATCGGTATCTCGACGCTATGGTTCCTCTTGGTCAAAATACCCATCATAGTGATCGTTCTTCTCATAACTTGCGCTTGGTTATGTCTTCAGGGTCGCAAGAAGAAGGAGGTTGTGAAATGAAGCCTACAACACTTCAAGAATGAACAGCCACGTGTCGGAAACTAGAGCGCGGGTTCGCTCAGCTCAGAATTGTCAGCTCTGGGTGTCACCGACATAGCCTCATGATCCTCCCTGTATTTGCGCAAGACACAGAACGGCGATTACCAGAGGCACTGCCCGAGTCTTCCGACCATATCATCCTACACGCCTCGAGATTACCGCACCAACACCGAAATGCTTTCATTCACAGCGACAAGATTACGAAAGAAATGAAGAAAAGATAACGACCACCACACCAGACCAATGCAGTTGGGTAACAGAAGAATCGTCCTCAAAGTTTAGGCCACAAAAATAAAATGGCCTAATTGCTAGCCTAAGCTTGTATAAGAGGACCAAATTATTTCGTTTCTTATGCTTGCAGCGGTCAATTCTTCTGACACCCTGACGCAACGATACGATCTCAGTCCCACAAGCCGACCAGCGACGAGAACAGGATCTGAGAGAAGACCAACACTGCGCCACTATTTCAGGGAAGATTCATTTGAAGAGCATTTGAACGATTATGCGGTTGAGGATAGGGGCATTTTTAGCATCAAGCGGCTCTGCGATGTGCTCCTGTCGGCGAACAGGAGAGGAAAGATCGGCAAGCCTTGGCTGACTGGAGGCGCTGACAGTTGAAGTTGGTGATCGCTTCAGGAGGATCACCAAAAGGATGATAATGAAACCACGACTGCAATTTGAGAGCAAAATTCTTTGAACATAATTCTTTGGACATATTTCAACTAAAAAATGTATATATTTGTCTTCTGGACCTTGAAATGGGCGCCGTTTTGTCAATAATTGAACCAAGAGTCATTCCTCAGGCTGCGCTGTAGCCACAGCGGGATCTCCACTGTTTCCCGTTTCGTCTCTCCAGCCGTCAACTGTCAGTCGGTCTTACCATCCAATCTGATTTACTCTCTGATCATGATTCCTAAGACGGGCTTCTTGATTAGCATGCATCATTCAAAGCACATACGCAACTCTTTGCCTAATGGACCACAATGCAACATCGGCCATCGTCCCTAACCAGGGACACTACCCCATCAGGCTAGAATCTGATTGACAAGGGTCCAGCTAATGTCCCCCCATATCGCCTGATAAGGCTGAAGACTGAATTTGACCCTGACATGCACAATCCGCCATGTTCAACAGAAAGCGTCGCGACCTCACAGATGAGGAGCGTCTCAGCGGCTATGATCTCGATTCCCCTCTCTCCCAGCGCTGGAAGCCCCAATACTCTGTCCCACGTAACTCACTAGAGTCGCGCATCACAGATAAGGAGAATGGCCCTGGTGAAAGACCGCGCCATGTACCACATCCGCTCTCCTTCGGGAGGAATAGACGTGATATGGACACGTTTGCGGGCGGTATTCGGCAGAGTAGTGAAGAGAGTGAAGACGAGGAGGAGTTTTCTGATCCAAAGCTCTGGATAGAGACTGTTTCGGAATTGTATATGAATGAACTCGATAACAGGGCAAGATGGGATCCGCGATGGCTCAACGTTACTCGACGAGAGCGGTTCGAGGGTTTGGAGTCGGTTACTGTCTCGGTCATAGATTATCTGGCAAATGATGAAGTGGGAAAGAGCAAACTCATCACCACGAAAAAAGACCTCGCAGCAGCCATCAACACCAGACCAGAAGGTTCTAAGACAAGAGTCATCATGGTCAGCGATCTAAGTCGTTTCATAATGGGCGCCCTAGGCCAGCTGTACTCAGTAGACCCCGAATTCTGGTACGAGCATCTCATAGCCTCAGGGTACTCCGCCAGCGACAGCGGTTTGAAGCTGAAAAATGCTGTATGGATGAACTGGAATGAACGGGAAACGCAGTTTCGACATCGTCCTTTACCTGGAATTGGCCAACGAACAGAATGGAACGTTGCGCGGAGGTCGGCTCGGAATTGGGCTCATCTTCGTTGGGGAAGGCTTGGTGCGCTGCATTATCTTGGTCGACCTGGTTTTCACGAAGATGAGATCGCGGGTCGTATATCTGATGGACGGTGGACTATTGAGCGCGATGTTGTTCTTGATAAGACGGGGTTACTCTTGACGGACAAGAGGAAAAAGCGGGCTGAACAAAAGATACAGAAGAAGGAAGACAAAGCAGCAAAGAAGAAAGACAAGAAGAATAACAAGGGCTTTGTTCTACCTGAGATGCCAAAGGTCACGGTCAAGCTTGAGGGCACAGCGGATAGGATAAAGACGTCGAATGTATATCGTCCTTACAGTACTTTCTTTCCTATACTTCATCGGAATGCGGAGTACTGGAAGGACAGGGATCTTAGGGTCATGGCACCGGAGGGTATTGGGTATTGGTCAAGTGTCGACAAAGAAGGGAGGAAAACGAGTAAGTACGTGTGCCGTTCTCATGGCTCACCACACTGACACAACCTAGTTATCCTGGTCTTTGATCCACCCCGAACAATGCGCAACGACAAGACAAAAGAGGCAACCCCATCTCTAACATTCATGCCTCGAGCAATGGAATTCGAATCTTACACAGACGAAGAACTATGGCGAACAGCCGATCCAGGCGAGACATATCTCGATCCGCCTCCACAGATCCTTACGAGAAAACAACAGAAAGAAGAAGAGAAGAGACAGCGAAAGAATAGACCACAGGATGTCAAAGGAAACGAGGACGAGAGACTAGCTGCTGCGGGCGTGAGCAAAGAGGACCATAACAGCGACTACATCGACTCCAGCGATTCAGAGTATGACGTGGAACATCAAACCAAGCTGAGAAATATGTACAAAACTCGACAATCTTACGTCCGGGATCGAGATTTCGCGAGGAAATATTCTCTGTCGACTATGGATCTAGTATCCCGATACCTCGCCAACATCTCCCCCACAGAACTATGCCAGGACGGTTCTGCAATTCCGTCGCTCCTCACACGCTTATTACTCGATGATCTCTGGCAACTCCTCGCCGAACTCCGTCTCATGCAAGACCACATAGATTCCGACCTCGGCGCAGACCTACACATGCACTTGCTCCAAGATGCAGGCACCGTTACACGACAAAACATGGCTTGGATAAGATCTACACTCCAGGAATTAACCGAGTGGACAGACCATGCGAAAAAGTCAAAGATATTCGGGTTTTCTGAAGAGCTTGTCGAACTGGGAGAAGAGCTGCTTTCTCTCAAGGCAAGGTCGGAACAGACACTTAACTTTCTTATTGCTTCGACAGGAATTACGCAGTCGGCGCTTGTCATTGATCAGACTTCTGGTATCAACAAGTTGACTGAGCTGGCGTTTTTCTTTGTCCCGTTGAGTTTTATCACGGCTGTCTTCTCGATGCAGGTTGCTGAACTTACCGATGCGCCGCCTAGTATATGGACGTGGGGATTGTCGCTTGCTGTCGTGTTCCTTGTCACGTACATGATACGTATATTCTTGCGATCGCCTTCAGTAAAAGACTTCACCAAGACCGTCCGTGTAACAATCCTCAACCGGTGGACACCGAAAAGCCGCTCTTCATCTCTCCGTCTCGACTCCATCAGCAACCGCGCCATCTGCAAGTTCACATTCGCCGCCACTTTAGTACTGTCCAGTGCCTGCGTGGTCATCTTGGTGGGCCTGATATTCATTTTCCTTCTCTACTTTGGTCTATGGGCTGGGATAGTAGGTACAGCATTGTACTTTATCATCACGAGGTGGCCTGAGGCCGCAGTTCTGGCTCCATGTTTCCTGGCGATTTTTATCGCGGCGGTTGGATTCGGCTCGGTTTGTTATTGGAACAATATCATAGGAGAGCGCTTGGAGGAGTGGCTAGATGGTGCTGGTGACTGGATTATGTCCTGGTTTCCGGAGAATTGGGGGACGGACTTGGTAGATGATGAGGATCTGGATCGGGAGGGTGTTAAGACATATGCTCGGCAGCGCATTTTCTTCCCGTCTAACTAGTGATTAGACGGTTTATTGCGTTGGAGATGATTGTAAAGGAGGTGATTAGCTGGCAATTTGCATATGGTATGCCGTGAATCTGTAACTTTCCACTATATTGAGACTTCCTTGTCAGTTGTCGAAAGCATAATATGGTCACCTTGTTTTGAGATCCTCAGTATCAGGATCATTCCGCTGTCGCGTGTGATCAAGGTATATTGCAAAGACGGAAGTATTTGGGATAATTTGACCTGCAACTAAGCTGCCCCAGAATGATCCTAATACTTAGGATCTCAAGATAAAGTAACATGAGTTTAGGGGAAAAGCCAAATTGTTTTGTCTCTTATGCCAAATCTAAAGTCTGTTTGTTGCAGTGCACGGCCAGACGGAAGTCTGCATCGATTAGAATTCTTGCGAAAACAAACACTGACGGGCAGCTGCGTCGCAGATGCATCCCTTCTTACTTCTGCCGACAGAAGCGTACGTCTTCAACAAACAGCATCTTCTCCCGCACATCTTTTGAAAGGCATCTTCTACATCCTTTCCAAAGCATCATCATGAAAGATTCCGGCGAGCACTCCACGGACGCTCTATGCGCCTCTTCACCCACCAGCGGCCTCGCCAAAGCTCTCATCGAAGGGCGATATCCAGACGTCGCCATCACCTGCGGCAACCGCGAATTCAGGGTTCATCGTCTGGTGGTCTGCACGCAAAGCCCGTGGTTCGATGTGGCCTTCACCACTCCGCCCAAGGTATGTTAGTGAATCACTGCCACGACTCTATTCTAACTTTTATAGAAACGCACCATAAAAAATGTGGAGATTAGGGATGTTAAGCCGGACGTTTTCCAACGATTCATCGAATTCCTTTACACAGGGACGTACACCCTCGATGGCGACATGCCTGCAAAGGAAGCTACGAGTTTGAAGGTCGAGGAGATCGAAGCTAGACTCAAGAACAACCCCGGATGTGCGCTTCCTGCTGCTAAGCCCGAAGCGATGCAGGTTGACTCGCCGAAGCGCTCTGTTAGAAGATCTACTAGGTTGAACTCGACTACAAGCTCAACAGGCGAGACGCCCGCCCCCGAACAGCCTCAAAACCACGAAAAACCCTCTCTACAAGCCATCGAAATGACCCTCAAGCTATATCAAGTCGCTGTGACCTACGGTGTACGCGCTCTTCAATTGCTCACACGAGATCGCTTTTACAAACTAGGAAACGACCGCTGGGTGACGACATCATGGGTGTCCTACGAAGCAACACAGGAATTCGAAGAGATCTTGCTGGACATTTATTCGATACAAGACGGTGACCCATTGTGGATGGCCGTCACTGTCATGATAAGGGACAAAATCGAGAATGACGAGATGAAAAAACGGATGAAGCAAATGACTGTCGAACATCCGGATTTGGTGGACTGCCTTGTACAGAGCATGCGTGTTGCGGATGACGAGATCACGGTAGCTGGTAACTAGAATAAAGACCAGGAACAGCAGCCAGACGAGGCAGGGCACGAGGCAGGGCAAGAAGTAGGGCATGAGGCCGATAATCTCGGCGATACTGAAAAGGCTGTGGCTTAGCAAGTATTCTTTGGGAGGAACATCGCGGAGGAATAGCGATTACAATGGAGTCTAGTTGTTTTATTCAATAGCTTCTAATTGAAGGCCTACCCTAATGCTTAGGTTACTAGAATAAATTAGGCTATGCTTGTCTAACTTGTCATAAAGTGACCAAACTAATTCGTCTCTTATTCTGCATTTGTCTAACTTGCCATAAGGTAACCAAATTATTTCGTCTCTTATCTCGTCTCTTATTCTGTATTGACTGACTTACTGTGTTCCTAAACGCCATCTCGTATCTGTAGGAGCAGCCAATCGGTCTCTTCATCGGCGTGTGAGACGCTACCGTCCGCGAGGGTGCTGCGACTCGTGAGGCCATCGCTGCCTCTGCTCAGGAGACCAATGCCAACATGAACGTCCTTTGTCAACTTGTGGCTGAGCAGCGTGCTTTTGTCGCTGGCGCCTGCTGGCAACCGTCCAAAGGTAACCAAGTTCTTTCGTCTCTTATGCTTCGGCAGCCAGGGGAGCCATATCCATAGAGCTTGTCGGTATGATGTAGTCGTGGTATTTGTCTGAGTATAGAAGTGCCCGATGGAGGCCTCTGGCCACCTGCAAGCTTGGGTACTGATGTGTCTGCCTATGAGATGATGTGTCTATCAACAACGGTGTTCTCCCACATTGCCGCAGCCACGCGGCCTGTAGTTGGTGAGCTTGACGCTCTATAAGGGGTTTTGGAACGGCCTTTTGCCTTTTCACAAGCACTTCATGGGTGGAAGCTCTGCGAACAGACCATCTGCCGCAGCCATACTTGTAATTGACTACGAGCCATAGAACGCGAGTTAGCCTCGATGGTATGAGGTGTCGCGGGATGTCTGTCCTTGCCGAGTATGGAAGTGACCGATGATGGCTTCGTGGTTATCTGCAAGCTTGCAGGTGGGCAACAGAAGAATTATCCTCTACGTTTAGGCTACAGAAATAAAGTAGCCTAATTGTTTATCTAAGCTCATATAAGGTAACTAAATTATTTCGTCTCTTATGCTTGTAGCGGTTAATTCTTCTGACACCCTGCGGCTTAGGTACAGATATGTCTGCCTATGAGATGATGTGTATCAACCATACCAGTATGATGTCGCGGCCAGGAAGCCACGTAATGGGTGAGCTCGAGCTTGACCGATCGTTGGAGAGACGATGAGTCTACAACAGGAGCTGTAGAGCTACTAGAAGTTCTGGAACGGTCTCTTGCAGGGACCTACATGGATGGAAGCCTTGTGGACGGGCATCTACTATCATGTCATGTAACTGGCCTCGAGTCAGTTCGTCGATTTCCTAATCCAGTTCGCGGATATCGGCACGTCGAATGAGCTGTTGGTGGTCTCTAACCAGAACTATCTGATCAAGACTGGGGAATAATGCCGACGTTACCTATCTCGATACTTCTTCGACCATTAAGATTCGGGGACTGTGCTGCGATTAAGCTACGATACTCGGTTGACCAGGCTGTAGTATAATATAAGATCTTGGCCTTTCATTTGTAACAATTTTGGCGTGGTTTGTCCAGCTTGCAATCTTGTTCTCGGATGTTGTGTCTGTCTGCGTTGTCTAATCTCGGCCATTACCCAAAAGATACATGTATACGTCTACCTACTGCACCACGATCATGTGGTCGCAGATTTACGTATTTGTATATTCGCATCCAGGAGCAAGGATCAAGAATAAGCATTTGTAATTTGAGCCGGGAACCGGGCAACAACCTGACAGTCGAATGCCAAGAAGTTGAACAGATGGCAGACACATGGACTGCAGATCAATCGCCCGGCTCCGGTTTGTCCAAGCTCCGAACATCGGCCCCACAGTAAGACGGTTAAGCCAAGACAAGAGAGGAAATGTCCGATTTTCCATTCATTGTCACTCTGGCGGAAACTGTCGTCATTTGATTGAGTGATCTACATGCTGCGCCCTGTCAGTTACAGGCTGTAACTACAAGCCGTACAGTAGTAGCTGCTGCGTTGCATCAAAGGATGCAAGTGACATGTTGGTACGTAAGCGCTCCATCCTCCTTATTAAGGCGGACTCCCATGCATGCCCGTTTCATTTCTAGCCAGTCAGCGATTTTGCGTTTTTTTTTCTTGTTTAACGCTGGCGCTGCAGGGAAAACATGGCTTATGGGCTGAGTTTCTTTTGTATTCAGGGGGATTACGCCTCATGCACTCAAAATTACAGGTGGTGTTACAAGGCTACAGCCGATGGAAGCTAAAAATATGGATAGGCTACTTGCTAAGCACTAAGGAATAGTGTCAAATAAATTTCCCCTTTGAATCGATAATATGGAAATCTCCTGAATATCGGTCAACTTTACGCTCAGACTTGTAACAAGATCCGTGCTTTAGAAGGAGCTCAATGTTTCATCGTGGGTTCGTCAACCTGCAAACTCAGTGGAGTCTATGGCATGTGCCAACTCTTGAGGCTGGCTGGGCGCTGTAATGTACCCAATTTAGCCATTTGCAAAATGCACATGCAGCAGCCTCCAAACTTGGAATTTACAAAAAAGTCACTCAAAAGTATAATCACGTCCGCGGCTGGACTTATCCGAGGGACTTGAATCCTTCACAATGGCGCTGTTTAGCTTGTCTCTCCGCCTTGACATGGACATTAGCTCCAGGGCTATCACAGCCCTAGGCGTATGCTCATCCAATCAGAGTCCGATGATCACTCTGGAATTAGCTCCTTGGCCTAAAAGTATGCCGCGCCCATCCCCTGTGGCTTCCAGCTTGGAGGCGCAAGGGTAGATCAACACGCGTTGTCCGTGGAGCCGAGAGCATGTACCTCCACACCAACACACAGTGAGAGGCTACTTGATAAGATTAGGACCCGTATTCAATCTACGACGGGCAGGGTTTAGAGTGGGAAACTGCCGATGTACCGTCCCATCACCTCCTGTCTGCCTTGTCAAGTCAAGTCAAACTTATCTTCGTTACAGTCGCTTGACTCTTTTCACTCCTTTAGATCGTCACTCTTTCCTTTTCCTTGGCCTTTCCCCAACCCTGTTTTTTAAAGTTATTCTTTACCTACCTATTCCCCTACATAGTGGTTACAACTTGTATATTGCTTCGACAGGCGCCACTTTTCGGTCTCTCCCTTGCACCTACTACACTTCCAATTCTATACCAACAGCATTGCCTTTCTGTTTTGTTTTCCATATACAACTTTATGACTCATGGCTTCACACATTGCCCTGCCAGGCGCTGCGCGTCCTCGCCAACGGTATCGTGTGAATGGGTCCAATTGGCGATGGATTAAGAAGGGTTTTACGTTACTGTTTGCGTTTGTCGTTGCTACTTTTTTACTTTACCGCTTAGTATGTACCCTTTCTTAAGCTTAAGTTTTACTGCTGACCGTCAAAAGATCTTTAATGATAGTGTTTGGAGACCATACGGACCGATATTAGAGGATACGAGAGTCACACCTGCGAATATTTCCTCTGGCGATCGAAAGTTTGTTATTGTACTTCCCGTCGACGACTCGAGTCCCGATCTATGTAAAGTCGTCAGCAGCGCAGTCGCTTTGGGGTACCCAGCCCCTGTTATCGTCAATTGGAAGAAAGACTTTCACACCGACGCCGATGGCATTGGTCCTTCACAACTGGGCAAGATCACTGGAACACTCAACTACCTAGAATGGGCTACTGGCGATGAGGTCTCTGAAGACGAAAAGCTAGGGGAGGACGATCTGGTGCTGATGCTCGACGCCCACGATATTTGGCTACAACTACCACCCAGCGTTCTCCTAAACCGGTACTACGCCAGCAATGAACGAGCGAACAAGCGCATTGTAGAGGAGTACGGTTTCTTCGACAAGGACCTCATGCAGCAGACCATCATTGCCGCCGCGCAAAAAGGCTGCATCGCCCCACGCGACAAGATCTCGAACCTCTACTGCCACGACATTCCCGACAGCACACTTCCCGAGAATGTGTTTGGCTTCTTGACAGACTTTAGCATCGGACGATACAAATACGTGCGACCCAAATATGTCAACAGTGGAAGCTTCATGGGCCCTGCAGGCGACATGCGACGATACTTCCAACGCGTCAAAGATCGCATGGACCAGGACCTTCTTGAGGTGAGGTCCGCTGAGGATCTTGCTGGTGATCAAGGAATCTTTGCCGAGGTTTTCGGCGAGCAGGAACTTTGGCGCCAGCATATTCACGAAGACGACTTTGCCGCCGATAACCCCGGTAAGGAGGCAGCCATGTCGGCACGAGACGAATTCGAGTACCATGTCGGCCTGGACTACGCGCAAGAGCTTTTCTACCCAACTTGCTACTCCGAAACTGGCGGATACTTTGTTTCTCTCGACGACGCTTCTTCCATCTCCGAACACTCGAGCAAAGCAGGCGTTTCGCCCCCACGCATCGGCGGTGTTCCCAACGACATTGCCGTCGCAGAAGCTCCCCTCGCTCAATTAGACAACGACGGCTCGTGGGGCGACGTCTCACTCTACGTCGACTTCTGGACAACATCTGTACCCGTCGCAATCCACCACAACGCCTGGCGCGACGGTCTCAAGAGCCGAAGAACAGAATGGTGGGATAAGACGTGGTACTTTCCCCACCTGCGCAACCTGTTGGAGGCGCACATGAGCGCAAACAACACGGCGCCGTTAGCGAGCATTGCCGATACTTTGAACGTGTGGTCCTACAGCGCAAAGGACAAGGGAAGCGCTTCGTTGCTGTTTGGCAAGAACAAGGAATCCAAGGCATGGCAGCTACGAGCTACGGACTGGAATACTGTTTGTCAAGCGAACAATGAGGAGACGCATTGGTATGACGAAGTTTTCCGAGATGGAAAGGGTTTACTATAGTAATTGGCTCATTCGGGTAGGAGTTTAATTCATAGCGTGCATTCATGACAACTAATCGATTACGACCATTATCTTGGCTTCAAATCTTACTATTATCCTTGATTATTTTCCCACTATCGTCTTGGTTGTTCTCTTGGCTTGACTTGGCTGTTTAGCCATCGCGATTTTCTGAAGCTCGTGTGATTTCGACGTCTGCCAATCTGTCTTGGCTGACGTCTCGGCCAACCACGACAGGGATTAAAGGTACCTGCATGCAACTAACTCGAAGCAAGTTAGAGTGGTAGCTGACGAGTACCGTCCTTGGCGATTGCGCCGCGCGGCGGGCGGGAATCGACGCTATTGAAGTTCGGTCGACGGTGATGAAGATGGCGTCGAACGAGTTATGGTGATGGGAATGAGAGGAGGACGGATTGGTGTTTAGTTGTAGAATTGTGGTGTTGATCAATTCTTCAGTGGAACTTACTGTTGGGTACAGTACAGTGAGGTGTAGCCGAACAGGAGGGCGGAAATAATTCGGTTAACTTGCCGGCGGCGCGGAAAGAAAATGCTACGGTTGGTTGAGGTACGGTGAGCTGATTGCTGCCTCGCGAGTTGGCAATTTCTTGATAAGATTGCAACACGAGAAGGATTCTTTAGCTTCTGTACACTGATCAGCTCTCTAGGACTGATTGGATTCTCAAAGATCCTGTTGTCTTGTTTGTTCGGTGATATTGAGGTGAAAGTTCCGTGAGGGCAGTTCGTGAGATCCAATGGGATTCTCATGAAACAACACATGCGATGTTATGAACTCGAGTTCCGTCACTTGAGACGATTATGAGTCAGTGAGAGATAGTGATCCTGAGCTCACCGCTACCGCAAGTGATAGCTACGTCAGGATATCTCCCTTCGATAAGCGCTCTACCAATGCTTGTAAGGATCGAACAGGCGTACAGAGCATCTGTGGAATGCTCCTCAGTTAAAGCGATGAATATTTTGGAAAAGATAACGAACTTGTTTACTGATGTTGCCATGGCTCATTGGAAATTTTGTCATTGAACTATCCCTCTGTGACTCAAACAGATAAGCCTCTTAGGTTTGAGGAGCTCTCACTCTCAGTTCATAGAAATTCATACCACCATCACTCAGCCTGCCACCCATGGACTGTCAAAACTGCATCCGCAAACTCCCTAGGAGCCTCCATAGGAAACGCATGGCCAACATCAACCTCTCTCCTCTCAAACCTACCCCCAAACTGCTCCCTATGACTCGCAGTACCACCTCGTTTCAAAGGATCTCTCAACCCATCCAATGCAACAGTCGACACAGTGATCTTTGGTTTCGTAGCAAGAACATCCTCCAGCTTCTGCAACTCTGGATCACCTTTTGCGTTTCCAAAACAGAATCTGTAAGCGTGTATGACCACGTCAACAAAATCAGGATTATCAAACGACTCCGCTGTACGATTGTAGAAATCCTCGCTGAATGAGAATGTAGGTGACCACTGTTCCCAGAGCATCCGACATAAAGACCGTCTATTCTCCGCTAGACATTTTTCTCCACGGTCTTGTTGAAATAAATGCTGGTACCAAAACGAACATTCCAAAGCTGGTTCGTTTGGGATTTGAGAAGCTGATACATCGGCAATATCATACGAAGCATAAGACACAAGACCAGACACACGCTCCGGCCAAAGTGCAGCTGCAACACAACATGACATACCGCCCCAGTCAAAGCCGCCAAGTATAGCTTTTTCGATATTCAAGGCGTCCATCAGTTCAATTACATCTGAGCCTAGAGCAGCTTGTTGACCGCTTCGCATGGTTTGTGAAGAGAGAAAACGAGTTGGTCCGAAGCCACGGAGGTACGGTACTAAGACTCTCGCGTTGTTTGATAGGAGTTTAGGGATGACTTCATCGTAGGCGTGGATATCATAAGGGAAGCCATGATAGAGAAGAACTGGCCAGCCTGTTGGGGAGCCATGCTCGTAGTAGCCTACTTCTAGGGTGCGGGTCTTGATGGTTTTGAAAGACATGATGGATATGAGTAAGATGAGAGTGATATCGTGATGGGAAGAGTGAATATTTTCTAATGAAGTTGCGCCCTGTGGATGACATGTGCGGTATCAGCTGACGTCAGATTGTCGAAGAACGTCCCCTTGCCTTTGTCTGTCTTCTAGACTCTGAGAGTTGATATGAAAACAAGTCTTCTATCATACCACATCAGGCATAGTTGTAAATCTGGAATAACTATAGCCCCCGAAAGGTCCAAAGTGCTTCGAATCGACCGAGTTGCTCCTACGAGACATGAATTTATCAAAGAGCTCATAGCTTGAAGCGTTCTTCTTTTACTTACATTTCCTACCATCGGTTTTGAAAGCAGCTTTGTAAAAATCGAATGTAGTGACATAAAGCTGTGCGTTGAAAGGCTCATAGGAGTAGTCCCGATACAGTGCCTGGGAGTAAACAATTTATATATGAATGGATGTTACTATCTTGATTCGATATTATCTGTTTTGTCTTCTGTGTGTGTATGCGGTTTGGACTGAATACCTTCGTCCCATGGCCACAACATTCAAGTCTTCCATTACTTGGAATCGGATCAGGAGAAAATGGTTGGGAGGAAGCTCTCATAGCGCACATTGGTGAGATATTGCTGAGTACAATATATCTCAATCAAGTAGATCCCCCGCCTCTACTATTTGAAGTAAAAATTGTATGATTAAAGTGTTTCAAACGCTAGTGTATCATATGTATGCCTGCTGGTTATAACAAACTCTGCCATCTCGTCTCAAACCCAACTTACAACCCATATTTCGCCGGGCAGCTTCTTCTTCGAGTCCGCCTCAGAGCTGCTTTCGAGTAGATTTCTGCCACCTCATTTATCTCGAGCTGGGCTTGATGTTTTTTCCATGCCTCCTCAATGTTTTCTCTGACATGAACATGTGATCTTCCCCTTCGTGAGGCTTTCAATCTGGGCATCCCAGAACTCCCCATATACGGAGATCAAAAACTTTTCTTGAGGATCCTCGTCCAAAAGACGCAGCGAGATACCTTCTTCTGATTCGAGAGTTTCAACTGAACAGAGGTTGGTGGATGACCGTTTTATCATCGATTCCCTCAACCAACGGACAATACCAGCGAATTTATGAATGTAATCCCATTCACCTCTCCGTACGCTCTCAAACGTCTCACAGTGGGTATCTACTGAGTCGAATTCAATGCCACGGAGCCAGGTGGAGTTAGAGTTCGAGCGATAGGCCGCGCAGACATAGTATTCGAGTCTCGAGAACCAGCCAAAGGGCACTTTGTCTGTGAGAACGGCACACTTGTCAACTTCATCACCATATATGTGCATCATGATAGTGGCTGGATATCCAACACCAGAATCCTCAGTGATGTTGTCTGGCTCAGATTTAGCCTTGCCTTTCTGAGCGTTCTTGAGTGCACTATTCCCTTCGTCGGTAGTAGTGGCAGCAGACGGGTCGGCGCATAGTACTTCGTAGTCAAAAAGGACTATGCATTTGAGGCCACCGAAGTTGTATCTCACTGCGCGATATGAGCGCCTCCAATCTTCTGATGTGATTGCAGACCGTACGGCATTATGAAGGCCGTTTATGCACCCGCCTCTGATTTCTTCGTAGTTGTATATAAAAAGCGTCTTTCCCCAAAGTTGAAACCTCATAAACCCCAACTGCTTGGCGTTCGCGGGAGTGTTGTTGTCAAAGTAGAGGGAACAATGTCCCAAAGTGCTGGCATGGGCAATGATATCGATGTTATCGAATCGGAAGTCAGGGTTCACGACTTTCATAGTCCTCAGCATCCCATTGAACAGCCATCCAATTCCAGACCTGGGAGCCACGTCCAACCGATCCAATTGAAAAGGAATTTTCGTCGGATGGGAGTATCGAGGCCGCTCGCCTAGCTAAGTTAGTTCGACTACAAAACAATTCTGCATGAGAAGGAGAGACGTGCCTTGTAAGCAATCAATTATTGGCATGTATCTTGCCACTGGAAACGCGTCATCTAGATTGAAGTCGCATAGGACCTCATGTTCGAGGTCACGGGTAACTGGGTAGCTGAGAGGTTCCATTTTGGCGATGAACTCAGTTCCAATTTGATATTTTGTCCATCGGTTCTTTGTGTCTTGAACCTGCCCTCTAGCTGGATCATTCCCTATGGCTGGGACCTCCTGTTTGGCTGAGACCTCTTCTTTGGCCGGCATCTCCTGTTTGGCTGGGACCCCATTTGACTGGGAATTCCTCTTTGCCTGGGCCCTCTTCTTTGCCTGGAGCCTCTTCATGGCCATGGTGAAGAACCGAACAGTGGCGGTGTTGGCGAAATGTATATGTACAGCGAACGAGTGGACAGAAAAGATGCTGCGATGTGATGATGTTGGTTGGTGATGAAGGGCTGAGGTTCTAGCTTTGCCCGAGAAGGCCTTTGTGGGGAGTGATTTACAATGAAGGCAGGCACCGACGGTGAACGACCTCCGTCAGAGCACCTGCCTCAACCCGCCGACATTGCTTCCTTCCCGCCAGGATCTCAGAAGAATTGGCCGCTGGGAGATGAGAGACGAAATGATTCGGTCATCTTGTGCTAGCTTAGAGGAAATTCCTTCCGACTCTCACATGCACAAACATAGAAGGAACTGTGTATTGGAAAGAGCATCGGCATTACATGGCATTGCTAACAAAAGGTATCTGAATCCATCCCAACAAAACGCCTGTTCATTTTCATTCCAGAACAGCCAACAACTTATTAAATGACCGTCGTCGCTTTTTACCCAAAAGAAATCCCATCTCATATTATCTATGTTTGTGCTCCTCTGACGTCTCATTATGAGAAGGCAACTCGGCGGCGAAATTCTGCTGCTGTCCCAGCGCAGGCGATTGATATCCTCCCGTGGACTGAGAGAATGCGCTGTTGCGGTCCCCGGCAGATTGGGTTGACTGCGACCATCGTGGATCGTAGGATCCTGTTGAGTTGCGGTAGTTGGCGGGTGGGTGGCCGGGACTAGGTTGAAGACCAGGCGATTGCTGGGGGTGGTAGTAGTCACCAGGCAATTCCATGGGGAAGCTCTGGATGCTGGTCTTTGGAGGGACGGGTGGTGGTTGTTGCTGGTAATGCCCAGGTGGTGGTGTTTGAGTTGGGTAGACGTATGGGCTTTGCGGGTATTGAGATCCGCCGTTGTCGGGGTTTGCGTATGGGTATGTTGGTGAGCGCGGAGGCTGCTGATATCCGTAGGGTTGCTGGTATGAAGGACCTGGGCTCATGGATGGTGGACCAGGCTGGGGAACAGCGTATTGAGTGTCTGGAAGACCGGTAGCCTGGTGTTGAAGAGCCTGCTGTCGAGCTTGACTTCCCTCGGATCGATCATTGGGATTATACGTCTTGAGCTTTCCATCCTGAAACATAGCCTTCAACAATCCAGCATCAAGAAGCTCAGCTTTCTTAACCATACGGTTAACCATATCAACACTAGCCTTTCTCGACTCCGCCTTGACGAAACCCATGAGGGTAATGTTTGCCTTGAGATCAACATCAGTGCGCAAATAAAGGCCCTCCTTTGGCGCACCAAGCTGCTCAAGACCAAGCTCCGGCTGCTCCGGCGGTTCAAGACCGGGCTGGTTTCCCATGATTCGGTACTTGTTCCTCATGTCGATACCGAGAGGAATATAAATATGACTCTGCATGCCCCACGGCATATCGTGGAAGCAGCCATTAAAGGTAAGCTTTCCCGAACCTATCTTTCCCAGACCAGGGAGATACTGGATGCGCTCGGTAATCTCGTACCAGGTGCTGTAGTACTCGTCGGCGGCGGCATTGCGAGGTGCGGGGATGGGTTTGTGGCTGAGGACGAGAGGGTTTAGGGTGATGATCTCGCTGTGAGAGTGTAAGAGGTCGATGGCGAGTTGGCGAGGGATGAAGCCCGGGATGGGCGTGATGATGGTTAGGGTCTCCTTCTTTTTCAACATGATGACGGTGTGTTATGGTGCAGTATCGGGTTGCGTGTTTCAGCTGCAAGGTACGATACTTGCAGCCACGATCGGTAAGGCTCCCAAATATTCAGTGTCGGCCCAACATCCAAGACTGTCGTTCAATCGTAAAAACGTGTCGCTAACCAATTTACTTCAGACGTTTATCTTCTCTTCGTAAGTCGCTTTATCGCGCTGATTAATTGACGACACCTTGTGTTCCAAAGCTGGAAGAGGGGGCGGAAAGGGTTTCGCAAAAGTTGAGGGGGACACGCGGGTATTAAGTCAGTTTAAAGCGAACAGGGATCTAGACCAGCCACTGGGGACCAAACTGGGACTGTGTGATGGAATCACTTGGCTTGTCTTGAGCTAATGTACTGTAATTGTTTATTAAACCGCCACGACAGATGAGATGACGTGAGACGGGCTGTTCCATTTGCTGGGCGATGATGATCAACGCCGAAGCGACCAAACAAGGGCCGACATATCAAAATACCCAGAACATCATGTCGTAATTCTCTCGATTAGACCGACTCTTTTTCTCACTTCTTTCGTCTCATTCGGCAGATGGAATTCCGGGGACCTCGCTTCAGCCCTGTCCCCACGATGACCCAGTAGCCAAGACCTGCGCCTCAAGATCCGCGACGTATCTCATACTATTCGCAGACGGGATCAATCAGCACGGAATTGTGTGTATCCGAGAGAGGAAGAACACTGCGCCTTTACATCTGATCGCTTTTCGAAAGTCACTCGTAAATTAATTTGGTCGTTTGACGCGCGGTCGCAGAGGCTGGGTGAGATTATAGCTCCGTTGGTACCTAAGGTAGCTCCGTACGGATTAGATCACAACGTCAGAGGGTCTACTCTTATCGATAAGAGCTCAACTTTAGATAAGAGATAAGCTTTTTAGGGTCGTTTCACTGATATCAGGATTGTTACTGTAATTTCCAGCAAGCCAGGTTATGAGCGGTCAAGGATTCTATCATGGTTGTTCAGCTATAAACAGAGATATCAGTCTATTGGTTTCAGATTTATTTCTTTAATTCCCGCTTACGTGCTGCGCCTTATTACTGCTGCCCGCTCATTTTCAGCTCGATTCAGTTATGGGTCAGCCCTATGGAAGGATCTGTGCTGATTGCTAAGTAGCTAGACGATGTTGTAAGTGGGAATCCTAGGTCTAGATGTATTATTAGTCTGTATTATTGCTCCCCTATTCTATCCATTATACCAACACGAAGACACCATCCTAGATTGTGGTCTCAGGGTTCTTCCCAACCATCAAGTACATGGGTGTAAACAACTTCCTCTTCCCACCCTCAACCAAAGCATCCGCCCCCTTGGCCAATCCATCAGCCGTCTTCCTCGTCCCCTGCGGCGCAATCCTGCACATCTCCATCAATCCAATCAAATTATGCATCACCAACCTCCCCCATTTGTTCATTCTAAACACTGTCAATAGATCACCCAAACTCTGCGCATATCGCATGTCACTGTCCAACGGCCAGTACCACGGTGCTGGTCCGTCATCTGTGGCTGCGAGATCCTCGTGGTGGAGTAGCTCGAAACCTGCTGCTTTGATGGCTGATAGACCGTGGTCGATCTTGAACATCTGTGCAATACCGTCACCCAGTTCAATGTCGAGACGGATACGTCGCTGTTCTAGGTCATCGTTGTCGTAGGCGTCTGTCATGAGCCACTCGTATACGCCAAAGATACCGCCGGGTTTGAGGACGCGTCGGATTTCGCTGTAGACGCCTTCTAAGGAGGGAGCGTGGACGGTTGCTTCGATGGCATAGACGGCGTCGAATGAGTTGTCAGGAAAGGGCATTTTCTATAACTGTTAGCTCATTCATCTCGCCATGAAAATGATTTACTAACCATGAAATCGCCCTGAACAAATTTGAGTTTGTCAGACAACCCTTCCTTCTCAGCATAGATACTGGCGCGTGAGACTTGATACTCGTTGATATTCAAACCAGTAACATGGGCTCCCGTGAACTTGACGATTTCTCGAGCAGGTCCACCAACACCACATCCAACGTCGAGGACTTTCATCCCAGGTTTGATACCGATGTTGTGGGCGAGGTAATGTTCGTGTCGGGCGATAGCTTGATGGAAGGGTTCACCGTAGGCGAATCGACAGAAATGAAAACTCTGAGACCATCCGTACTCGTAAAGGTCTGTTGCGAGGTTGTAGTATCTGTTCAATCAGTAAGAATCATGTGAATCAGAGCTGTTATGACTTACTGTCTTGTCAAACTCGCATAGTTATCAGTTCTCTCCTGTCTGACAGCTGCTACTTCATCCTCAGCTTTCTTGTTATCGAAATACTGAAAGTACTCGTCGACTGCGGCAGCGTGGGCTTTGTTGTCTTTGTTTATCATGGCGCGCATTCCTCCCCTTGACTCTTTTGATTTTCGATGGAGGACATTGTCAAAGGCTGAGTTTTGGGCCTCGTCGTAAGAGATCAGCTCGTTGGTTGACATGTTGGCGGTTTAGAAGAGAAGACTAAAAGAAGACTTAGAGATGAGATGAAGAGGGTCGATGAGCTGACTTATGGTCTGACTTTGGGAGAGATTCGTTTACTTATATAGAAACCTTGAAGTCGACATGGAAGCGCTTTCGATATTCCAAGCCTCTTGGAACACCGATATCTGACTGCATATCCGTATTCTCTAACAACTTACAACACTTACATCACAAGTATGGATATCTTTACGAAGACGAACAAGAGGTTATCCGAAGAGTTGCTGCAGCTTTCCGAGCATCCGTATACTTGACGTCCGTAATGCAGAGTACGAATACGAGGCTCGTACCCGAATGCGAGAACTGATAACGAGAGCTCTACACCGTGATGACCCGGTTTAAAACGTCTAGAATATCGCTCAGGATCTGATCTGATCTATAGATGTAGTTCGCAGCCAATCGGATTGATGATGATGCCCGTTTATCTCGAGGCGAGCCTGTTCCTGCAGGTCGCTTACCAGCGCAACGGTTTGGAGATCCTTGGCGACGATGCGTTAAATGAATCCTCTGCTGGCGATTACATTGTCGGTTTTCCACCATTTACAGATGGCTTATTGTGCATAAGGTGTGAAATATGGTCCGTAATTGAACTCGTCAGTGTTCGTATTCGCGCTGCTGGATCCTTGATAGTGAATCCGAGCCGTTCAGTTGACGAGAGCGAGTGTATTCAAGCCCACAGAGTCCTATCTAAATAAAAGCAGAAGGCTAACTGCTTGTAATAGCTTCTCTTCTTCCACAGGTCAACTCAAGGAGATATCAGTTTAAGATACAGAATCGCCGTTAATGCAAGGTCGTGTCACTTAACCATTAATTGCATTCGATTGGTAGAATGAGTGGTCATATGGCGAGTTGAATCAGGCTTTCTGTTGAAGCCTTTGTTGCATGTGTTGCATTTGAATGGGTACTCATCTGTACCAACTCGTGCTGTCGAAGATCTGCCATCACCTTGAATGCCATATCGCATTTGCTGCATTTCCAGGGCTTATTGTCCAAATGGCGAACCAGGTGCTGGGTGAGCTCCGCCTGGGTCTTGAAACGAGGATCACACTTGTCGCACTTATGAGGCCTATCCTCTGTATGAACTCGCTGGTGTGCTTTGACCGCACTACTCCGCTTGAAGCGCTGTCCGCAAATATCGCATTTGTAAGGGAACTCGGTTGAATGTACTGCCATATGCATATCAAGCTCGTATTGAGATTTGAGCCCTTTTTGGCATAGATCGTAAACACATGATCTCTCTGCTTGGGATACAGTATACCGTTGTAGAACATACTTATTCAGAGTGGTAAAGCCACATGGATTGCACTTTAGTGCGTTATCCCAATAAGATTGGGCCTTGGGATCATCATCAGGCCTTGGTCGATCTTCATGTGCTATGCCTCTGGTACATCTGCGGCAATGCTCAATCAGTTGCCCGGCGCTGTAGAAATGCTTCCCGCAATAGCTACAAACAAGAGGGTCCCTGGGTACTCCGTTTACCCATGCTTCAATTGATACCAGGGATGTCTCAAATTCTGGCGTAGGAGGTATCGGTACAATTGAGCGATCCTATTCGCCCAACCATATTTCATTCCCAAGGGAGAGGTCGATTCTCCAGAAGGGGTGATATAGAGGAATAGTCATAATGATTGACCGGAGACTATTCCAGGAGGAAGTATGGAAATTCCTCATCGCCATATTTGTAACACCAGCGTCGAGGGTAACCGTAGCAAGGTTGTGAGCGAAGATGAGAGACTAATTGGTGATTGCGCAAATTCTTTATTTTGGAGACGACGAGCAACTTTGGCTTGCAAGACTAACATCAAGATAATGGCTGCATGTATATTCTGGAATACAAACGTTAGTTTGTACTCATGGATGCGGCTAACAATAGCTTCAGAAATTACCCGTCGCTCTTCTACCGTGTTGCATATATTGTGGTTAAAAAGCTCGTAGT